GGGCGCGCCGCCGCCGCGGCCCCGCGGGCCCGTCCCGCCGCGACCGCCGCGTCCGCGGCGGCGTCCGCGGCGGCGTCGACGGCCGCGCGCCGCTCGCGCCGCACGGCCCGCGCCCGCGTCCGCAGCGCCGCGGCGCAGGCCTCGCGGGCGCCGCGCGCGGACGCCGCCGCGGCCGCGCGCGCGTCGTCGGCGGCGAGCTCCGCGGCGGCCGCGGCTTCCGACGCGCGCCGGTCCCAGGCGCGCGCGCGGTCGACGCTCGCGTCGCGGACGGCGTGGACGACGGTCTCCTTCGCGAGGAGGACCGCCGACTTGCGCCGCGCGGCCTTGGCTTTGTCCGTCGCGTCGCGGGCCTGCTCGGTCTCGTCGGCGGCCACCACCAACCTTTCCCGGAGCTCCGACGCGTCGCCCGCGCCGTCGAAGAACTCGTCTTCGGTCTCGAGGAGCGCGCGCGCGTCCGCCGCGTTCGCCGCGAGGCGCCCGAGGGCCGCCGTCGCGCCCGCCAGCGTCGACGCCGCCACGGCGAGGCGCCGCGCCTCGGCCTGCAGCTCCGGGGAACCGCCGGCGAGCTGTTCCAGGTTCGCGCGGCTCGCCTCGAGCTGCGTCGCGATCTTCGCCAGCGCGTCCTCGGCGGCCCGGGCGTCCTTCGACGCCGACGCGCCGTTCATGGCTCGCGTTCCGGCTCCATCGTGCGCGTCGTTATGGGTAAACTTTGTGTGCAAGGACGCCGTTGGCGCGCTATGGAGGGGCAGCCTTCTCGGTGAAAGCATGGGCGCGGCGGGCTCCGTCCCCTACGAGAGCGCCGAGGCGGCGCTGGCCGCCGGCAAGACGCCGCTGGAGATCGCCTGCTACGTCGCCGCGACGGGCTACATCGCCGCCTTCAACGCCAAGGACGAGGCGGCCGTGGGCGCGCTCTTCAAGGCGACGGAGGGCGCCGGCCGGCCGCCCGTCATGCTGGGCAACAACGAGTCCGGCCTGCCGCGGCCCGTGAAGAGCGAGGTCATCCTGCGCCTCCTCAGGAGCGTCATGTTCGAGAGCTACGGCTTCGCGATCCGCGAGCCGAAGATCGCGTGCGACGGCGTCGCGCGGCCCGTGTCGGGCGTCATGGGCGCCGACGCCGTCGTCGACCTCACGCTGAAGATCGACGCGACCCTGCCGAACTGGCTCGCGCCCTGCGGCCGGCCGCCGCCGTACCCGCAGGCGCCCGTCTCCGAGCTCTTCGGCGGCGCGGACGAGCTCCCGGCGCAGCTCACGCTCGGCGTCGACGGCGCGGGGAAGATCGTGTCCGTCTACTGGCACCTGGGGCCCGGCGCGACGCCGGGCGTGTCGGCCGCGGGCCTGCAGATGGCGCGCGTCCGCGGCCGCCTGTGCCGCCGCGAGGCCGCGGACGCGGCCGCGGCCGCGGCGGACGCCGCTGCCGCCCGGGACCGCGCGAAGGCGACGCTCGAGAGCGACGAACTCGCGCTCCGCGCGTCCGTCCTGGGCGCCGCCGCGAACGCGAGCTACTCGCTCGAGCAGCGGGCCGACGCCGACGCCGCGGGGCCGGACGCCGCGGCGACCCTCCAGGAGGGCGCCGCGTTCCACTGCGAGAAGCACGGCGCCGGCTCCGCCGAGGCGCTCTGCGCGACCCTCGAGACCGCGCGCTGCGCCGACGCGGCGGCCGCGGCGCGGCTCCTCGAGATCTGGAAGGCCTGGGGGCTCTACCGGGTCGGCAACGAGTCCGGGGCGCTGCGCTACACGGTCTTCGAGCCCACGGAGGACCACGTCGTCCGGAGCGTCGCCGAGTACGCGCACGCCAAGGCGCGCGAGAAGCACGCGGCCCTCGCGGGCCCTACGCGCGACCACTTCGCGACGCCCGCGGCCGCCCTGGCGGAGACCGAGGCGCTCGAGTTCGCCGAGGCGGCCCATCTGGAGAAGGGCGACACCTAAACAGGGGTCCATCGCGGCGCGCTTGCACGAGGCTTGCTTCCCGCGAAGGTCCGTTTCATGTCGACGTTGCCGCCGAGGAAAGACGAGTCCGAAGACGGGCCGATAGACGACTTCGTGGCCATGGTCGCGCCGAGGTAGGCGCGGCGCGCAGCCATGGGCGACGCGCCGGCGTCACCGCCGCGGCGGCCGCGGCCCGGGGCCATCGTCGTGCCGAAGCGGCAGCCCGCGCCCGTGGTCGTCGAGGGCTGGGCTGCCCCGACCATGAGCCGGAGCGCCCCGAAGAGCTCGCCGAGCGCCGCGGAGGGCTGGGCCATGCCGAGCGACGGCCCCTGCATGCCCGACGACGGCGCCGCGACCTTCGTCGACCCGGAGGCGCGGGACCGCGCGGCGGCCGCGGCGGCCGCGCTGTCGCCGCCGTCGGGCCGCCGCGCGTCCGGCGAGGCGAGCGGCTGGGCGACGCCCTTCTCCATGGCGCGGCGGTCGTCGAAGAAGAAGGAAGAGACGTCGAATTTAAGGGAGGCCGTCGACGCCTTCCGCGCGCGCGAGCGCGCGCTCCTCGCGCAGATCGAGACCCAGAAGGCGGCCTTCGACGCGCGCGAGGCCGCGCTGCGGTTCCAGCTCTCCGAGGCCGCGGCGCGCGAGGTCGAGCTCCGCGCCGACGTCGACGCGGCGACGCGCCGCGAGGCGGCCCTCGCGAAGCGCGTCGGCGACCTCGAGCGCGCGCCGCCGACGACGCCGACGCCGCGGTCGCCGACGCCGGGCACGCCGGCGTCGGGCGACGCGTACCGCGGCACCAAGTGGGGCGGCGCGACGGCCGGCGAGGACCTCGCCGCGGCGCGCCGCGTCGAGGAGGACCCCCAGCGGCCCCGGAGCCTCCGGGACCTCGAGTCGAGCTTCAAGCCCAAGCGCGGCGAGTTCCAGCCCAAGGGCAACCCGTTCCGCGCGCCCGGCGCGACGCCGCCGCGGAGCCCCAGCGACATGCGGGGCCTGCGGCCGCCGCGGTCGCCGGCGTCGCCCGGCGCGTCGCGCGTCACGCGGTCGCCCGAGCTCACGTCGTCGCCAAAGCCGCGCCGCGAGGTCGAGACGCGCGTCTCCGAGCTCATCGAGAAGGACAAGGCCCGCGAGGGCGACGTCCAGCGCATGCTCGCCATGGTCTCGGCCCTCCAGTCCGAGATGGCCTCCCTCAAGCACGAGAACGACCGCCGCCTCGACCCGTCGCGCGAGGACTCCAAGTCCACGCCGCCGGAGACGGAGGAGGGGCGCTAAAGGCCGCCCCGTCGGCGGTGACGAGAATGGGGACGCTAGTGCTATGGTAGTTAGCGCCCGCTCGATCTCCTAGCAGAACTCGGCCTCGTCACACGTGACGAGCGTGCCCGCGCCGGAGACGGAGAAGAGCTCCTTGAGGACCGAGTGGTCCACGCGGCCGTCGACGATGGCGGCGCCTTCGACGCCGCCTTCGACGGCCTGGAGCGCCGTCTGCACCTTGGGGATCATGCCGCCCTTGATGACCCCGGATTTGATGAGCTCGTTCGCGGACGTCGGCGTGATCGAGCTGATCAGCTTCATGTTCTCGTCGAGGACGCCCGTGACGTCCGTCAAGAGCAGGAGGCGCGATGCTCTGAGCGCCTCGGCGACGGCCCCGGCCGCCGTGTCCGCGTTGACGGAGTACGTCGCGCCGCCCGCGCCGGTGGCGATCGGAGCGATGACCGGGATTATGCCATTGTCCAACAAGCTTTGCAGCAATTTTGAGTTCACCGACGTCGGCTCGCCAACAAACCCAAGATCGACGATCTCCGTGTGGCCGTCCTCGCCGATGCGCTCCTTGACGAGCTTCTCCGCGACGAGCAAGTTATCGTCTTTGCCCGACAAGCCGACCGCGCGGCCCCCGAGACGGCTGATCGCCGCGGATATCTGCTTGTTGATGCTCCCGCAGAGCACCATCTCCGAGACCTTGACCGTCGCCGCGTCGGTCACGCGCAGGCCGTCGATGAACGTCGACGTCGTGTTTAACTGTTTTAGCATGTTCCCGATCTGCGGGCCGCCGCCGTGGACGACGACGGGCCGCAGGCCAAGCTTCTGCATCAAGACGATGTCCTCGGCGAAGCATTCGGCCGCGCGTTCATCGCTCATGGCGTGGCCGCCGTACTTGACGACGACGCACTTGCCGCTGTGCCGCGCGAACTGGGCTCAGCGAGTCGAAGATCTGCGGGCCGACGGGCTCGACTGCCGACTTCGCCGTGTGCGTGATGATGTGCTGCCGCGTGGCGACGCTCGCGCGCGGCGCGAAGCCCTGCGCCCATGGCAGCGATGCCAACAGCAGGCAGAGTTTCAGCGCGACCATCTTGCGATCGAGAGGCTCTCGCGCGACACCTTGGGCCTCGAACGTCAACAACGCGGCCTTGACCCCGGCGCAAAGGGCTGCGTTCAAACATGAGCGCCTCCAAGAGCATGCGATTCACGCCGCCGCGAACGCCCATAACGAATGAGGAGCCGTGGTGTTACGTGCTCTGGGACGAGGCCGTGGATCTTGCCGCCTACTGCGCCTTCGCTTGCGTGAGCCGGTCCCTGGGGCTGCGCGCAGCGACGGACAAGACGACGGACACGCTGCGCTGGAAGCGCGAGTTCGAGCGCCGCTTCCCCTGGTGCGCGTCGTCGGAGTCGCGCACGCTCGCCGTCGCGCGGCCGGCGATGCTCTGGAACGGCGACCGCTTGGAGACGTGCTGGCGCGCGACGTACCTGCGGCTCGCGCGCGCGGTGCCGACGTGGGACGAGCGCGGCCGCCTGGATGACGCGGTGGCCGATCTCCGCTACGACGACGCGTGCCAGGCGTGCGAGGTCGGCGGCGCGGACGGCCTAGCCGCCGTAGACGACGCCCTCGTTCACGACGGCCCGTTCACGACGGACGAGGAGGCGCTCGGCCGCTTCGTGGCGACCGTTCTCGCCGCGCGGCGGGCGCCATTCAGAAGAAACGGGTGGTGCTTCAAAGACCGCGACGCCGATTTCTGGAGGATTCAGTTCGAGCGCTGCGTCCACGGCCTCCACGTGCCCGCCGCCCGCGCGTACCTCCGCTCGCGGCGTTTCCTCGCGTCGCACCCTTGTTACCGCGCCCAGGCCTTGAGCTATGCGGCGCGCGAATACCTCTGCATCATGGATCGGGCGTTCGGGATCGCGCCACCACCGAAGATCGTGTTCCTCGAGGGCCAGCCCGGCGTCGGGCGGCCCTGGACGCTCGCGGGTCTGCGGATGAGCGACGCCGCGCCGCGCCGCGAGCAGATCGCCGTCTACGAGCGCTGGAGCGAGATGGGCGAGCTTCTTCTCGCCGCCTATGTTCATCCTGAGTTGCGAGGTGTCTTGTGTGGCAATATGCCAGGCGTGATGACAGAGCACGTCGCCGCGGCCCGGCGCGCCGCCGCGAACGTCGAGGCGAGCCTCGACGAGCCCGACGACGCGGCCTACTACGAGGAAGGGATGGCCGAGCTCTGGGCCGACCACCTGGCCGACATCATGTGAGTAAGGCGCGGTGTTTTCAAGATACGCGGGGCGTGGCGCGGCGCTGGCCGGCATCACGTGAGGGAAATCGGAAAAGACCCGGCGTTTACGGCGGGGCGGCGCGCGTTTGGCGGCGCCTAGTCCATGATCTTGTCCCAGATGTCGTTCTTGAAGGGCGTGTCCTCGCTGAAGCAGTGGATGGCCGTGGAGATGGGCTTGTTCGCGGACGTGAGGTAGGCGATGGCCGTGGACATGGCGTTGCGGCGCTCGGCGTCGGAGGCCTTGGAGCCGATCCAGGTGAAGACCTCGCGGCCCGCGTCGAGGAGGAAGACGTCGTCGGACGAGAGCATGGACTTCTTCACGTCGCCGCGGCCGACCTCCGTGCACTGGAGCTCGCCCGACGCGTCGCTGAGCTTGAAGAGGATGCCCTCGCCCGGCTCCTCGGACTCGACGGGCGCGTCGGTCTCCGGCGCGATGGGGCCCTCGCCGCCGAGCGCCGCCCAGAAGTCGGCGTCGATGTCGACCTTGACGGAGGACTTGCCGTTGCGCAGGTTCGCCATGTTGTGGGCCGACGTGCCGCACTTGGCCTTCTCGAAGGCCGACGCCGACTCACCGAACCAGGGGTAGAGCGTCTTGCCCGTGTCGAGGATGAAGCAGTCGCCCGCGTTGAGCGACGCGCACTCGCACGGCACCTCCGCGACCTTTACCGTGTGCTTCATCTTGCGCACGCGGAAGAGCTTGGACACGTAGGTGCCGGCCTCGACGTGCGTGAAGCCGCTCTCGACGCCGCCCTGCATGTAGTTGAGCTGCTTGAAGATCTTCGTGAACGCGATGCTTTCGTGGCCCATGACCTCGCGGTGCTGCACGGGCGCCTGGTCCATGAGGTCGTCGAGCTCCACGGTCTTGTAGGCGGCGACGCCCATCTCGTCCTGGGACGTCGACTCGCCGAGCCAGAAGAAGATGTCCCAGAGCAGCTTGTCGGAATCCTTCTGCTTCGTCGTCTTCAAAATGATGTAGGAGTCGCCCGCGAAGAAGTCGCCGTAGTGCTCCTTGGGCCACTTGACGATCTTCATCTTCTCGACGCGCCAGACCTCGACGCCCGGGGCCGCGCCGCAGCCCGCCCAGGCCGCCTCGCCCGCGGCCGCGGCCTTGCGCGCGTCCTTGTCCATGTCGCTGCCCACCATGGCCATGTTGCTGTCCTCGACGGACGCGCCGTCGCCGGTCCAGGGCTTCTTGCTGATGGACATGCGCTCGAGCTTGAAGGACGACATGGTCGGCCGGCCGGTGGATGCGCGATGCGCGAGACGGAATGCGCCGCGCGGTGGCCACGAATCGCGAGCTGGGGCAGCCTCGAGCCGGTGATGCTCCGATCCGGATCTTGCGGCCGAGCACGGGCCCTGGTGTTGCATCGGCTTGGCTGTGGCTGTGCGTCGCCGACCAACCAGTTGCGATGAATCGTCTCGCTCGTGTGCTGCCCGCGGCCGTGCGCCAGGGGGCGTCGTCCCAGGGCGTCCGCTCGATGAGCTCCGTCGTCGAGCTGAGCTCCTACCTCGAGAAGCGTGCGGCCCCGCGCGGGATTTCGGCGGCGATCGGGCAGGATTTCGATCGCGGGCGCGGGGTCGCCGACGGGGGCCCGGGGACGGGCGATTTCGACGCGCCCCGTCCGCGTAGGCATCGGCGACGTCGCCGCCGGCGGCGACGCGCTCGCGTTCAACGAGATGGGCAACGTCATCTCGGCGCGTCTCCCCCGCGTTCAACGAGCCGGGAAATCCGCCCCGCGCGCCGCCCCCCCGCTCACGCGCCCGCCCCCTTTTAGGTCGGCGACGGTATCGCCCGCGTCTACGGCCTCAACAGCGTCCAGGCCGGCGAGATGGTCGAGTTCGCGTGCGGCCTCCGGGGCATGGCGCTCAACCTCGAGGAGTCGTCCGTCGGCGTCGTCATCTTCGGCGACGACCGCGAGATCCTCGAGGGCGACGCCGTGAAGCGCACGGGCGCCATCGTCGACGTGCCCGTGGGCAAGGGCCTCCTGGGCCGCGTCGTCGACGGCCTCGGCGAGCCCATCGACGGCGCGGGCCCGCTCAAGGACGTCGTCCGCGGCCGCGCGGAGGTCAAGGCGCCGGGCATCATCCCGCGCCAGTCCGTGTCCGAGCCCGTGCAGACGGGCCTCAAGGCCGTCGACGCTTTGATCCCCATCGGCCGCGGCCAGCGCGAGCTCATCATCGGCGACCGCCAGACGGGCAAGACGGCCATCGCCATCGACACGATCATCAACCAGAAGACCAAGGGCGACGACGCGTTGATGTGCATCTACGTCGGCGTCGGCCAGAAGCGGTCGACCATCGCCCAGCTCGTGGGCCAGCTCGAGATGGCCGAGGCCATGGGCAACTGCATCGTCGTCGCCGCCACCGCGTCGGAATCCGCGCCGCTCCAGTTCCTCGCGCCCTACACGGGCTGCTCCATGGGCGAGTACTTCCGCGACAACGGCATGCACGCCGTCATCTTCTACGACGACCTCTCCAAGCAGGCCGTCGCGTACCGCCAGATGTCGCTCCTCCTCCGCCGCCCGCCGGGCCGCGAGGCGTACCCCGGCGACGTCTTCTACATCCACTCGCGCCTCCTCGAGCGCGCGGCGAAGATGGGCAAGGCCGCGGGCCTCGGGTCGCTGACGGCGCTGCCCGTCATCGAGACGCAGGCCGGCGACGTGTCCGCGTACATCCCGACGAACGTGATTTCCATCACGGACGGCCAGATCTTCCTCGAGAACGAGCTCTTCTACCAGGGCCAGCGCCCGGCCATCTCCGTCGGCCTCTCCGTCTCCCGCGTGGGCTCCGCGGCCCAGGTCAAGGCCATGAAGCAGGTCGCGGGCACGATGAAGCTCGACCTCGCGCAGTACCGCGAGGTCGCGGCGTTCGCCAAGTTCGGCTCGGACCTGGACCCCGCGACGCAGCAGCAGCTCAACCGCGGCGTGCGCCTCTACGAGCTCCTCAAGCAGGGCCAGTACCAGCCCCTCGAGTGCGAGGAGCAGGTCATCATCCTCTTCGCGGGCGTCCGCGGCTACATCGACGCCGTCGACGTCTCCGCGATCCAGGACTACGAGAAGGCCTGGCTCGACCACGTCAAGACCTCCCACCCCGACATCATGAAGACCATCGTCGGCGAGGGCTTCGTCATCTCCGACGCCACCGAGGCGAAGCTCGGCAAGGTCTGCGAGGACTTCACGGCCGCCTTCTCCGCCTAGGCGGCGTCGGCAAACCGCGCGCGCGCCCGGCACAGAACCAAGACGCCCACGCCGGGCCCCGCGCGACGCGCGGCGCCGAGACCCTCCAGTCGCCGGCGCCCTGCCCCCCGCCCCGTATCATCCCCCCCGCCCCCGATTTATAAGGGATCATCATAGACGACGACGTCCGGGCGGCAAGGTGCCGGCAACACCAGAGCTCGGCACGAGCCATCGATCTGCGAGCTCAAGCAGCCGCCGGCGTCGAAGCCGCGCCGCCTCCCGCGCACCCACCGCCACCGATGGCGCGCGCCGCGGCGCTCTGCGCGATCCTCGCGGCCGCCGGCGACGCGCTCCTGTTCGCGCCGTCGCCGAAGCCGTCGCCGCGGTCCATCGCCGCGGGCGTCGTCGACGACGCCTGCCGGTCGCTCGTGAGCCCGGCCGCGACGTCCGTGCGGTCGCGGCACCTGCTGGGCCCGACGACGATGCAGCGCTACGCCGACGAGCTCGAGCGGCGGCGGCGGGCGGCGCAGAGGCGCGTCGAGGACGCGTACGCCAAGGCCAAGAGCCTCGGCGTCGCGCCGAGCTTCGGCTCCGAGGCGCCCGCGCGGGTGCTGGCCGCGCCGGCCCAGACCGACGGCGAGTTCCTGCGGGCGACGAGCTTCGACGTCGCGCAGTTCGAGAACGAGCGCGACATCGCCCGGCTCCGGCTGACGTGGGTCACGAGCCGCCTCGTCGGCGGCCACAGCGGCCGCGTCGCGGCGCACGAGGCGGGCCACCTCCTGGCGGCCTACGTGCTCGGCGTCCACGCCGTCGACGCGACGCTGAGCCGGCTCGACGCGTTCCGCTTCGACAAATTGGAGCGCGCGGCGTCCGCGCCGTCGTCGGCGTTCCTCGACCAGGCGTTGTTGGACGAGCTCCGGAGCGGCGACGCGGCCCGCGGCGCCGCGCGCGCCGACGCCTACGCCGTCGTCTTCATGGCGGGCATCGCCGCCGAGGCCATGATCTTCGGCGACGGGCCCTCGGGCTCCGACGACGACCTCCGACTGAAGCAGCTCCTCGCGCTCAACTCCGGCACGACGGACGTCTCGGACGAGGCCTTCGAGGCCGCGCGGCGCGCCGCGCTCGCGGACGCGCTGCGGGTGCTCGGCGCCCACCGCGTCAAGCTCGACCGGCTGCGCGGGCACCTCGAGGCGCACCGGGGCCGGTCGATCGGCGAGACGATGCTCGCCATCGACGACGACGGCGCCGGCGCGGCGCCGTCGCCGGGCTTCGACCCGCTGAAGCCGTCGCGGCGGAACCTGGCGTCCGCCATGGCCGCCTTCGGCGTCGGCGTGTCCGCGGCGCCGTCGTTCGCGGGCGAGTACCCCGAGTTCGACGCGATCCGCGCCGAGCTCGACGGCAAAGGCACGGGCGGGCTCCGGTTCATCGCCGAGCGGCTCGCGGCGGAGGACTACGGCGAGCTCCGCGAGTTCACGAAGCAGTGGGACCTCGACTTCCGCAAGGCCGTCCTCGGCGCCGCGCGCAAGGCCATGCCCAAGGGGCCGGACCGCGACCGCGCGGTCCTCGTCGCCAACGCCGTCACCTTCGACCTCATCGGCATCAACAAGGCCATCCGCAAGGTCGGCAACGAGGATCCGGCCGAGGCGAAGCGGTGGTACAACACGCTCGTCGACGACATCACGGACTACGTCACGCTCGAGCCCAAGGGTGCGCGCTACGTGCCCGAGAAATAAAACCACGGCGCTCGAGCCCGGGGCCCGAAGGGGACTCCGCCACACGAAAGGGGAGCTTAGTTGGACAGCCCGAACGCGCGCATCTCGCGGATGAAGAAGACGAGCTGCTGGCGGAAGGACGAGACAAGCTTGCCGAAGGCCCAGCGCGCGGTCGAGGAGCAGGTCTTGAACGGGTGGACCTTCTTGCGCTGGTCCGCGTCCGTGCCGTCGTCCCCCGCGTCCGTGTCGACGCCCGTCGCGACGAAGAAGACCGCGGCGGCGGCGAAGGCCGCCGCGGCCGCGCGCGCGACGTCGTCCGCGCGGTGGCGCGCCTGGGACGCGGCGAAGGCCGCGCCGGCCTCGCGGCTCAGGTCGCGCCGGAGCCGGTCCCCGGCGTCGAGCGGCGCCGGCGGCCGGGCCCCGGCGTCGTCCTCCCGCTCGCCCTCGCGGCCCGCGGCCCCGGCCGGCGCCGCGGCCCCGGCCGGCGCCGCGGCCCGGCGCGCGCCGCCGTCCTCGAAGACGATCGTCGTCTCCGGCGCGGCCGCGGCGTCGGCCTCCTTGCCCTCCTCGTCCCAGTCGCTGTCCGAGTCGGGCTCGAACGCGTCGAGCTCGCGCTCCTTCTCGAACTCGCGGACGAGCTCGACCTCGTGCGCGTCGAGGTCGTGGCCGTCGTAGAGGTCCGCCGCCGCGTCCGCGCGCGCGTGCTTCGCCGCGGCCTCGCCGTCGAGCGCCGCCGCCGCGGCGCGCAGGAGCCGCCGCTGGCCGCGGAACGACTCGAGGCCCGCGACGACCAGACCCGCGACGAAGAGCAGCCCCAGGAGGATCTGGCTCAGGCCCGGCGCGGCGTCGTTGATCGCCGCGTTCACGCCCTCGAAGAAGACGAGCAGGCTGACCGCCGCCGTCGACGCGAAGATGGCCGTGATTGCGACGAGCTCCTTAAGCACGAGGTCGCGCATGTCGTTGGGGATGACGACGAGCGTCGCCGTCAGCGCCATGAGGAGGAAGTAGTGGTAGGGCGGGTGGAACTCGAACTCGGCCCGCAGCGCGGCGATGCTCCGCCCGCCCCAGCGCGGGTGGCTCTCGCGGTACGCGCGGTTGCCGTCGCCGTGCTTCGCGGACGACGCGACCATCGCGTCGACGGAGCCGACGGCGACGTCGCGGACCTGGTGCCGCCAGTGGGCCACCTGGTCGCCGACGCCCTGGCGGCTCCAGTCGCTCAGCGCCGCGAGGAGCTGCCGCGTCCGCGACGCGCGCGCGCGGCGCCGCGCCGCGCCGACGGGCCGCCGCTCGTCGAGGTACGCGCGGTGGCCCGCGACGGCGCGGAGCCGGCCGGGGAGCCGCGCGAAGTCGCCGCCGCCCTTGAAGGCCAGCGCGAGCTCGTCGGGGTCGAGCAGGTCCGACGCCTCGACGCTGAGCGGCGTCCGGAAGTGGAGCCGGAACCGCGTCGGGTCGAAGGCCTGGAGGACCTTGGGCGTGATGAACGACGGCAGCGTGACGCGCATGAGGAAGATGCGCAGCGGCTCCACGGTGAAGACGTTGAAGAAGATGAAGAACATGGTAAACCACCACCAGGCCAGCGTCATCTTCTTGCCCTGCTGGAGGCCGAAGATGAGGAGGAAGTAGGACGGGTACGCGAACGCGAACGCGGTGACGCCGTACCCGAGGACCCACCGCTGGAACCGCGTCACGGGCGGCGCGATGGGCTTGGGCGTCGCGTGCGGGTCCGAGAAGGACCCGTCGGCCGCGAGCTCGAGCTCGAAGATCTTGCGCTCGAATTTGCCCAGCAGCTCGTAGCGCAGCAGCTGGTAGCAGAGGCGGCACTTGACGGCCGGGTCGTCGACGGCCGCGAGCCGCGCGTTCCACTGCGCGGCGACGCGCATGTTCGTCTCGAGCACGTGCGCCGTCTTGGCCACGAAGGCCTCCTTCCAGTCCCGCGCGCTCGGATGGCACCGCCAGCGCCGCTCGAGCTTTCGGAGCAGCCACTCGAGGTCCGCGCGCTCGCGCCGGTCGTGGTAGTCGAGCGCGTCGATGGCGTCGAGCACCTCCCGGCGGCGCCAGACGACGCCGCAGCACGCCGGCGCGACGGCGAGCAGCGCGAAGTAGCGCGGCCCGCCCCCGAGGGTCTCGTAGACGACCTCGAGCGTCTTCTTGGACAGCAAAGCGTTGCCCTCGTCGCCGTCGCCGTCGTCCGTGAGCGGGTCGCGGCAGCCGAGGCGGTGCAGGAGCACGTCGCCGGCGACCCGGAGGCCGCCGTCCTCGCGCCGCTCGCGCGCCTCGTCCTCGTCCTCGTAGGCCTCGCCGTCGTCGTCGTCGTCGCCGGCCTTCTTGAGGGGCGCGCAGGCGTAGCGGATGAAGACGAGCTCGAAGAGGAACTGGCAGGGGAGCGCGATGGCGCACGCGGCGAAGATGAGCACGACGCGCCGCATCGTGATCGCCGCGGAGCCCGGCGGCGCGAGCTGGCAGCGGTCCAGGCCCGGCTCGACGACCTCCGGCGGGTCGATGAACATGCACATCTTCCCCCCGTCGCCGAAGATCGACTCCATCTGCAGGCATTCGTCGCGGCCGAGGGGCTCGTCGGGGTCGCAGATGCCCGTCGGGAACGCGAACCAGAACATGACGGCCTGCGTGACCATGATGCTCAGCACGTTGAAGGCCCAGACGACGCTCCGCAGCCCCCGCGACATCTGCGGGTCGTAGCAGGAGAAGACCTTGAGCCACGAGTGCTTCTTCCAGAGCAGCCGCGCGCAGTAGCGGTAGGGCCGCTCGACCAGGACCGTCGCGGACGCCGGCAGCGACGCGTGGACGAGCGCGAGGTGCGCGTCCGCCGCGTCGACGGGCGTGCCGGGCGCGACGCCGACGAGCCGCTCGCCGGGCGTCGTCGTCGCGAGGCGCGCCGCGTGCGCCGCGCGCGCGGCCGCGGCGCCGGCCGCGTCGCGCGCGTCCGCGCGCCGCCCCCAGAGCGCGACGAGCGCGCAGATGCCCGCCATGGTCGCGTAGGTGTAGATGAGCAGCAAGTTCTGCGTGATGACCTGCGTCGTCGCGCCCGCCTTGAACGCGGACGCGAAGTAGGACGTCGCGACGTCCGCCGCGGAGCCGTAGTCCGCGGGCTCCTCGGCGAGCGCCGCCGCGCAGCGGCACGTCGTGTTCTCCGCGGTCACGGCCGCGACGTCGCAGGCGCGCCGCGACGACGCGGCGTCGCGGTCGCAGCGCGCCGTCGCGGCGCTCGAGCAGTTGACCTCGACGGCGCCGGCCGTCGCCGCCGCGAGCTCCGCGAGGAACGCGTCGTCGTCGAAGGCGTAGTCGTCGTCGGCGGCGAGGCGCGCGTCCGCGCAGAGCGCCGTGACGTTGGCGCCGGCGCCGCAGGCCGCGTCCGCCGCGGCCTGCGCCGCCGCGACGTCCGTCGCGTTGCCGCAGTCCGCGCGGATGAGCGCGGCCGCGGCCGCGTCGAGGTCGAGCGGCGGCTCGTGCGGCAGAACGATGAAGAAGTCGCCGCCGCCCGCGGACCCCATGACCTCGAAGCGCACCGTGGGCGTCGACAGGCGCGCGCCGTGGAGCTCGACGTTGAGCTCCGCGAGCGTCGCCTCGACGGGTTCGCCGCCGCCGAGGTCGACGCCCGCGGCGCCGGCCGCGCCGGGCCGCCGCGGCGCGGCGAGCGACCCCTCGACGACGCCGCTCGCGACGCTCACCTCCGCCGACGCGACCTCCGTCGGCGCCTCGCCCCGGACCTTGCCGCCGAGGCCGCCGAGCGCGACGGCGTCGACGGCGTCGACGAGGTCGCCGTACGCGCCGCCGCCGGCGGCGTCGCCGGCGCCCGCGAGGCGCCGCCGCCGGGCCCGGGGCTTCGCCTTGCGGCGCACGCGCGTCGCGAGCGCGCGCTGCCGCGCGCGCGCCGCGGCGGCCCGCGGGGACGTGCCGTTGGCCGTCGCGTTCGCCGGCGGGAAGACGCCCGCGCCGATGAGCGAGCTCAGCGTGCCGACGACGTTCCGCGACGTCGCGCCGCTCGCGGCCTCGCCGTCGCCGAGCGTGTTCTCCGCGACGACGGACACGGTCCGCGCGGCGCTCAGCGCGCCCTCGCGGCCGTCGGCGTCGAGGCTGTCGACGGCGTCGGAGCCGAGCGCGGCGAGCGTCGAGCTCTGCTGGAGCGCCGCCGCGCCGTTCGGCGTCTGCGTCTCCATCGTCGCCTCGAAGCCGGCGAGGAGCGCGGCCGTGAGCGCCGTCGTCGCGGCCCAGTCGTCGGCGTCGACGTCGCAGGCCGGGCCGTGCCAGCCGGCGTCGCAGGCGCAGGCGTCGCCCGCGGCGACGCCGTTCGCGCAGCCCGCGTCGTCGAGGCGGCGCCGCCGCCGCCGCGCGCGGTCGCCCGCGGCGAGCGTGAGCGCGACGCCGAGGATCGCCTCGTGGGCCGCCTCGGTGTTCGTCGTCTCCAGCGCCGCCGCGAGCCGGTCCTCGGCGTAGGCGCCGAGCTCCGCCGCGCCCATGGCCGACGGCTCGACGACGATCGTCGTCTCGCGGCTCGCGGCCGCGCCGTGCGCGTCGCGGCAGCGGACGGCGACGACCAGACCGTAGCCGTCGGGCTCGTCGCCCTGGGGCAGGACGACGCCGCGGAGCTCCGGCTCGAGGAGGTCCGCCGCGAGCACGTTGGGCCGCGCGCCGGCGCCGGGCGCGCGGTACGCGTACGCGTAGCGGAGCGGGCCGTCGCCCGCGGCGTCGACCCAGCCCTCCGCGAGAATCGCGAAGGCCGTCGCGAGCGCCTCGCCGGCCGCCGGCGCGACGGCCACGGACCCGCCGGACGGCGGCGCGTTGACGGCGAGCGCCACCGTCGACGACGCGGCCGCGCCGGAGCCGTCGGCGAAGCGCGCCGAGAGCTCGAGCGCGTAGGCGCCGCCGGCCACGAGGACGCCCGCGCCGAGCTTGAGCACGACGTCGCCCGGCGCCGCGGCCGCGCCGCGCGTCGCGACGGCCGCCGCCGCCGCGAGGTCCGCCGCGCCGTCGAAGACGGCGCCGGGCGCGGCCCAGGACCAGTCCACGGGGCCGCCGCCGCAGGGGTCGACGCGCGCCGTCACCGTGACGCCCGCGTCCGCGTCGAGCCGGTCGCCCCCCGCGACGGCGTCGACGGACACGCAGGGCGCGGGGTCCGCGACGACGCGCACGGCGACGGGCGCGGACGTCGCGGACCGGCCGTCGGGCGCCGTCGCCGTCGCCGCGAAGGCGTAGGCGCCCGGCGCGAGGCCCGCGAGCTCCGCGACGGGTCCCGGCGCGACGTCGAAGGCGCAGGGCGCGCCGCCGACGTCGCAGCTCCACGCCACGTCGACGCCGCCGCCGCCGTCGGCGTCCGGGTCGCCGGACGCGGACGCGTCGAGGCGGACCGTCGCCGCCGCCGCCGCGACGCGGTCGCCGCCGGCGACGACGGCGACGACGTCGGACCGGACGAAGGCCAGCTCGACGGACGCCCGCGCCGCGACGCCGGACGCGTCCGTCACGGTCACGGCGAGCGTCGCCGACGACCCCGGCGCGTCCGCGGGCGCGTCGTACGCCTCGAGGGAGAAGCTCCGCGGGTTGAGGCTCCGGCTCGCGGGCCAGCCCGCGCGGTCCCAGGCCCAGGCGTAGTCGAGCGCGGCGCTGTCGAGGCCCGCGGCCGCGCAGGCCTCGGCCGACGCGAAGACCTCGAGGGGCTCGGACCGCCGGAGCTCGCGGCGCGCGCCGCCGGAGATGGCGACGGTCGGGATCGCCTCGCCGCGGACTCGGACCGACGCCGTCGCCGCGGACGTCTCGCCGAGGAAGTTCGTCGCCGCCACCTCGACGTCCACCGTCGTCCCCGCGGCGGCGGCGAGGTCCGCCGCGGCGACGACGAGCGTCGCGCCCGTCGCGGCCGCGGCCGCGGCGCCGAGCGCGCCCGTCGCGGACCACGCGAAGGCCAGGGGCCGGCCGCCGCCGCCCGCGGTCTGCGACGCGTCGAGCTCGAGGTCGCCGCAGGAGCCGGCCTCGAGGGGCGCGACGAGGACGACGCGCGGCGCGACGGCCGGGTCCGGCGCCGCGAGAACCGCGGCCGTCGCCTCCGCGGGCCCGGCGCCCGCGCAGAGGGGCAGCGCGGGCCCGACGGCGCCGGCGACGAGCGATATCGCGTCGCCGGGGACGACGCTCGCGCCGGCGCCGAGCGTCACCGTCACCGCGGCCTCGCCGCTGAACGCGCACGACTCCGTGGGGCCCGGCACGTCGACGACGCCGCCGCAGGGGAACGCCTCGCCGCCGCCGCGGCCGCCGCGGTCGCTCGGCGCGTCGAGCGTCACGGCGATGGTCCCGAGCGACGACGAGAGCGCCGCGGCGGCGATCGCGGGGCGCCGCGGCGCGCACGCGAACGGCGCCGCCGTCGGCGCCGGCTGCGGCGCGGCCGTCGGGTTGCCCGGGAGCACCGTGGGCGCGGGCGTCGTCGGCTCCGGCGTCGGCCGCGGCGTCGGCGCGGCCGTCGGCCGCGGCGCGGGGGCCGCCGTCGGCCGCGGCGTCGGGCCGAACGTCGGCCGCGGCGACGGCGCCGCGGAGTCCTCGGCGACGCCCGGCGACGGCGCCGCCGTCGGTTTCGCCGTCGGCTTCGCTGTCGGCCAGGGGCTCGGGACCGGCGTCGGCCGCGCCGTCGGGACCGGCGTCGGTCGCGGGCTCGGCGGCTCCGACGGGATTGGCGTCGGCTGGTGGGTCGGCTTCGGCGACGGGCGCGCGCTCGGGAAGGGCGTCGCCTTCGTCGGCCTCGACGTCGGCCGCGCGGACGGCCGCGGCGTGGGAGGGCGCGTCGGCCGCCGCGTCGGCGACCCCGAGGGCTTCGAGGTCGCCTCCTCAAACTCGAAGGCGCCGCTCTCGACGGAAGCGGTAGGGATCGCCGTCGGCGACGGCGTCGGCGGCGCCGTCGGCCGCGGGCTCGGCGGCGGCGTCGGCCGCGCGGTCGGCAGAGCGCTCGGCCGCGGGCTCGGCGGCGGCGTCGGCCGCGGGCTCGGCAGAGCGCTCGGCCGCGCGGTCGGCAGAGCGCTCGGCCGCGGGCTTGGCGAGGACGTCGGCGCGATCGTGGGCGCGGCCGTGGGCGCGGCCGTGGGCGCGGACGTCGGCGCGATCGTGGGCGCCGCGGACGGATCCGCCGTCGGCGCGGCCGTCGGCGCGATCGTGGGCGCGGCCGTCGGCGCGGGCGTGAAGGACACATCGAAGGCGTAGGACGACGTCAGCGACGAGTCGTCCTCGCACGTGAGCGTCATCGTGTACTCGTTGACGAGCGCGTCGCCGGGAACGACGTGCTCGTTGACGCCGTCGTTCTCGAGGATCTGCCTGGCGACGTCGCTGCCGGCGCTGTCCTTCAACACCGCCTCGATCGTCGGGCACTTGCTCGGGTCGCCGACGTAGTCCCAGGTGACCTCGCACGCGAGGTTCGCGACGCACGTGTCTCCGGCGCCGACGCTCGTGATCGTGAGCGACGACGCCGTCGGGCCCACCGTCGGCGCGGCCGTCGGCGCGATCGTGGGCGAGACCGTCGGCGACGTCGAGGGCGCGGCCGTCGGCGCGGGCGTCGGCGACGTCGAGGGCGCGGCCGTCGGCGCGATCGTGGGCGCGGAGGACGGAGCCGCGGACGGGGGCATCACAGCCGTCGTCGACTCGTAGAGCGCGCGGACGCGTGCCGGTCCGAGGGCCACTTCGTGGAGCTCGAAGCCGTCGACGACGCCGTCGAATTCGTAGCCGGCCTTGGTCCAGGCCCCGACGCGGAGCGGCTCGTCGTCCAGCGTAACGAGGGGCTCGGCGGGCGCGTGCGCGCCGGCGACGTCGCCGTCGAAGTAGAGCGTGGCGCCCTCGGCCGCGCCGAAGGCGAGGCAGTAGTGGTGCCAGGCGCCCTCGCCCGCGACCACGGCGACGTGAGTCCGCGTGTCACCCCGGAACCAGGTCTCGAACGCGTCCCCCGTGAAGCCCAGACCGAAGGCCGACCCGGTGGGGCCGTCGTCGTCGCCGCCGTAGGACGCGAGGGCGCCGCCGCCGCGCCGGAGCGCCCAGAGGCACAGCGTCCGCGGCGCGGAGCCGAGGACGCCGCTCGTGACCTCCGCGGGAAACTCGACGTGGCCGCCGGACAGGTCGACGGCGCCGCCGCCGTCGACGCCGACGGCGAGCGCGTGCTCGCCGACGATCGTCCCCGCGAGCGCGGGCTCCCCCGACGCCTCGGGAACGCTCGCGCCCGCGACCGCGTCGAACGAGTAGCGAACGCCCGCCGCCAGCAGCGCCGTCGTCGGGGCCGTCGTCGGCGCGGCCGTCGGCGCGGCCGTCGACCCGGCGTCGTAGAGGACCTGGATCGACGCCTCGTCGAGCGCGCTCGCGTAGACGTAGACCTCGTCGATGGAGCCGTCGAGGTAGTAATCACTGTCAAACCGCCCAATTTGGAGCGGGCGGTCCGAGCCCGTATCGAGCGCGGCGGTCGCCGTCGCCGCCTGCGACCCGTCGAAGTAGAGGACCCAACCGGATCCGTCGTAGGTCAGGCAGTAGTGGTGCCAGCCGCCGTCGTCGGACCCCGACAGCGCCACTCCCGTGTCGCCGCCCCAGAGCTCGACATAGAGACTCGCGCTCGTGCCGTGCACTCGAAGTGCGAAGTTCGCCTGGTCGGAGTAAGCCCCGTAGTCGAAGAGGCCCCCGTCGCCGCCGAAGGAATTGATGACCGCCCACAAGCACACGGTCCGCGCGCTGCTCCCGAGGATGTCCGAGGTCACAGCCGAGGGGAACTCGACGTAGTCGTTCGACCCGTCGAAGGACAGCGCGCCGCTCCCAAACAGACCCGTCGTCGCTGTCGCGCCGGTGATGGTCCCGTCGAGGCTGCTGTCGCTGTCCTCGGTGGCCGTGCCGTCGTCGAAGGAGTAGTGCGCGACCAGCGGGGGGGGGTCGGGCGCGAGGACGTCCGCGGCGACGGCCGCGACGCCCGCGGCGTCGAGGGCGACGTCGTAGATGCGGAGGTCGTCGACGGCGCCGCGGAGGTACTGCCAGTAGGCTTCGCCTTGCATATTCGTGTCTTGGCCCGCCATGACGTGGAGCCGCGCCGACTGCGGAGGCGCGCCGACCGCGGACGCGGTGTCGAGCTCGACCTCCTCGGACTGGAGGAGCACGCCGTCCTCGTAGAGGCTCGCGCGGGCCGCGGCGTCGTAGGCGGCGCAGTAGTGGTGCCACGCCCCGTCGCCGTTCACGGCGACGTCGTCGAGGTCCCGGTTGCCGCCGAGCTTGAGCTTCATCTTGCCGTCCTCCGCCTGCGTCTTCAGGATGAAGGACCCGCCGTTCACGATCGGGTCGCCGTAGTGGAACAGGGCGCCGCCGTCGAAAACGTCGACGCGCGCCCGGAGGCACACGGTCCGCGGCGCGGCGGCGACCGGGAGCATGGCCAAACTCGTCGACTCGTCCCAGACGACGTAGGTCTGGTCGCTCGAGTCACTCGATGTCGGATCGTTGAGGATCGCCGTCGTCCCGTCGGGCCCCGCCGTGGTGGCGTAGTTTTCGACGACGCCCGAGAAGAGGGGATTGATGTCGTCGCTCGCCGAGGCCGACCCGTCGTCGAAGGAGAAGCGAAAGCGGGGGGCGGGGGGGTCGGCGGCGGACGCGACGGCCGCGAGGGCGATCACGATCAGGTGGGGGGGGTGGCTCATCGTCGCGTGGCGGCGTGGTGCGGCGCAATTTCTCCGCGATCGTGATTCGCAGACGCTTTGGAGCAGAAAATTTGCACAACGGACCTCGTCGAGCGTCGAACACCGAGGGACAAGGCCTGGGACACATGAGCGCTCCTGCGTCCTTGTGCCGGCGTCGCCCGACGCGCCGAAAGAGCGTGTCGTCCACGCGGCCGCCGACGCTCGGGTGCCGGGTCATCGTAGGGCGCGCGGGATCGCTTAAACACACAAACCGATGTCCCCCGCGGCTCCCCCGGTCGAGCCGACGCGGCGCGGGCCGCGAGCCCGCAACTTACTCGCTAGTTGGGCTCGTCGCTGACCCGGAGCTTGGCGATGGCGGCCTCGGCGCACTTCTTCGCGTTGCGCAGGTCGCGGAGCAGCGCGGACCCCTCGGCGAAGTCCGGCGATCGGAGCGCGTCGTCGAAGCACGCCAACGCGCCGTCGTAGTCGCGCCGGCCGTGCTTCGCGCGGCCGAGGCGGAAGCGCCACTTGCCGACGGGGTCGCCGGGTTCCGCGTGCTCGACGGCCATCGCGGCCGCGCGCTCCGCGGCCGCGGGGTCGTCCCAGCGCAGCGCGATGGCCGCGAGGTTCGCCCAGGACCGGGCGTCCGTCGCGTCGAGGAGCGTCGCCCGGGCGTAGAGCGCGTGGGCGCGCTCCAGCTGCCCGTCCTTGAAGGCCGCGTTGCCCGCCTCGCGCGCCTCCGCCGCCGCGGCGCGCTTCGCGTCGTCCTCGGCGGCCCGGGCCTCGAGGGCCGCCCGTCGCGCGAGGCCCGCGGAGACGTCCTCGACGACGGGCGCGTCGCTCGCGTCCGCGAGGATCTCCTCGGGCGTCTTCCGCGTGAGCTCGACGACGTCGCCGTCGCGCAGCACCGCGCCCATGCGGTCGTCCATGCGCAGCGAATCGCCGAGCACGACCTTGAGCGCGCAGGGCTCGTCGCAGCCCAGCACCTCGACGAGCTTCGCGCAGGGCTTGCGCTGCCACTGGAGGTTGAGCCGGACCTTCTTGCCCTGGTCCTTGTCCGCGTCTCGCAGCGTGATCCGCAGGTCCCGGACGTCCTCCGTGCTCACGACGGGCGCGAGCTTCGGGTTCGGCACCTTGGCGATGGGCTTCGGCGCCTCGCAGACGATCTTCTCGTAGTAGCGCTTGTCGTGGAGCGCCGCGTTCGTCGCGCGCACGGGGGGGAGCTCGTCCTCGTCCTCCGACTCGCAGAGCTCGAGCGTGTCCGGGTCGAGGCGCTTCGGGGCCTCGCAGACCTTGTCGACGTAGTAGCGCCGGTCGTGGAGCACCGTGTTCGTGGCCTGGGGCATGGCGGCGCTGCTACGCGCGTCGCCTTCTCGCCGTCGTCGTAGTCGATGTCGTAGGTGCCGTCGCCGCGGTCGCGGCCGATCTTGCCCGGGTAGTACGGTACTTCTCGCGGCCGCCTACGGGCTGCCCAGGACCATCGATGCGAAAGGCGACTTTCGCGCTTCACGTCACCTTGGGGCGTTGCCGAGCATCTTTGCCCTGCCAGGGACGAGTGGCGAGCTGGTGCCGTAATCGAGTACAAGGCGCCGCGCCTCGTAGACCATGAGCGCCACGGTGGAGAAGGCGATGGCCGCCCTGTCGCCGTTCCTGAAGACGGCCGGGGCGGCGCTCAAGGCGCAGGGCCAGGGCCTCATGCTCACGGCGCCGACGGCGGCGGCGGCCGTCGGCGGCGTCGTCGAGGTCGACGGCAAGCTGCCGACCGTCGCGGCCGGGGCCTTCGTCGCCCCGACGGCGACGCTCCTGGGCCCCGCGACCGTCGCCGAGGGCGCGTCGGTCTGGTACGGCGCGTCCGTCGCGGGCGCGGCCGTCGGCGCGGGCGCGTGCGTCGGCGACGGCGCCGTCGTCCGCGGCGCGGTCGGCGAGGGCGCGCTCGTCGGCGCCAACGCCGTCGTGCTCGGGTCCCTCGGCGCCCGCGCCGTCGTCGAGTGCGGCGCGACCGTCGAGGCCGGCGCGTCCGTCGGCGCGGACGGCCGCGTCGGCGCGGGGTCGCTCGTCGCGGCCGGCGCGGCCGTCGGCGCGGGCGAGCTCTGGAGCGGGAGCCCGGCGGAGCTCGTGCGGGCGCTGACGCCCGCGGAGCTCGCGGCGGCGGCCGAGGAGGCCGCGCTCGCCGTCGACCTCGGCGCCAAGTACGCCCTCGAGTGCGCGAAGTCGTACGAGGAGCTCATCGCGGACGACGCGGCCGACGAGGACAAGGCCATGCGCCACCCGAGGTACTTCCAGCCCCTCGACGGCGACGACGAGTACACGTCCGTCGGCGGCCAGGACACGGGCATCGTCCCGGGCCGCATCATGAACAACGCGATCTCCCAGAACAAGCGCATGGGCGAGCGCTAGGGCCGCCGGCGGCCGCCCCCCGGGGGCGACACCGCGGGCGGGCCCCCACCTCTCCCCCTCTTATTTTAGAAGCGACGTCGTCGGTGGGGCGTGCACTCCGCGGAGAACGCGGCGAAGAGCGTCGTCGGGTTGTGGTCCATGTCGGCCTTGGGCAGCGTCACGAAGCGGTACTTGCGCGGCACGGACCGCATGATCTCGTTCTCCATGGCGTAGAGCATGTAGTTCTCGCAGAGGCCGCCGCCGCCGCCGCCGCACGCCGCGAGGAGCGCGGCGAGGTGCGGGAAGTCGACCTGCGTGAGGAAGGGGTAGCCGAACGCCGTCGCCAGCGGCGCGAAGTGGGTCAGGTTGCGGTCGTTGGACATGAGGTAGACCGACGACCCGGGCTCGACGCCGAACTCCGCGAGGAGCGCCGCGATGCGCGCGGGCGACGTCGCGCGATCCATCTGCGCCGGGCAGTACTTGGCCCGCTCGAGCTTGTCGCCCCGCCGGCAGTGGACGACGGCGACGCGGCCCGTCGTGGACAGCGCCTTCAGGCGCGCGGCGACGGGCGGCACGGCGTCGAGGACCGTGTCCGACGCCGCGAAGGTCGCCACCAACCGATGCCGCGCGAGAAAGTCCGTGAGGTCCGGCAGCTTCCGGAAGAGATTGAGGCTGTCGGAGACGTGGTTCTTCTTCGGGCCGGGCCTGCGCTGGAGCAGCCCCGGCGCCGCGTTGAGCGCGTCCGGCGCCGCGCCGTCGTGGTAGAGCAGCGCGCCGTGGTCGTCCGCCAAAAGCCGCGACAGCTGGGCCGTGGACACGTCGGCGACGCAGGACGCGAGGGCGCCCTCGCAGACCGTCCGGCGCTGCTCGACGACGCGGAACGTCGACCGCTCGAAGGACAGGAAGTCGGACCACCGGTGGTAGAGGAACGGGAGGCCGAAGTTGTGGTTCAGCGTGAGCGGCGGCGGGCCCAGGAGCACGGCGCGCCCGAGGCCCAGGCCCTCGCCGAGGACGGCCTTGAGGTTGCTGTACTGGTGGTTCAGGCCGCTCCGCGCCGCGTTGCGCGCGTCGAGGTTGTAGAGCCGGCTCAGAGGGCCGCCGCCGAACTGGGCCACGCAGCTGCAGTTCTCCAGCGCGAGCACCTCGGCCTGGAAGATGCCCGGCGTCCGCGCGGAAACCGCGGCGACGAGCAGCAGCGTCAATGCGACGAGGCGCATGGGTCACATCACGTCGCGGGCTGCCTCGCGGGCATCACCATCGGTCGAGGTGCCCGTCAACGCCGGCTTTGGCGGAGGCCTGCCGGTCGATCTGCGGTCGATCCGCGGTCAAAATTATTTCCTCGTGCTGACTTCAGTGCTTGCATCGTCCATCGCCACTGCCCGCGGCGCCGCCATGAACCGCGCGGCGTCGAACAGCTCGTTCAAGAAGAGCCTCGACGCGCTGAGCGTGCAGTCGGCGGCGGCGGAGAGCCCCTTCGAGCGGCGGCGCGTCGGCAAGCTCGTGGTCCTGGTCTTGGGCGTGCTGGGCGTGCTGCTGCTGGGCCGCGTCGTCGTCTACAGCGAGGGCGGCATCCAGGTGTCGCAGCTCGGCGACGCCGTCGTCTGGAGCTCGGCGCAGGCCAAGTGGGGCGACGTGCCCTGCGGCGGCGGCGACGCGGCGCCGCCCGTCGACGGCGCCGCGCGCGTGCTCGTCACCGGCGCCGCGGGCTTCATCGGCTCGAGCCTCATGGCGTCGCTCGGCGCGCGCACGGCGAACCGGCCCCACACGGTCGTCGGCCTCGACTCCTTCAACGACTACTACGCCGTGTCCATGAAGCGCGCGCGCGCGGAGCGCCTGAAGCGCGACTTCGGCTACGACGTCGTCGCCATGGACGTCTGCAACGCGTCCATGGTCGAGGCGCTGTTCGCGAAGCACGCCTTCACGCACGTCGTCCACCTCGCGGCCCAGGCCGGCGTGCGCTACTCCATCACGCACCCCATGACCTACGTGCACAACAACCTCGAGTGCGTCGTCTCGCTCCTCGACTTCGTCGCGCGCCGCGAGGTCCAGCCCCACTACGTCTACGCGAGCTCGAGCTCCGTCTACGGCCTCAACAAGAAGATCCCCTTCTCGGAGCTCGACCCCATCACGCACCCGGCGAACCTCTACGGCACGTCAAAGTTCGCGGACGAGCAGATCGCCGGCGCGTACCACAACATCCACGGCCTCAAGTCCGTGGGCCTGCGCTTCTTCACGGTCTACGGGCCCTGGGGGCGGCCGGACATGTCCGTGTATTTGTTCACGAACAAGATCGAGAACGGCGAGACGATCACCGTCTTCAACCACGGCGACATGTGGCGCGACTTCACGTTCATCGACGACATCGTCCAGGGCATCGAGCGGTCCATGGAGTACTGCGCCGACAACGCCGCCGTCTTCAACCTCGGCAACTCCAAGCCCGTCAAGCTCGACTACTTCCTCAAGACGCTCGAGGGCGAGCTCGGCGGGCCCAAGACGAAGATCCACTACGAGAAGTCGAACGCGGAGATCAAGGAGACCTACGCCGACGTGTCCAAGGCCCACGAACTGCTCGGCTACGAGCCGAAGACGTCCATCGAGGCCGGCGTCAAGTCCTTCATGGCCTGGTACAAGGCCCAGCCGCTCGCGCTCCGCAACGACTGGGCCGGCGGCCGCTTCAAGGGCGGCCGCAAGCGGCGCCGCTAGGAACGCGGGGCCTCTGTAAGCTAGGGTCGGTGTTAGGGTGGCCTACCGGGACGCCGTGAACTCCTCGGTCCGCGCGTCGAGGTTCGCGGCGTTCTCCGGCTGGAGCCACGGCGGCGACTCGGGCGGCGCGCCGTCGGGCACGGAGAGCGCGGCGTCGAGCGCGGCCCGGAGCACGTGCTTCCGGTCGCGCTGCTTGAACTTGACGCCGCGCTGCGTGAGCGCGGCCTTGAGCTGGGCGATGGTCAGCGGGCCCGTGTCCGCCGCGGCCGCCGCCTGCGCCCAGATCGGCGACACGTCCGGCACCTGCTCGTCGGTGACGCAGCCCTCGGAGGCCGTCTTGACGACGGACATGTACTTGTAGAGCGTGCCGCAGGTCGCGCGGAGGGGCGGCGGCTTCCACGCCGCGCGGCGCTCCGCCCACTGCTGAGGAGTGAGGAGCACGTCGATGGTCCGCTTGTCGGCGCGCGCGTCGATCTGGATGGCGTCGCCGTCCTCGATGAGGGCGATGGGCCCGCCGATCTGCGCCTCGGGCGTGATGTGGCCGATGCAGAAGCCGTGGGACCCGCCGGAGAAGCGGCCGTCCGTGAGGAGCGCGACGCAGTCGCCGAGGCCCGCGCCCATGATCGCGGACGTCGGCGTGAGCATCTCCGGCAGGCCCGGCCCGCCCTTGGGGCCCTCGTAGCGGATGATGACGACCATGCCGCACTTGATCTCCCGGTTCTGCAGCCCCTCCATCATCAGAGGCTCCGAGTCGTAGACCTTGGCGACGCCCGTGAACGTCTCGCCCTCCTTGCCCGTGATCTTCGCGACGCCGCCGTCGGGGCAGACGTTGCCGTACATGATCTGGAGGTGGCCCGTGGCCTTGACGGGGTCGCTCAAAGGCTTGATGATCATCTGGCCGGGCGTGAGGCCCGGGTGGTCCGCGACGTTCTCGGCCCACGTCTTGCCAGTGACGGTCATCTGGCTCCCGTCGAACATGCCGTTGTCGATCATGAACTTGATGACGCCCGGCGTGCCGCCGATGTTCTGCACGTCCTCCATGACGTACTTGCCGGAAGGCTTCAGGTCCGCGAGGAACGGCGTCTCGTCGGAGATGCGCTGGAAGTCGTCGAGGCCGATGCGCACGGCCGGGTCCTGGCAGGACCGCGACATGGCGATGAGGTGGAGCACGGCGTTCGTCGACCCGCCCGTGACCATGACCATGCGGATCGCGTTCTCGAAGGCCGCCTTGGTCATGATGTCGCGCGGCTTGAGGTCGAGCTCGAGCAATTTCTTGATCGCGGCGCCCGCGGCCTTGCACTCCGCGAGCTTCTCGTCCGAGTCCGCCGGCGACGAGGAGGAGTAGGGCAGCGACATGCCCAGCGCCTCGATGGCCGTGGCCATCGTGTTCGCCGTGTACATGCCGCCGCACGCGCCCTGGCCCGGGCACGAGTGGCGCGTGATCTCGAGGCGCTCGGCCTCGTCGATCTTGTCGTAGACGTAGGCCCCGAAGGACTGGAAGGCGCTGACGATGTCGAGGGACTCGCCGGACGACGGCTGCTCGCCCGCGCGGATCGTGCCGCCGTAGACCATGATCGACGGCCGGTTCAGCCGGCCCATGGCCATGACGACGCCCGGCATGTTCTTGTCGCAGCCGGGGATGGCGACCATGCCGTCGTACCACTGGGCGGACATGACCGTCTCCATGGAGTCGGCGATGATGTCGCGCGACTGGAGGCTGTAGCGCATGCCCGTCGTGCCCATGGAGATGCCGTCGGACACGCCGATCGCGTTGAACCGGTAGCCGACCAAGCCCGCGGCCTGGCAGGACTCGCGGATCTTCGTGCCCAGCTCCAGCAGGTGCATGTTGCAGGGGTTCCCGTCGTACCAGATGGACCCGACGCCGACGAAGGCCTTCTCCATGTCCGCGGGCTCGAGGCCCGTCGCGTAGAGCATCGCTTGGCTCGCGCCCTGCTTCTTGTTGCTCGTCAGCACGGAGCTGTAGCGGTTCGTGAACGGCTCCTTCGTCTCGTAGAGCGTCATGGGCTTTTCTTCTTCCGCGTCGGCGGCGCGCAGGGGCTTGCGGTGGCGCACGGAATGCGGAACTGCAACGAGGGCGTCGCCGACGCCCCAAAGGGCCGTGAGGACCAGGATTTGGCGCATGGTCGTTTTTGCGGACTACTGCGACTTGCTGCGGGGTCCCTCGCACGTCGAGGCGCCCTCGCGCGCGCGCACTGCGACGTCAAATGCAGTGGCTTGGACTTACTTCGTCGCGGTCGGCCGGCGCGCGTTCAACCAAGGCGAGAAGTTCACCATTGTGTTCACCCAAAATCAGGCAAGCGCATGGTGCAGCTTAGCGGAGCCGCTGCGCCGCACTAGCGGGCGTAAAACGCGCTGCTACGCAGCATAAAATGGCCGCACAATTCGAGCGCTTGCAGATCCAAAGCGACGCGGCAGTTTTAAAACAGGACCTGCGCGAGGACTACTCGGAAGACGCCTCAGCCCTGCTCGAGTCGCTGGGCGCGCGGACGTCGGCGCACCGCGGCCAGCCCTACGTCGTCGCGCAGATCGACGGCGACGTCGTCGACGCGTCGAAGCCGCAGAACGTCGACGACGGCGGCGGCGACGACCCGAGCCGCATGCTCGTCTTCGACGTCGTCGTCGGGCCCGCGCGGCGCCGCGCGTTCGAGCGCCGGCCGCTCGCCGCGACGCGCGCGGAGTTCGTCGCCGGTGCCAAGGTCAGGATCTCGACGCGCGTCGGCGCCGTCGAGGAGCTCCTGGCGCTGACGCCGGAGACGGCCGCGTGCCTCGGCGGCGGCCGGCGGCCGGCGCCGCCGCGCGCGATCCGGCCGAACCCCGACGGCCCGCCGCGCTTCGAGCCCTTCGACCCGGCGGCCGTCGTCGAGGCGAGAGCCCCCGTCGAGAGAAAAGAGAAGCCGAAGGCCGGCCTCGCGGGCCTCGACCGCGGCGAGCGGCGGACGCTGCGGCTGCCGGTCGACGGCCTCGGCTACGACGGCGGGCTCCGGGCCACGCTCGGCGGCGAGGTCGCCGCGGCGGCGCCGCCCCTCGACGCCTTCCTCTTCAAGGGCCAGGACGGGGCGGCCGTCCTGCCGAAGCTGCGGCCCTACTTTCTGGGGAAGACGCTCGCGCTGGACCTCGAGCGCACGGCGGACGGCGCGCTCGTGCTCCACAACCTGAGCTAGTGTGTTCTAAAATCGCTGGCGAACGGCGCGCTCGTGCTCCACAACCTGAGCTGACGCGTGTTCTAGAATCACAGGAGACCTTAAGTTCCGCGGAGCTGGCGGGCGGCCGCGAGCTTGCTCTGCCGCTTCGCCGTCGGCGAGGGCTTCGACGCGGGGCTCGACTTCGCCGCGGGGCTCGGCGCCGGGCTCGCCGCGCGCGGCCTCTCGGGCGCGCGGCCGACGACGAAGGACGGCCCCTGGCGCGGGTCGCAGTGGCGCGTGGAGCCCCCGAGCGCGCGGCCGACGCCGCTCGCGAGGTCGTAGCAGCCGATGGCCGTGCGCTCGCCGTCCGCGGCGCTTTCCCGCGCGCCGCGGAGCGGGAAGTAGACCGCGTCGTGGAAGAGCAGCGCCGTGAAGCCGAGCGCCGGGTCGAGGATCTCGTAGAGCGGGCTCCACTCGTCGCGCGAAGCGTCGTAGCCCTGGATGAGCACGGGCGACGACGCCACGGCGTCGTCGGAGTCGATGCGCCCGGACATGGCGAGGAGCGTGTCCGACGCCCCCAAAAGCACGTTCGTCGCGAAGGTCTCCTCGGCGCCGTCGTCGCGCGGCCGCGCGGCGCCCGTCGGCGGCGTCGGCAGCCGAGCGCAGAAGGACCAGCGCGCGTCGCCCGGCGCGAGGCGCTGGACCCGCGCCAGGTGCTGCCGCGTGTAGTGGGCCTCGACGGCGTAGATCGCGCCGCGGACCTCCGCGGTCAGCAGGTCGCCCTCCCGCGCGTCGCCGCCGTCCGGCAAAAGATCCGGCAGCTCGCGCCACGCGTCCGCCGCGACGTCGTAGCGCTCCGCGCTCCGCGACTGCGCGTTGCCCTCGCCGAAGGTCCGCGCGTAGCCCCCGAGGACCACGAGACCCGCGCGGCCCACGGCGACGGCGCACGCGGCGAAGCGCGCCGTCCGCATCGACGCGACGTCTGACCAGACGCCGCCCCGGCACCGCCGCACGGCCGCGGACGGCGCGAAGGTCCCGTCGACGCCGCCTAAAACGTAGAGGTCGTCGCCGACGGTCTTGAAGGCCGAGAGGCGCACGACGACCTCGCCGCTCCGCTCCGCGGCGTCGCTGAGCCGCGGCCGCGGCGACCAGCGATCCGTCTCCGGGTCGAACTCGTAGTGGGAATCCAGGGGCGCGTAGGACGCGCACTGCGTGTAGAAGCGCATGCGCTCGCCGCGGCGGTCGCCCGCGCTCGCGACGGCGGCCATCTCGGGGATGAACGCGGAGCCGGGCTCCTCGGCGCCGGGCTCCGGCGGCGCCGCGGCGACGCCCTCGACCCGCTCCCAGCGGTGCGTCCCGAGGTGGAGCCGCGCGCCGGCCATGGGCGCCATGGGCGGCTTCTGGTCGCCCCGCTCCATGGGGAACACGTACAAATAGTGCGCCGCGAAGCGCTCGGCGACGGCCGAGCCCGTCGCCCGAGCCGCGCGGTCCAAGGACGCGACGTGCCGCGTCGAGCCCGCGAACTCGGCGACGAGCTCCAGGAGGCCCGCCTGCCGGAAGACGCGCCCGCGGCCCGGCCCGCCGCCGGAAGGCTCGAAGGGCGACCGCGCGCGCGTGCGCCGCGCCACGGGGTTCTCCTTGACCATGGTGGTTTCGGAACTGGTTCGCCCGCCTCGTCGACTCTCAGCCGGCGCGCGACGTCGCCTCGTGTGGCCTCGCGGCGTCCCTCGCGTGCGTTCCGCGCGAAGCAACTGTGTCGGCGCGTCGCGAACGTCGCAAGGCTTGAGGTGATCTGCGGCACGACTCGATAGCATCTTCGACTTCTGGAGGATCTCGCGGCCGACGTTGGGCGGCAGGTCCTCGGAGTAGTCTGCGGCGGGAACCGGTAATTTTGCGTCGAGTTACTTCTTCGCCTTCTTCGGCGGCGGCAGGGCCCGCGGCGGCGGCGGTGGCGGCGGCGGCGGCGCGGGCGGCGGCGGCGCGCCGAAGGGCGGCGGCGCGCCGAAGGGCGGCGGCGCGCCGAAGGGCGGCGGCGCGCCGAAGGGCGGCGCGCCGAAGGGCGGCGGCACGCCGAAGGGCGGCGGCGCGCCGAAGGGCGGCGCGCCGAAGGGCGGCGCGCCGAAGGGCGGCGGCGCGCCGAAGGGCGGCGGCGGCGCGGAGGCGCGGATAAGATCCTGGCAGGACTCGGACTTCGCCAAATGGATGCTCAAACCGCGCGGCGACTTGAACGGCCGATGACAAATAGCACACATGTGCGTCGCCTGGCCCTCACAGCCGACATTGTTTTTGCGGTCCGTTTCTAAATGCCGCCTTCGAGCGTTCGTGCGCGCGCGGATGTCGTCGACGCTCATGGCAAGCGGCGTGTTCAACAAAACCCCGTTGCACTTCAGTCCGCTCGCGCGCTTGTCCACGTACGGCCGCGGCGGCGCGCCGCCGTGGCGGCGGTTGTACTTCAGCTCGTTCTTGTGGGCGCGCCACTTCTCGTAGCCCTCGGGATCCGACGCCTTGAGCCGGGCGAGTCGGATACGCGCCTTCTTGGCCTGGTGCGCGCGCCACTTCTCGTAGGCCTCGGGATCCGACGCCTTGAGCCGGGCGAGTCGGATACGCGCCTTCTTGGCCTGGTGCGCGCGCCACTTCTCGTAGGCCTCGGGATCCGACGCCTGGCGGTCGGCGGCCGGCACGTACCGGGCGCGCGCGAGGTCGCTCGTGTGCGCCAGCTGCAGCGTGCGCGCGGCGCCCGGGTCCAGCGCCGCGTCGACGTCCGCGGCGGTCGAGGCGAACAGCGAGTCGCCGGGCTCGTCGAGGCCGAGGAGCAGCGCCGCGTCGTCGCCCAGGGCCACGGCGCCGTCGAAGATCAGCGACGTGTCCGCGAGCGCGTCGTCGAGGGTCAGCAGCGACTCGTCGAAGCCGCCGCCGTCGCCGAGGAGGCCCGCGAGCGACGCGTCGGACCCGAAGGCCTCGTCGAGGAGGCCCGTGGCGCCCTCGGCGCGGCAGCGGAGCGCCGCCAGGGCGGCGGCGCGCGCCTGCGGCGCCTTGCCCTTGGGGATGAGCTGCGAGACGACGAGCCCCGCGCGGTGGCGCTTGAGCGCGCCGACCGCGTGGTAGAAGCGCACCTCCACGAACTTGTCGCCCACGCGCATGGCCGCGACGACCTCCTGCCCCGCGAGGACGGCCGTCAGCTCGTAGAGGCTCTGCGGCTGGACCTTGAAGATGTCCGCCGCGAAGATGTTCGCGCCGCCGAGCATGGCCTCGCGGTTCATGTCCGCGGGCGCGGCCACGAGCACCAAGTCGATGCCCAGGTCGGAGTACACAGCGCGCCACTGTTCGACGGGCAGCTTGCCGTTGAGGATGAGCTCCTTGAAGTCCTCGAGCGTCGTCGACGCCGGGAGATCGGGCAGCTCGGGGTGAGCGAGCTGAAGGCGCTGGTACTCGGCGATGGAGGCACAGATGCCATCCCAGTGCAGCCCGAGCGACAGCGCGCCGTGCTGTGTCGCCCCGTGCGACTGGAGGCGCACGTGCTTGCCGTCGACGCAGCACACGAGCGCGTCGAGCGCGAGCCAGTGGTCGAGGAACTCGCGGCGCAGCTGCAGCGCCTGCGAGAGAAACGACAAAAGTCAATATGAAGTCAACATGATTTGTCTCCGCGCGATCGCGTTCGCGCGGAACGAGCCCCCCCTCGCTCGCTCGCTCGTTCGCTCCGGCGCGGCGACCGGCGCGGCGGCGAGGCGCCGAGCCCCCGAGGAGCGTCCCGCCAGAGGAGCCAGGATACGCCTAGGATACCCGTAACGCAGTCTCACTCTGATCTGGGTTATGTCCCCATTTTCGCGCTGTGAGCCACCGCGCTACACCTGCTAGCTGTGCGCAGCTACACCGCTGCGAGCCTGCGCGCAGAGCGCGCCGCCCGCAGCAGATCCACCGCTCGCGAGCGGCGGATAGCCCCTGGAGCCAGAGCGCGCGCCGCCGCAGAGCCCGGCGTCGCGCCGCGCTCCGGTCCAGGCCCCACCAGCGCCCGCGCGGACCGCGCGCGGCGCAGCGGCGAGGACACCAGCACCCCGCCTTCCTACAATGCCGCCGCGGACCCGCGCGGGCGCGGCCGGCGGCGGCGACGGCGACGACGAGCCGACGCTCCTCAGCATCGTCGAGCTGAACAAGCTCTTCAAAGACGTCGTCATCTTCACGCCGCACGGGCGCGTCTTCCGCTACGTCAACTCCCACGCCCAGCTCGGGCTCACCTACACCCGCTGCGCCGAGTTCGCACTCGACGGCTACATGGACGCCTCGCACGGACGCGAGATCCACCGCACGGCGTCCGGCGTCTGCCGCTCGCGCTCCGGCGGCTACATCTTCGCATGCGGCGCGTCCGTCTGCGCGTGGTCGTCGGTCCAGTACGCGACGGCGATCTCGACCTTCGAGGCCGAGCTGTACGCCCTGGTCGTGCTCGTCCGCGTACTCCTGAGCATGCGCTCTCTCGCATCCTTCATGCTCAAGCGCAGCCTCCGGCCGTCGCACGTTTACTGCGACAACGAGTCGGCAATACTCTTCCTTCGCGGACGCGACCTTTCCGCCCGGGCGCGGCACATTCGGTGCCAGCTCGGCTTCCTCTACGACGCGCTCGACTCCGGCGAGCTCATCCTCCATCACGTCCCATCGAAGTTCAACCCGGCGAACACTCTCACTGCCGCCGAAGACGAGGATCGCTTCCGGCGCTCGCTCGCAATGATCGCCGGGCTCCGCGTCAACGACAGGAACGAGCTCGTCGACCTTCCTCTCGCCTAGGCCTGGCGGCCCGCGACCCTGCCGAGCCAACCTGGCCAACGGGCCGCTCCTCCCGCCCGCCTCCCTGCACGCCGCGGCGTGCACAACACTCCCGCGCCTGAGGCCGCGGGCGACCCCGCGGGGTCGCCCGCCGGAGCCCGCGCCTACTTCCTCCCTACGCCCGGAACAGCGACAACCCTGCGGGGTTCTACGCCGGTTCCCGCTCTTCAGGCTCAACACGGCGTGCCCGCAGGGCACGCCGCACCGTCTTCCTCCCCGGCGCGGTGCCGTGGCACCCGCCCGCCTCCCTGCACGCTGCGGCGTGCACACTCTCATTCCCCGGCCTGGCTTCGCAGTCCCCGCTCCGCCTTTCCGGCCGCGGCGGGGGAGCAGAGGAGCCAGGATACGCCTAGGATACCCGTAACGCAGTCTCACTCTGATCTGCCCGCGCCGTCCGAGCGCGCGCGGCCGCGCGACGAGCGATGCGCGAGCGATCGCGCGTGTTCCGGACCCGGGCGTCGCGCGCGGCCCTCCGGCGGGAAGACGCCCAGGGGGAAGTCCTCGGAGAGGAGAAGAGACTTGCGGTTCTGATTCTCGCCGCCGGGGTGGCCCATGGGGTCCTTCTCGTCCGCGAGGCGCGCGCCGAGAACCGCGAGCGCGTGCGCGTCGTCCCCCTCGATCTCGCACACGTGCATTCTCGACTTACACCCCGCGAGGAGTTCTTGGACCGGCGTCCGGTCGAACTTTAAGTTCGAGGGGACGAACTTTGCTTTCTTGACGTCTGTCAGCGTCTCGCCCTCGCCTTCATTCACGATTGGTAGGCCTCGGCGCTTCACTTCGTCGTCACTGATGTATCGCGGCACGCCCTTGAGTTTCGGGTCTTTTTTCGTGCCGTGGCAGCCGTTCAAGACCCCGAACGCGGCACCGTTCGCCATTCGAGGGGGCGCGGGCGCGCCAGCGCGCGCCAACGGCGCCCCGGCGCACTCGTGAAAATCAATTGCCACTAGCCTCGACGCGTTCGGACAAAAGCACCGACCTCGGAAACCTCGATATTATTATTATTATGGGTGCTTTAACGTGGGACTAGGACGGCGGCCCGTGGGCGGCCGTCGGCGCACGCGGATCAGGTCGGAGATCGGAAGGATCACTCAGCCGAGAGCCGAGGTGTGCAGGTAACCGGAAACGCCCGCCCAAGGCGAAGCCAGTTGAGGAGGCCCGTCTGTCAGCCCCTCACAACGGACTGGACGGTGGGAAGCCGCGGTAGCAAGTCGTCGAGAGACCCCGCGGGCTGGAGATCAATCGACGGCCGTCGGGGACGGCGGGGGGAGCGCGGCGAGCCAAGCCAGGGTAGATGGCCCTGCCGAGACGGACGAGGCCGCGCGCCAAGATAGCGGAAGGGAGAGTCGGAGGGGGCTCGCTCCCCGACACCGGGCAGGCCCGGAGTCAGTGACCGGGGGCGAGCGGGGGAAAGAGGGGGAAGAAGAAGAAAGGGGGGGCCAGCCGCCGCGCGCCGCGGGGCGGGGCGGACCGCCGGCCGAGGCCCTGTGAGTCGATATAGCGCCGTTCACCCGGACTTCACCTTTCGACGTTGAACCAATCGAGCAGTCCCGCGAGACCGTCGCAGGCCGCCGTCGTGATGGTTGCGCGTCAATCAAGCTTCAGCTTTGAGTTGTTGAACCAAGCGCGCCGTGGTCCCGCTAGACGCTTAGTCCATAGGGGAGCGTGTCCGTCTGCGTCCGGTCGCGGGGCGGCGACGCGGGCTCCTCGGCGAGGGCCGCCGGCGGCGACGCCGTCGACTCGGGCGCGTCGTCGCGGCGGGGCTTGGCGGGCCCCGCGCCGTCGTCCGCGACGAGCACCTCGAGCGTCTTGTGGAACGACGCCTTGACGTCGCGCAGGTCGTCGCGCGTCGCCGCGAGCTCCGTCTGGAGGAGCTCCACCTCCCGGGCCTGCGCGGCCGTGGCGCCGTGCAGCGCGTCCTTGGCGTCGCCCGCGTCGTCGAGCGCCCGCGCGAGCTTGACCTGCAGCACGCGCCGCTCGCTGTCCGCGGCCTCGAGGCGCGCGCGCAGCTCGTCCGTCTCCGCCGCGCGGCCCCGCTGCTCGGCCCTCCAGGCCGCGTGCTGCGCGGCGTCGGGCGCCGCGGCCGCCGGCGCGCGGAGCGCGCGCTTGGCTTTGGCCGCGTCGGCGACGGCCTCGCGCAAACTCCGCTCCATGGCGTCGCGCTCGAGCTCCGTTTTGTGGAGGCGCGCGGCGAGGTCGTCGGCGTCCACTTCCGGGGCCGCCGCGGCCGCCGCCGCGGCCCGGTCCGCGTCGTCGCGGAGCAGGTCTCTTTCGCGCTCCGCGGTCCGCTGCGCCTCGCGCGCGGCGGCGACTTTCGCGGCCGCGGACCGCTCCGCGTCGTCGACGCGCGCCCGCGCCCGCGCCTCCGCGGCCTCCAGGGCCTCCGCGTGGGCCGCCGCGACGTCCCCGCCGTCCGGCGCGGGCGCGGCCTCGGCCGCGCGCTCCCACAGCGCGCGGAAGTCGTCGCGCTCCGCCCGGAGCTCGCCCGTGAGCGCCCGGGCGCTCGCGAGGTCGCTCTCGAGCGCCGCCTTCGCGCGCTCGCTCGCCTCGAGCGCGCTCCGGCTCCGCGCGGCGTCGTCGCGCGCCGCCGCGGCCGCGGCGACGACCTTTTTCAGGCCGACGCTCTCGGCCTGCAGCGACGCGACGCGGCGCTCGAGGCCCGCGACCTGCCCCTCGAGGTCGGCGCAGCGCAGGGCCGCCGCGCCGCCGTCGCCGGACTCGTTCTTCGCGAGCGCGGCCTCGAGGCGCGCGACGGCGTCCGCCTTGTCGTCGCGGTCGGCCTTGAGCGCCTTGTTTCGGCGCTCCGCGGCGCCGAGCTTCGCCGCGAGCTCCGTGCCCTCGGCTAGAAGCTCCTCGCGCTCCGCCTCCTTGCCCGCGAGGGCCCGCCGCAGCGCGTCGTCGTGGCCGGCGCCGTTGGGTTCTCCGGGCGGCGCGTCGGCCGTCGGCGGCGCCGCGACGGGCGCGTCGTCCGGCGATGTTGTTGTCGTCGTGAGATTGAGGCCCATGGACGCGTCGATCTCGGCCTCGAGCGTCCGCTGCACGTCCATCATCTTGTTCAGGAGGCGCGCCATGACGGCACTGGCGGCGCGTGGGCTCCCGCGACGGCACCGGCGGCGCACTCGAGCACTCAAGGGGTAATAGCGGCAGCTTCTTGCGAGTTGCACGGCACGACCGACGCGATGTCGTCCCGGCGTAGTCCGATGCCGTCCCGTCGTCGTGAAGCTTGTCGTGAATAGGATCGTAAGGTGGCCGAAGGCGGGGGGGCTCCGGCGCGGGGGCGGTTCGGTCTTCGTCGGCGGGCGGGGAGGCGGCGCGGGCCGCGGCCTAGGTGTACCACTTCGTCGACTGGAGGGGGTGGTGCGTGTTGACGATGCCGCCCTCGTTCGCGACGCTCTTCGCGTGGGCCATCTCGACCTTGTCCATGAGGCGCGCCTCGAGGTACTCGGCCTGCTTCGCCTCGGCCCGCGCCTTGGCGTTGGACACCATGAGCTGGCGCACGCCCGCCTGGTTCGCGCGCGCGGCTCTGAGGCGTAAATCGCGCTTCCGGTCCTCGTCGCGGTTCGCGGCCTCCTGCTGGTCGCGGATGGCCTGGATCTCCGCGCCGTAGGCCGCGCGCTCCTCGATGGCGGCCTGGGCCTTGTCCGCCATCTGCTGCTTGCGGCCGAGGTCCACCTGGGCCATCAAGTAGAGGCGCGCCTCGATCTGGTCGCGCTGCTCCTTGTCCTTGGCCTCCCAGATGCGGTTCTCGATGACGAGGCGGTCCGCGTTGACGCGCGCCTCGTCGACCTCCTTGACCTTCTCGAAGCCGTCGAGATAGGACTTGTAGCGGAGCGCCATCTCCTTCTCGTGCGCGACCTTGGCCTCGTCCTTGGCGTCGTCGGCCTTCTCGCAGCGGAGCGCGTAGTCGAGGAGCGTGAGGTCGTGGGCCATGGTCTCGGCCTTGACCTTGGCGCGCCGCCGGTCGAAGACGTTGTTGAAGCCCGCGACGTCCGCGCCGCGGCGCCGCGCGTCCTCGCGCGCGTCCGCGACGGCTTTCTTCTCCGCGTCCATGGCGACCTTCCACTCTTCTAATTCCCGCTTCGCGTCGTCCATGCGCTTCTCCTGGCAGGCCTCCTTGCGGCGGCGCAGGTCCTTGACCTGCTCGTCGAGCACGTCCTTGACGGCGAACTGGCGCGAGATCTGGAACGCGATCTTGTCCGCTTCTACTTTATCGGCGGCCTCCAATTGGGCGCGCCACTTGACGACGTAGTCCTCCTCGTCCTTCGCCTCCACCTCGAGGCGCTGCTGCTTCTCGAGGATCTGGTCCTTGCGGCTCTCGGCGACCATTTCCAAGACGGCCTGGCTGTCGCGGGACCGGACGTCGTCGCAGGCCAGGCGGCGCTGGCGCCGGAAGCACTCGTCGACGTTGGCCTGGCGCTCCTTCTCGCGGCGCTCGCCCAAAGCGTAGGCGCGGTCGCTGAGGCGCTGCTTCCGGACCTCGATGGTGTCGCCGAACATCTCGACCTCGCGGCGCCACTCCGCGCTGTCGGCGGCTAAGAGGGAGGCCAACCGGTTCCGCCGCTCCGTCAGCGCCCGCTCGTGCTGGTCGCTGAGGCCGCGGATGCGGTTGTTCCGCACGCGGTTCTTGATGACCCCGAACGTCTTCTGCTCCCAGAGCGCGCGCTGCGTCGAACTAAAGACCTCCGCGTTCCGCTTCTGCGTGTCCTCGATCTTCGCCTCCTGGGCGCGGCGCTGCTCCATCTCCTCGATGGGCCGCCGCGGCCGCTCGAGGGTCGTCAGCGTGTCCTCGCGCGTCGTCAGCGTCGCCGTCCGCATCTTCGGGGCCGACCGCGCCTGGGCGGCCATGGCGGCGGACGACGAGGCGAACCTCTAATAACGACGGCGGCGGCGGCGGCGGCGGACTCCCGGCGCGCGTCCGAGGACGACGGCGAGGACGAGGGTGCGACGCTGCCCACCAGCGTGATCGTTATCAGCGCGCGGTGTTAGCAGCGTATCCGAGGGGTGCGGGGAAGCTTTGGCTCGTTTGCCCACTAGCTCTAGTGGTCTCGAGGAGGTGGGCGCGAGCTTTTGTCTCGAGCTGCGTGCCGATGGCGCCGGCGAAGAGCAAGAAGAAGGCGCCGGCGCCAGCCAAGAAGGCGCCGCCAAAGAAGTCGACCAGGAAGCCCGCGGCCGCGGCCAAGGCGCCGCCGCCGGCCAAGAAGGCGCCGCCGCCGAAGAAGGCGGCCAAGAAGGCGCCGGCGCCGAAGCAGTCGGCCAAGAAGGCGCCGGCGCCGGCCAAGGCGGCCAAGAAGGCGCCGGCGCCGAAGCAGTCGGCCAAGAAGGCGCCGGTGCCGACGGGTCCCCGCGCGTGCGCGACCTACGAGGGCCCCGTCGAGGGGTGCGTCTTCACGACCGTGCGCGGCATCACGGGCTACTTTGAGGACGAGCACCCGGCGGCGACGGAGCCCGCGCCGGCGAAACCTGCCAAGAAGGCGCGTGCGCCGAAGCGGAAGGCCAAGAAGGCGCCCGCGCCGAAGAAGGCCAAGAAGCCGCCGGCGCCGGCCGGCGCGCTCGGCAAGATCGTCGGCCACGCGGGCGCGGCCATCGCAGACTTCCTCGAGTTCGGCGACGTGCGCAGCGCTTTATGCGCCGGCGGCGACTTTGTCGAATTGCACGAGGAGGTCTCGACCTTCGACATCAGCCTCGCGGCTTCACGGGCCTTCAAATCGTCGGAGCGGCCCGCCTTCGACGTCTGCATTCGCGGCGTGCTGTCGCGGATGCCGCGGCTCAAGTCGCTCGTGCTATCGCATCAACTGCACGTCTCCGCGGCGACGTTCGAGGGCGTCGACCTCGGACGCGTCGAGCACCTCGGGCTCCGCAACTGCTTTCGACTCACCGCTCCTGATCTCTCATCGATCGTCGCGCGGTCGCCGCGTGTGACGTCCCTCGACCTCACGCAGATCGCTCTTGCCCCCGCCGGCATTGAAGCGATACTCCAGAGCGCGCCGCCGTCGCTACGCACGCTTCGCCTGCATTTCGTTCAGCTGGCTGAAAGAACGGGTGAAGAAGGAATATTTAAAGGGCAATGCGTGAGGAACTTCGGCGGTATCTCGCGCCTGGAATTGCACAACACACCGGGTACCTATCCAGCGCTGGCCAAATTTCGAGATCCGGGCATGAAAGTGGAAGCACGTTGCTACAGAATGCACCAAGAGCTTGCGATGATGAAGTCTGTGAAGAAAAACGTGCTGCCACTCGTCGGCTCGGGGCTCCAACTCGCCTTCCACGCGCACACGGAGCAGTGGATCTGTGCGGGCGTCGACGCCCGCATCGTGGAGCTCGGGTCCCTCATTGCAGAGATTAACGTCGAGATCGACGCGCTGCCTCCCTGCCCCGAGGACGAATTCCTCGACGAGTTCTATGGCAATCTCAGCGATGTCGACAGCCGCGCCGATGCGAACATTGCCCGAGTGGGACGATATCTGCATGCGCGCGACGACTGCAGCATATTCCGAAGCGCCTTCGCTTTCTGAGTAAGAGACCCCCGCACTAGCTAACCCGCGTTACTTTCCCCACCACCCCTCGCGGCGAACGTCGCGCGCGCGTACTCGGGGAACTCGACGCCGCCGCCGCCGTCGACGTCGGCGTCGTCGACCCACTCGGCGACGCGCGCCTCGTCGACGGGCCCCGTCGCCGCGCGCAGGAGCACGCGCTCGAGCTCGTCGAGCGTGACCGTGCCGTCGCCGTCGCCGTCCAAGGCCGCGAAGGTCTCGTAGCACGCGGCGACCTCGGCCTCCGTCGCGCCGACGCTGTCCGCGAGGTCGCGGAACGCCGCAGATTGACGCGGGAGCAGCGCGGTCGTCGACGCCCGCGCGGCCGCCGCCGCGGCGTCGTAGGCGGCGCCGTCGACGCCGACGAGCGACGCCAAGCGGAGCGACGCCTCGGCGACTTCCGCGACGACGGCGGTCGCGCCCGCGGTCGCGAGGCCCGCGGCGTCGGGCCCGTCGCCCGCGCCGCGCGCGCGCGCGAATATCGGCGCGTCCGGGAAGTAGCGGCGCAGCCGCGTCGTCGCCTCGAGGCGCCGCGACGCGCCCGCGTAGGCGACGACGACGGCCCGGGGCTTCGTCACGCCCGCGGCCGTCAGCACGTCCAAATTCGCGCCGTCGCCGAAGACGACGTTGCGGCCCTCGAGGACGCCCGACGCGACGCGCCCCGGGTCCAGGTCGATGGCGACGCAGGGCGTTTGGGCCGTTTCCAGGTGCGCCATGACGGCCTTGCCCAGCAGCCCGTAGCCGCAGACGAGCACGGCGTCCGCGTTCGCGCCGTCCGTGGGTTCCGGCCGGAGCAGGTCGCGCACCGCGGACTCCGCGAGGCCGCCGACCCACTCTTCTAGCGTAATGTTCCCGTCGCCGTCGGCGTCGAGGAGCTCGAAGGCGCGGTCCGCCTTGCCCGCGGGGAGCCCCGCGCGCGCGACGTAGACGCGGAGCTCGTCGAGCTCGATGGTGCCCGACTGGTCCGCGTCTACCCGGTCGAAGAGCGTCTTCAGGTCCTCGGACGACGCGTCGCGCGCGTCCTTGTTCCGGGTTCCGCCCGACGACGTCCGCCAGCTCGCCGAGGATGGGTGTTAAAGACATGGAGAGGATCACGGAGGCCGCCAGGAGCTTGGCGGTCTCCGGCTCCAGGACGCCCAAATCCTCCGCCAAGGTGAAGATGATGAACGCGAACTCGCCGCCGCCGGCCAGGAGCACGGACGCGCGCGCGGACTGGTAGACGTCGAGCCCCAGCGCCGGGCCCGCCGCGAAGACCACGGCGGCCTTGACGAGGAGGAAGGCGAAGATGCCCAGGGCCAGCGTCGGGGCCTCCGAGAGAACCAATTGCGGGTCGAGGCCCGCGCCCGCGGTCATGAAGAAGACGCCGAGCAGGATGCCCTCGAAGGGCTTGATGTCCGCGGCGATCTGCGCCCGGTAGCGGTTGCCCGCGAGGAGGACGCCCGCGGCGAAGGCGCCCGTCGTCGCCGAGAGCCCCGCGGCCTCGGCGAGGCGGCCCATGCCCACGGCGACCAGCAACGTCGCCGCGACGAACGTCTCCGTGGACCTGGCCTCCGCGACGAGGTCGAAGGCCACCTTGAGCACCTGGTTCCCCAGAGCGAGCACGCCGCCGAAGCCGATCGTCGCCTTGAAGGCGAGGAGCTCGAGGCCCTCGACGCCCGGCGACGCGCCCGCCCCCGCGACCAAGGGAAGTAGCACGAGGAGCGGCGCGACGGCCAGGTCCTGCAATAAAAGGATGCTCAGCGCCGCGACGCCCTCGGGCTCGTCCTCCCAGCCCTTGCCCTTGAGCACGGGCAGCACGAAGGCCGACGAGCTCAGGGAGCCCGCCGCGGCGACGCAGAACGCCGCCACGGGCGTCGCGCGCACCGCTTGCAAGATCGTGTCGTCGAGCTGGGGGAGCAGCGTCTCGACGCCCGGCAGGATCTTGGGGCCCAGGTAGAAGGAGAAGAAGAAGAAGGTCGCGACGGAGAGCAGGAGCTGCGCGGCGCCTAATCGGAAGAACGCGCCGAGCGCTTTGAGCCGGTCCGGCGACAGATTCAAACCCTCGTTGAAGAGCAGGAAGAGGATCCCAAAGTCGCCGAGCCGCAGGTCCGCCTCCGTGTTGCTGAACAGCTCGAGCCCGTAGGGCCCGATGGCGCAGCCGACCGCGAGGAAGCCGAGCACCGGCGTCACGTTCAGGTACGTCGAGATGGGCACGACGAACACGGACGCGGCGAGGAGCGTGAAGAAGTCCTGGCCCAGCGAATTCATGACGCCCTCCGTGTAGGTCGCGGCGACCGCGAGGGTCGGCGCCGCGTGCGGCGCCGCGTCGGCGAGCGCTTGTGCGGCGTCGATGGACCGGAGCGGCGCGGGGCGCCTCGCGGGGGCGCAGCGCGATGGTAGTGGCGCGAAGGCTGTGCATTGAGTGATTAGCAGCGCTGCGATCGTTGCGACGGCTCTTTTTGAGCTTGTCATGGTGGTGCTGGGCCTAGCTGGCGCACGCACCGAGTTGTTGAGCCATCGTGTGCCGGCCGCGAAGCGAGGGCAAGCCGAGCGAGCGGCGCCGTGACGGAGACGCTTGAAGCACAAGGAAGGGCGACGAAGTGCTGAAGCGGCGTCCGTAGCACGCGGGGAGAGCGTCAGAGGGGTCGATTTGCGTGGCGGAGCCTCGCGGGTGGACGGCGGACGTGATCGCGCGTGAAAAGCGCGGTCGGTTTAGCCCTCCGGCGCTCCGGCGACCGCGTTTTGTCCGCGACGCGCTCTGCGCGCCTGCCGAGGCGGTCGCGCTCCCGCCGACGGTCTTAGGACCCGAATTCGGGCCGCTGCTGACTTGGCGGGCCGCGGTCATCATCTGTTCGTCGCCGCTCCGTGGGGCCGCGCGCGCGCGCGCGCTCCGACGTCCGAGCGCCTCCCCGACGCCGTCGCCCCCGCAGGTTACACCATGGCCCGCGTCCTCGCTCTCCTCGCCTTCATCGCGTCGGCGTACGCCTTCGCGCCCCTGCCCACCACTCCTCGACGAACGATGGTCCAGCCCCTGCAGATGGCGAACAACGCCGGCGCGCTCAAGCGGATCAAGACGAACGAGCGCAACCGCGTTCGCAACGCGGCCTGGCGCAGCAAGGTCCGCACCTTGACGCGCAAGACGAAGGAAGCCATCGAGGCGGGTGACGCCGACCTCGCCAAGGAGTGCGCGCGCCAGACGACGTCTGCCATCGATCGCGCGACCCGCCGCGGCATCTACCACAAGAACTGGGCGGCCCGCAACAAGAGCCGCCTCTCGAAGAACGTCATCGCCCTCATTCTCGAGTCCCGCGGCGAGACGAAGAAGGAGGAGCCCGTCGAGGCGTGAGCGGCGCGGGCGGAGGAACGTCCCGCCGCGACTGGAAGCAACTGTCCCAAATCCGCGCTCCCCGTAATACCGTGAACTTAGCCAGACGCCGAGACAAAGCCGACCACACATATTACCCGTACGCGATGGGCTTCCGGCCCATGACGACGCGCTCGTGCCTCCGGATGTTGTCCCAGAGCAGGCGGTGGCGCTCCGCGTGGAACGGCGCCGCGGGGACCGCGTGGGGCCGGTGCGCCGGCGCGTAGTCGAGCGCCCCGCCGAGGTGGCGCAGCACGTGGGCCGCGTAGGCCCGGACGGCGGCCGCGGAGACGACGTGCTCCGCGTACGCGTGCATGTTGTCGACCATCGCGAGCACGTCGGCCTCGTGCGCCGCGGCCCAGTCGTAGGCCGCCTCGAGCGCGTGGAAGTCGTGGTCCAGGGGCACGTAGTGGACCCAGGGCTCGAGCTTGAGGCCGTAGTACTCGCGGCAGTTCGTCTCCTGTAAGAAGAGCGCGGCCCCCATGAAGAGCATGAAGCGCAGCCGGTCGGACCAGCCGCAGTGGCCCTCGGCGTAGATGGCGTAGCGGTACTCGTCCTGGGCGCCCAGGGGCACGAAGTCCATGTGGACGTCGAACTTGTCCGGCCGGCGGTTCGCCGCCGCGAAGAGCGCGCGCCGCCTACCGTATAAAGTGAGTTCCCGGCGCGATAAAAAGACGCCGCGCACGCTACCCGCACAGCCGCCAGTCGCCGTACTTGGCCAGGTCGCTACTGTTGAGGCCCTGGCCCGGCCCGCGCCTACCAAGCATGACGGTGACGATGTCTCATTGATTTCCCAACCCACAGGACGCCGGCCCGCGCCAGCAGCTCTTGCCGAGCACGCCGCCGCGGAAGATCGCGCGCGCGTCGCGGCTCGCCCACGCGTGGCGCCGGCGCCCCCGGCCAAAGTAGCCCGGCCCGACGGCGTCCCAGCCCTGGATCGTCTCGTCCAAATCGTCGGAGCGCTTCGTGAAGACGGGGAAGGGGATCTGCTGCGACCCGCGGCAGCCGACGAGGCCGAGCGCGGGCGACTCGCCGACCCTTGCGCCGTGGTGCTCGTAGAACGACCGGTTGTGGCCCGCGTCCTCCGAGTCCATGACGCAGTCCGACGGGCAGAAGGCGACCTCGACGTCGTCGAGCTCGTCCGCGACCTGCATGATCAGCCCGATGGTCTCGACGCGCCGCTGCTCGCGCCACGGCCGGAAGTCGCCCGGCGCCTTGGTCCCGTCCAAGATGGCGTCCCAGGCGGCGAGCTTCTCCGGCGGGGCCTCGACGTAGACCGTGCGGTTGAGCACCTGGATGAGGACGCAGTCCGCGCCGAGATCCGCGGCGCGCCGCGTCGCCGCCGCGGACACGCGGCGCCGCCGCCAGTACGCCGTGACCTCCGCCGCGAGCAGCGCGGGCACGCCCCCCGGCGGCGGCCGCCAGCGCCGGACGCGCGGCGCCCAGTCGCCGACGAGGGGCGCGGGCACGGGCGGCAGGAGGCCGTCGAGGGGGCAGCGGAACTCGCGGTCGAGCTTCGGGCTCGGCAGCAGCCCCGCCGGCGCCGGCGGCGAGCGCTCGTCGCAGACGCCGCCGGGGCGCAGCAGGCGGAAGCGCATCTTCTGGTAGTCGATCAGCCGGCCGCAGTCCGCGTCGCCGAGGGAGCCGTAGTTGCAGACGCGCTGGAGCTCGCGGCCGATGTCGCGGAGCGCGCGCATGCGGATCTCGACGTTCCTCGACGGGTCGTGGGCGAGGCCCACGTGGACCACCAAGGGCGCCGCGGCGCAGGGCGCGTCCGGCGCCCAGGTCGCGTTGCCGGCGTCCTCCCGCGCGAACTTGTCGTCGTCCTGCAACCTTTTTCTCTCGTCGTCGATCTCCTTCCGGAGGCTCTCCGCGTCGAGGTTCAGGTACGCGCGGTGCCGCGCGACGAAGTCGTCCCAGTGGGCCCGCCGGCTCAGGAAGATGTCCGCGAAGCGCGCCGACGAGATCATGGACGTCTCCCAGATGATGAGCCGCAGCTCGCGCGCCTCGCGGAGCACGTCCATCGCCGCGCCGATGGCCGACACGTGGATCGCGCAGAGCTCGTCGTCGCGGGGCACGGCGCGGTCGCAGGCCGCGGCGATCTCGCCCGCGTAGTTTGTTGTTGTGATGGCGCCCTCGACGTCCTTGCCGTCCGCGTCGGCCATGTCGTGGAACCTGTAGATCAGGGCCTCCGCGCGCTCGGCCGGCCGCGCCGCCGCGGGGTCCGCCTCGTCGAACAAGACGCGGCACTCCTGGGCGACCGTGCGGCCGTCGCCGCGCCGGTACGCCTTGAGCCGCGCGCACTCGGCGCCGCCGCCGCGGTAGACCGTCGCGTGGAGGGGAGACCGTCGCAGGGCCGCGCCGCCGTCCAGCAGGCTCCGCAGCAGCACGCCCTCGGGGTTGTCCAACGCCTTCGGCGGCGGCCCCCAGGCGCTCCCGCAGGACGCCCAGGTGTCGAGGGGCGCCTCGAAGTAGGCGTCCGCGGCGCCGCGGCCCATGACCGCGACGTGGTTGTTGACGGGGAAGTGGTGCCGCGGCGCGACGACGACCCGCGACAACCGGTGCTCCTCCGCCGTCCCGCCGCCGAGCACCGTCGCGAGGTCCGGCGCGTCGCGCACCCACACGACGTCGAAGCGGTGGCGCACGACGGCGTCGAACCGCTTCCCGGACCGCGCCTCCTCGTCCGAAACGAGCCGCCACGCGCCCGCGGCGACGGCGAGCTCGAAGCCGAACTCGAAGCGCGGCCGCGTCGCGTTTTGCTCGCAGCCGCCGCGGGCGGCGAGGGGCGGCGGGTGCGCGCGCAGCACCTCCGCGCGGCGCACGACGACGCTGCCGGCGGAGCCAGCCGGCCGCCGCTCGAAGCTCCGCAGCGCCGTCGCGACGGCCTCGGCGGTGGCCACGGGGAAGATGGCGCGCCCGTGGCCCGCGAAGAGCGACCCGTCGACGCAGGCCGCCAGCGCGAAGACCTCGCAGGCCGCCGACGCGCAGAGGGCGCCGACGCCGCGGACGCGCACGTTCTCGCGCACGCGCGCGTCGCTCAGGAACGTGCGCGGATGGCCCGCGAAGACGACGGCGACGCGCTCCGGCGCGCTCGCGCGCGCGCATGCAGCGGCCGTAACAACGGCTCGCCAGCACATGGCGGATTCAGCGGTACACCATCGATGAGCTGCCCCAAAAGGCAACCACGCGACACCCAAAACTTTCCTCGATGGTGTCGCAAGCTGCCCGGAGACGATGGGTGTGTTCGGAGCCTGCTTCTCTCTCGTCCTCCTCATCGGCCACGTCGAAGGCTTCGCATTCCCGCGTCGCTCGCAGCTCCGTGCAGACGTCCGCGCGGCGGCGTCGACCAGCGTCGAGCGACAGGAGTGTTTTTCGCGTGAATTCCACCTGAAGATGTGAAGAAATACGACCCCGTCGCACTTGGTAGGCGTCGACGCGCGAGACCTTTGGCGAGCCCGTGGAACTGCCGGCGCCGAAACTGGTCCTCTCGGAGTGGTACGCGCTAAAAGGTGTCAGAGTCAAGCGCCTCGCGTGGCTCACGGGCGTCGGCGTCGTCTCGTACCTCACCTACGTGCTAGGAAGCGATGTTCTCAATTCCCTGATGGTCGACACCCTGGGCATCTCGCGGACCAACTCCTCCGAGGCCTTCGGCCCCTTCGCGACGCTGCTGGGCCTGATCTATTCCGTCATCCTCGGGCAGATCTACAGCTACTACTTCGACCGCCAGGGCACGATCCAGGACAAGCTGTTCATCGAGGCGTTCTCGCTGCGCGAGCTCGTCGAAACGTGCGGCGCGACGGCGCGGCGCCACGCCAAGTTCCCCCTGGGCTCGAGCCTCGACGTGCTCGACGGCCACGCGGCGGCGCTCCTGGCGACGGGCTTCACGTCCGCGGACGACTCATTCGACGCCAACGACCAGGACGATCTGGCGAAGCTGCTCGGCGTCGTCGACGAGCTCGAGGCGTCGACCGAGCGGCGGTCGCCGGAGCTCGTCCGCCAGGGCGGGGAGGCCTACCGCCGGGCGTCCATGGCGCGCTGCGAGCGGAAGAGCGCGCTCTACTCGGAGCTGCCGCCGATCCAGATCTATGCCTGCACGGTCATCTCCTGGGTCCTGCTCGGCGGGTTCTTGCTCGTTGACCTGGGCGCGCCGCGATTCGAGGCGGTCTTGTTCGCCACTTTGGCCTGCTGCTTCAGCCTGATCTCGTCCTTCGTCGACGACCTCGCGGACCCCTTCGGCGGGAGCTGGACCGTCGACGCGGCCAAGTCCGAGGTCGAGCACCTCATCGCCGCCATCGCCGCGCTCCGCCGCGACGCGAAAAAGTAAGAGTTTACGCGCAGGCGCGTCGCCACAGGCTCGTGTCGTCCGCGAAGACGCGGCGGATGCGGTCCCGCGACGCCTCGGAGAAGCGGCCCTGCGCGCGCGCGGCCTTGGCCGGCGCCGGCGGCGCCGCGGCGCAGGCCGGGTCGCGGTCGACGACCCCGAAGGCGTCGAGAAACGCGAACGCGTCGCCCGGCCGGCAGAGGATCGTCGACTTGTCGCTCGCGTAGAATCCGAAGGTCCGGAACGGCGCGAAGTTCAGCAGGTCCTCGTCCGCGAACGCGGCGAGCGTCGCGTCGAGGGGCGCGCGTTTCGCGTCGTCGAAGTCGACGCGGTCGCCGGGCCAGTCGAGCCGGGGCTTCCGCTCCGCGAGCCGCATCGTCAGCATCGACTCGAAGCGGTCCGCGGGCTCCCGCAGCGTCAGAAAGTGCTCCGCGCCCCGCGCCGCGGAGTGGTGGCCGTAGTTGACCAGGGGCGCGCAGCGCCGCAGGAGGTCGCGGACGTACTTGCCGCCGGTCTTGGGCACGTGCACGAAGTACCAGGGGAGGTACGCGAAGGTCGCCGTGAGCGCCGGCGGCAGCGCGGCCGCGAGCGCCTTGATCTCGCGCGCGGTCGCGGCGACGACGGGGGCGCCGCTGTCCTTGTCGAGGACGCGCAGTTCGCCGTCGCGCCAGACCCGCAGCACGCGCCGCGAGTCCAGGACGCGGTCGACGACCGGCGGCGCGGCGAACGTCGCCGCGTCGACGACGCCGCGGCCCGTCTGGCTCGCGGTCTTGCGGATGAAGTGGCGCACGTTCGGGAGGTCGCCCAGGTCCTCGGCGCGGTAGACGATCGCCCTGCCGAGGCCGCCGTAGTGGTCCGCCCACCGCGCGGCGTAGCTCGCGGCGTCGCCGCGCCGGAGCGCCCACTCGAGGAACGGGTTCGCCACGGCCGCGATCTTGATGACCTCCTCGTCGTCGTAGACGGGCCCGGGCGCGTCGACGACGTTGCGCTTCAGCGTCGCCTCGAGCCAGGCCTGCGTGGCCTCGAGGCCCTCGAACGGGACGGCCATCGCGAGCGGCCGGTTCGGCGCGGCGACGTCGACGTCGCAGGGCGCGTCGAGGCGCGCGACCTCCGTGAGCCGCGCGCCCGCGTCGTCCGCGAGCCACAGGCTCGCGTTCACGGCGTTCGTCTTCGAGACGAGGAAGACGCCGTCGTCGTCGCCGTCGTAGAGGTGCGCGAACCCCGCCCGCGCCGCGGCCTCGCCGCGCTTCGCGAGCGCGCGCTGCGCCGACGCGAGGTCCGCGCACCGGACGGCCTCGCCGAGCGCGAGGTCCGCGGCGCAGCACGCGCGCCGGATGCGCCGCACGTCGGCGAGCTCCGTCTGCGGGTCGTACTCGAAGTGGAACAGGACGGCGATGGCCGCCTCGCCGGCGACGCTCACGCACTCGTCGTGGAGGAGGCGCAGCTTGATGGCGACGGCCGACGTTGCCAGCAGGAGGAGGCGCAGCGACGTCATGCGGTCCGCTTTTCGCGGCCCATCGACGCTGCCCGTCACGCCGCACAAACTTCCACGACAACCTTGAAGGGGTAATATCAGAAGCCTACAGCTGTATTCCGGCAGCCCGCCCGCCCGACATCCGTTTGTCGCTCTCCCAGCATAAATTTTCTCACGCGGACGCTGCGCGCCCCCACAGCGCGCGTGCAGCCGACCGAAAACGCGACCGCCGGCGACCGCGCCAGAGCTCGCACCGTCGACACCGCGTCCGCGAACCATGGGGGGCAGCGTGGCCGGCCAGATGTACGAGGTCCCGGACGCCGGGGAGGTCGTCGAGCTCAGCCTGCCTTCCCCGGAGCGCGCGAGCTGCACGGCGCCCGTGCTCGTGTCGCTGGCGAACCCCTGGCTGCTCGTGCCGCGCTGGAAGGCGCGCACGGGCGTGCTGAGCCGCTCGCGGCAGCGGCTGGCGTTCTACGAGGACGATCGGACCGACGGCGCCGCGGCCGCGGCCCTCGCGGACGGCCTCGACGCGCTGGACCTGCGCGGCGCCGAGGCCAAGCCGTCCAAGGGCGGCGTCCGCATCTCCCTCGCCGACGGCCGCAGGCTGCTCCTGAAGCCGCGGCCGGCGAAGGAGTCGGACCGGGGGCTCCCGAAGCCGAGCCCGCCGCGGCACCGGCGGACGAGCGCGGAGGCCTTCGTCGCCGCCGTCGTCGACGTCTGCCAGGAGGCCGAGCGGTCGACGTCGTCCGTGCGCCTGCTGGCCGCGGAGCTCGGCTCCGCGTCGCCGCTCCCGCGCCAGCACGGCGCGCTGCCGCCGCACCTGCTCCTCGAGGCCGACGCCGCCGAGGACGACGACAACGGCGGCGACGTCTGCCCCGTGTGCCTCGAGGAGCTCTGGCGGTCGCCGGTCTGCTACCTGTCCGACGGCCGGCGCCGACGGAGTTGCACGCACGTGCTCCACGCGCACTGCGCGCGGCAGCTCCAGGGGCGCCGGTGCCCCTCCTGCCGGCGCGGCTTCGCGCGGGAGCGCGTCATGCCGCCCCTCGAGTTCGCGCCGGCCCAGTGGGTCGCCGTCCTCGCGCGCGGCGACGTCGTCAAACGCGCGGACGTCGTCAACGCGCTCGCCGCGCAGTACCCCTTCGACAAGGCCGCCGTCGAGGCCCACCTGCCCTGGGCGAACTGGGCCAACGACGACGGCGACCTCGACGCGGCGAAGCTCGCCGACGGCGACACGGGCCTCAAGGCCACGGTCCTCGGCGGCGGCGCCGCGGAGCCCGGCGCCTGGAACTCCTCCAAGTGGGGGTCCCTCTTCCGGAGGCTGACCAAGGCCGGCCACCAGGCGCCCCCCGTCGTCGCCGACTGACGCATCGACCGAATTTTTCTGTATAGTATGTAAATTTATTTTTTTTGCCTCGCCCGGAGCGCGCGGGGCCGCCGCGCGAGCGCCGCCTCCGACGAGCGCCGCCTCGAAAGAGCGCTACTTGTCCTTCTTCCTGTCCTCGTCGTAGATGTAGGCCGCGAGCGCGCCGCCGCCGAAGGAGAGCAGGACCTGCGCCGGCCGCCCCGAATCGCGGCCGCGCGGCCGCTCCGCGCGCGCGCGCGGCGCCGTCGTCTTTTTTGCGCGTCGCGCGCGGCGGCGGCGGCGCGCGCGCGCGGAGCGGCGTCCCCGGAGGCGGTCCCGGCGCGCGCGCGCGCACGCACCAGGCCGAAGATCATCATGAAGATCGTCGTCGTCGACAGGTCCTCGATGGCCATGGTGGAGCGTGCGCGCGGCCTGAACCGGTGAACGGTGCGCACGCGGTCGTCGCGCGCGCGCACGAGGCGGAGCGCACCTGGTCGAAACGTCGCGCGCGGCGGGGTGTGCGGCGGCAGGAGGCCTCCTAGGCGTCCGAGCTGCTGTGGCAGCTTTGATCAGCGATGCCTTCGCGTGCAAACTTCAATGACGAGGCTGGATGGCCACCATCGACGCGGGCAGCTTGTGCGGCCCCAAGCTTCCTTGCCACCACCCGAGCACTCATGGGCCGGACGGCCTAGGAGTCGAGGCGGCGGCATCGGCGGCGCGCGGTCGTAAAAGGAAACCAACAAAAACAACCATGAGCAAGCGCGAGGAGAGCGCCGACAGCGGCGCCTGCGTCTTCGTGCGCATCATGCGCGCGCGGGGCCTGAGCGTGCAGGACGGCGACCTCAAGTCGACGTTCAAGGCCATCGAGGAGTACAAGATGACGCCGACGACGCGGGACCCGAGCTGCCTCTGCCAGGTGACGAGCGGGCGGCTGGAGGGCGCGACGGGCGTCTGCGAGCACGCGAGCAGCCCGCAGTGGGACCACCTCGTCATGTTCCCCTACGACAACGTGCGGGCGGGCCGGAGCGTGGACTTCAAGGTCGTCGACGTCGGGGGCGTCTTCGAGGTCGAGCTCGGCCAGTGCAGCGTCGCCCTGGACGATGCGGCGCTCGCGGAGCTGCCGACGAGCAGCGAGTCGGAGAAGGCGCCGCGGCTGCTGGCGCTCGTCCCGGCGACCACGGCCCTGGCCGACGGGCCGAACGCCGAGGGCATGGACGTGAGCTCCATCATGGCGCTGGGCAACGACGTCGAGCGGAAGATGAAGACCATCGTCACCGCGGAGGACGCGGAGGAGACCCTGGAGGTCGCGATGTGGCGCGGGAACCGCAACGACGCCGACGCCAAGGCGGCGTTCCTGGGCACGAAGCGCAAGGCGCCCGGCGACTGGTTCCGGGACACGGCGAAGACCATGCTCTGCGCGGCGGACTTTGAGGAGACGCGCGGCCACGGGACGACGGTCATGGGCGGGCTGGTGGACCTGCCGCCGGTGTCCGACCCCTTCAAGACGGGTCTCGGCGAGGGCGACGCGCCGCGGAAGGACCGCAAGAAGGGGCCGCGCTGCGTGCGCTACACGGAGTGCCACACGGCCGTGCTCCGCGTCCAGACGCTCGACTGCCGGTGGCTCCACGATCTGGACTACTCCGCGCGGCCCTACGTCGAGCTCTGCCTCGGCGACCGCGTCGTCGCGCCGTCGCGGGGCCGCACGGAGCTCGACGAGGACGGCTGGATGGTCGAGGACTTCTCCATGCTGCTGACGCAGCCCTACTGCAAGGAGCCGCTCACGCTCCGCATCCGCAACGCGCCGCTCATGTCGGACCTGGGGCTGGGCGAGGACGAGATTCTGGGGCAGATCGACATCCCCTTGGTGCTGGAGGCGCCGGGCAAGCTGCCGGAGCCGTCGAAGAAGGCGGGCGACGAGGAGGAGGACGCGGTGAAGGAGTTCCGGCTCGCGTACAACCCGGGCAAGGGCCTCTGCGAGAACGCGACGATCGCCCACACGAAGTGGCTCCAGCTCAACGCCCGCAAGAAGATCAGCGACAAGGCCGACGAGGTCAACGACGCGCTCCACTCGCCCACCGCGGCCGTCCAGCGGAAGCGCGCCGGGTCCGGCGCGCCGGGCTCGGACGACGAGGACGCCAAGCCCCAGAAGCGCGAGTCGTCGCGGCGCGCCGCCGTCGTCCAGAACAAGTCCAAGTCCCGCTGGGGTTTAGGCGGCGCCAAGTCGACGGCGGGCGAGGTCGTCGGCGACCTGAAGGTCCGCGCGTGGATCGACGAGGGCTACTTCCACCGCGACAACGACTCCATCGCGCAGATCACGGTGAAACTGGGCGAGGCGACGTTCAAGAAGAAGGGCGTCCTGGAGAGCGACATCCTCAAGGACGCCATGGCCGGCGGCAAGCGCAAGGGCGCGTTCGGCGCCGTGGGAGACCGCTGCGACCCCTACGCGGTGCTGCGCATCTCGCCCCACTGGGCGACGCTGGACCCGCGGCAGCGCAAGGAGGACACGAAGGACGGCTACGCCAAGTTCGACTGGGGCGGCGGCGAGGTCCAGCTCGGCGTCGTCGACCCCTTCAACATGCTCACGATCGCGTTCTACGACGGCGCGAACAAGCACGCGCCCCTGGGCAAGGTCAAGGTGCGCGCGGCGTCCCTGGCGTCGACGGGCTTCGAGTACCGCAAGAAGGCGCCGCTGATCGTGGGCACGGACAAGGGGTCGAACGCGCGCGTCATCGGCGACGTCGACGTGTCCATCTGCATGACGACGAAGTCGCAGTGGTTCCTCCTCTTGCAGTACCTGGGCCCCGTGCGCTTCAACACGCACTACTGGCGGCCCCTGCCGGGCAAGCACGAGCTCTGGCTGCGCCAGGCCCACGACCGGGAGGTCACGCGCGCGCTCGCGAAGGCGGACCCGCCGATAGCCAAGGCCGTCGGCGAGGACGTGCTCAAGAGCGACACGCACTCCTGGGGCGTCGACAACAGCGAGGCGACCCACGACTGGGGCAAGTCCCTCTCCGCGGACCTGCGCAAGATGAAGGTCGCGGCCATGCGCCTCAAGGACGTCATGATGATCTACGGCAACGTCGCGACGGAGACGTTCGAGATCTACCACTGGCGGCCCCACAGCCGCACGGCCATCGTCGCGACGGTCATGCTCTGGCTCATCTACTACCCGAAGTGGATCTGGACCTTCATCTTCTGCGGCTTCTTCTACTCGACCGCGCGGAACTTCTCGTGCCGCCGGAAGACGCAGCTCGACTCCATCGGCGTCGACCTGGAGCTGTCCAAGGGCTCCTTCGTCAAGGCCCACGAGCCGTCGCGGGACCGCGACGCGACGCTCCAGACGCTGACGGAGTCGGAGGTCGAGCCCGACGAGTACGACGAGCTCGACCCGCTCACGTCCTTCAAGCGCCAGTACTCGGACTTCGTCGAGACGTTGGTGATGGTCGAGTACGTCTTCAACGAGTGCGCGACGGTGCTCGAGCAGGGCGTCGGCATCTTCACCTGGGGCGACGAGCGCATCACGGGGTTTTTGACGTTTGCCTTCTTCATGTGCGTCTTCGTGCCCGTGGCCTTCGTCCCGCCGCCGGCGTTCTACAAGGGCTTCTTCACGTTTCCCTACTTGGTCGCGATGTATCCGCCGTGCCTCGACCCGGCCCAGCCCATCAACGACTACCCGGGCCGGGTGGCCAACGTCTTGAATCGCGTGCCGGCGCGCCACGAGCGCATCCTGTGAGCGCCCGAATTTTTTTCGCGAGCGCCGCATCCCCCGCCACGAAGTTCCTCCCCCGCGCGCCGCGACCCTGTAACCGGATGAGCCCCCTTTAAAAGACCAGCGATTAGCCCCCGAAGACGCTCCGCAGGCGGCTCCGCTTCTTCTTCTTCTCGGATTTTGACGTTGTCGTTGAAGTTGAAGATGGCGCGTCGCTTCTCCGCGCGTCGTCGAAGAGCGCGGCGACGAACGGGCCCGTCAGCGCGACCGCGCGGCTCTCGCGGTCGCCGACGCCGTAGGAGAGCAACACGCCGCCGTCGAGCGTGGCGTCGGCGCCGGAGACGAAGGCGACGTTGCGGCCGCACTCGCCGAACGCGTGCGCGAAGCGGCGCTTCCGCGCCGTCCGGTCGTCGACGACGTCCCTCCTCAGGTCGCAGAAGTCGAACCAGGGCGCGTGGGAGATCTTCCGGCGCAGCGGGATGGGCCGCGACACGCGCGATACGCCGTCGGGCGAGGCGAGGAAGAAGAAGTGGTCGTAGTCGCGGAGCGCGTGGACGACGGGCCCCTCGTCGGGCGTCCTCCCGTCGTACCTCACGTGGACCACGGTGTGCGCGACGCCGAGGCCGGCGCCGTCCGGCGCGCCGAGGGCCGCCGGCGGTTGCAGCAGCGGCACGCCGTTGAGGTGGATGACGCAGCGGTGGTAGTCCGGCGGCGGGTGGCCGCGCGACTTGAGGTCCGCGAGCGTCCGGCGCGTCGCGCCGTCGCACGCGTCCGCGGTCCGCGCGTCGTTGCCTTCGCGGACTCGCGGGACGCAGGACCCGCAGCGCTTCGCCGTCGTTTCGACGGCGCAGGTCATAAACGGCGAGAACTTGAAGAGCATGAGGCCCGACGTCGCGTAGTCCGGGAACGGCGACCAGTTCTTGTCCTCGTAGAACGGGAACCGCCAGTCGAGGTGCGACGTCGCGTTCCACGTCGACGCCCAGAACATCCAGCCCATCCGCCCCGCGCCCGCCGGCGACCCGCCGCAGGCCCAGAGCAGGCGCGGCCAGAGCCAGTAGGCCTTGTAGTCCTTGCCGAGCTCGAAGGGGCAGTCGTGCGCCGCGTAGTCCCCGCACGTCCGCCGGTCCTCCATGACGAGCCGCGTGTCGAAGAGCTCGCCGTTCGCCGGGCCGCCGCGGGCCGTGACGGGGGCTTGGTAGATGGCCCGCGTCACCTCGAAGGCGCCGAAGTCGTCGTCGAAGGCCAGAAGCTCCCAGCGCTGCACCGTTAAATAGAACGGGTGCGCCGCGCCGGCCGCGGCCCGGTAGAGGCGCGGGTCCTCGCCCTCGCCCAGAATCTTCGCGACCCGGGCATCGCAAATATCGTCCGCCGGCGCCCACCACTGGATCACCAAATCCCGGTGGCCGCCGCTGTACCACTTCCGGCAGTAGAGCACCGCGTCCGCGGCGGCGACGACGTCCTCCGCGCTCGTCCCGGACCGCGACGCCTCGGCGGCGTTGCAGCCGCCGCCGTCGCCGAGGCTTAGGGAGACGCGCGCGAGGCCGTGGTAGTTGCCCCCGTCCGTGCGCACGACCGTCGGGTTGTAGACCCAGTAGGACGTGTCCGGGGGCAGCCCGCCCTCGATCTCCTGGAAGCGCATGGCGCAGTCGCTGTCGAGGCTCGCGCGCGCGTCGCTGTTGCTCTGGCGCAGCAGCCAGAGCATCGTCAGGTAGAAGCGCTTCATCCTAGCGGTGGGCTTCTTCCGGGTTGGCCATGGCCATGCTACGACGCGCCGCGGCACTGTCGGCTGGGTGCCGATATGCACACGGCGTTGCCGCTCGGCTCACAAAAGCACACCACGCGTCGAGCGACTCGATAGTTCGCCGCTGTCGCCGCTCCCGGGCGCCTCCCACGAGCCGCGCGCCGCTCCCGCGTTCTCGACGAACGTCTCGCGGCCCCGCGTCGACGAAGCGACCGCCGCACCCCGGCGCCCCCCGTCGACCATGGAGGCGAACCGCGACGAGGCGCTCAAGTGCCGGGACCTCGCGGCCAAGTACCTGCGCGAGGGGAAGTTCGCCATGTGCATCAAATACTGCGACAAGTCCGTGCGGCTCGCCGGCGGCGCGGAGCTCTCGGGCGTCGCGGACCTCCGCGCGCGCGCACAGCGCGGCGCGAGCCAGCCCGACGCCGGCGCGGCCGCGCCGCGGCAGCCGCGGTCGACGCCGACGCAGCGGCGCGCGTCGACGGGGAGCGCGCCGTCGGAGGCGAAGGCGGACCACACGCCGCAGCAGGCCGAGGCCGTGCGCCAGATCCTCCGGCTGAAGAACCGGGGCCACTACGAGGTCCTCGGCGTCTCCAAGTCCGCGGGCGACGACGAGATCAAGAAGGCCTACCGGAAGCTGGCGCTCAAGTTCCACCCGGACAAGAACCGCGCGCCCATGGCCGACGAGGCCTTCAAGTGCGTCGGGCTCGCCTACGCGGTGCTCTCCGACGGCGAGAAGCGCGCGTCGTACGACCGCTACGGCGACGAGGACGCGGCGCCGCAGCAGCAGCAGCGGCGCCGCGGCGGCGGCGGCGGCTTCCACGACGACGACATCTCGCCCGAGGACATCTTCAACATGTTCTTCGGCGTGGACCCGGGCCGCGGCCGCCGCCAGGCGGGGCCCGCGCGCGCGTACCCGCAGGCGCGGCGCCAGCCGCCGCCGAACCAGGCGCAGCAGCTCCTCCAGCTCCTGCCGTTGCTGCTCCTCTTCGCGCTGTCCTTCTTCTCCTACCCGAACCAGTACGCCGAGTCGCCCTTCTCCCTGGAGCGCAAGGGCAAGTACACGGTCGAGCGGTTCACCAAGTCGCGCGGCGTGACGCGCGACATCCGCTACTGGGTCGGCGACGGCTTCTCCGCAAAGTACGCGCGCGACCCCTACAGCCTCGCGCGCATCGACCAGTCCGTCGAGTCCGAGTTCGAGACGAACCTGCGCTACGGCTGCTACAACCAGAAGGAGCAGCAGCGGAGGCTCGTCTACCAGGCGCGGCTCAAGCGGACGCGCCAGCAGCGCGACGAGGCCCTATCGCGCGCCAACGACTTCAAGCTCGACTCCTGCATCCAGCTCGAGGAGGTCTTCGGCGTCCGCACCTAGGCCCCCGCCCGGGGGGGCCCGCGCCGCGCCGACCCGATAACCGTTACCGCGAGCCCGCTACTCCGACGCGTCCGCGGCGTCGTCGCCGTCGCCCTCGGGGAGCTGCTCGAGGGGGACGAAGTCGAGCGTCGCGGCGAGGGTCGCGGCGTCGAAGGTCGCGACGCGCACCATGACGCGGTCGCCCGCCGCGAAGGGCCCCTCGTCCGCCGGCGCGGCGACGGCGCCCTGGAGGCCGCCCGCGTCGACGCGGAGCGACGCGCCGTCCGTGGCGACGACGGTCGCGACGCGCTGGGCGCCGGCCCGGAGCGTGCCGCGCTTCACCTGCTTGCGGAGGCGCTTCTCCTCCTTGTCGCGCTTCGCGTCCGCGGCGCCGACCGGCGCGAGCGACACCGTGAGCCGGCCGCTGTTGGGCTCCGAGAGGCGCACGTAGCAGTCCACGGAGTCGCCGATGGCCAGGCCGCCGCCGCCGGGGAGCGCCGCCGACTGGCGGCGGTAGCCCGCGTTGGACGCGCGGAAGACGCCCCGGACCGCGACGAGGGCGACGTCGCGCGCGATGTGGCGGAGCACGACGGCCTCGACCTTCTCGTTCGTCCGCAGGTCCCCCAGGAGCTTGCCCGGGTGGAAGTTCGTCGCCTCGGGCGCGACGGGCGCGCGCTGCCGGATCTCCGCGGGCGTCGGCGTCATCACCAGCACGCCGTCGTCGTCGTCCTGCTGCTCGTCGCCGTCGCGCGCGATGACGCGGCTCACGAAGCAGGACATGGGCGTCTCCGAGGTCGCGAGGTGCTTCTGGTCGCTGGAGAGTTGGAGGAAGCAGTCGCCGCCGCCCGCCGTCTTCGCCGGGTAGAGGAGCGGGCTCCGGGAGCGCCGCACCTTCTTGCGGAGCTTCTTGGGTTGGGCGCCCTTGATCAACGTGACGGACGTGCGCTCGCCGAGCTCGCCGTGGAGGCGCGTTGTCGTTATGGTCGTGCGCGGGGGGATGAGCGCATAGGCGCCGAGGGCGCAGAAAGCGAGAATTAGGCGGGCCATGCTGCTGTTCGCCTATACAACATCAATGAGACGTCGGCCTCAAGCAGCAGCCCCGTCGGCACGATGGAGCGCTCGCGCCGTGCGATAGTAATCGCCTCGCCGTCCTCGCGATGACCCGTGCCGAGGTCGTGGACCCGAGCATGGTGGGCTGGCGCATGATCGACCGCTTCGCGGGCTTCCGCTTCGAGGTGAGCGGCGACGTCATGGGCACGGGCTTCCATTCGGCGGCCGTGGCCAAGGCCGACGAGCTCGGCTGCTTCGGCTGGATCCAGGACAGCGAGGCCATGACCGTCGTCGGCGAGGCGCGCTGCGCCAAGACGCTGGCGCCCCAGATGAAGGAGTTCCTCTACAAAGGGGGCGTCAAGTCGACGGTCGAGGACGTCCACGTCTACGACTACCCGGACACGAAGATCAAGCTCCACTTCTCCCACTTCAAGAGCCTCCCCGAGGACCGCATCACCTGCTTCCACGACCCGCCGCACCAGTGCAAGCCGGTCATCTCCAAGGAGGAGTGGGACAACCATCGACACGGCGGCGACGAGCTGTAGTTTCCGGCCTAAGACGGCGCTACCCCAGATTACGCGGCGGCACGAGGGCGCCGTCGTCGAAGGCCGGCAGCAGCGCCCGCGCGCCCGCGTGCGCGCCGTAGGCGACGGCCGCGGCGGCGACGAGCGCCTCCCGCCCGTCCGTCGCGAGCGCCGCGAGCGCGAGGAGCCCGAAGGCGGCGGCGTGCGCGACGGTCGCGACGCGCGCGGCGGTCGCGCGGGCCCGCGAGCAGCTCGCGCACTGGTCCGTGTGCGACGCGCGCCGGTCGACGAGCGCGGCCCGCGTCCGCGGCGCCGGCGCGCCCGGCGCGAGGTGCGTCGAGAAGACGGCGCCGCGGGATGCCGTGTAGGCGTCGAGCCAGCGCCGGTAGGCCCGCACGCCCGCGTCGGCGGCCGTCGGCATGTAGAGCCGCCGCTCCCAGTCCGCCGGGTGCAGCGCGTCGTCGTCTCGCAACGCCGCGCCCGCGTGGTGGAGGAAGACGTTGTCGTCCTCGAGGACCTTGTGGTTCGAGAGGTGGATGGCCCAGGGCGGCGCGTTCGGCAGGATGCGCTCGAAGACGAACTTCTGGGGCCCCTCGAGCTTCGAGACCTCGAAGACGACGCGCACGAAGAGCCGGCAGCGGCCGGGGGCCACGGGGACCGCGTAGACGACGTTCCAGTCGCGGAAGCCGCCCGGCCCGCGGTCCGTCTCGCTGAGCACGAGCGAGGGCGCGTCGTAGCGCACGAAGCCGGAGACGTCGGCGCGGTCGGGGAACGACTTCGCCAAGGTGAAGCCCTCGTCCGTCGCCGGGCGGTCGAGGCGCAGGTCGATGGGCCCCGCGTTGGCCCGCTTCGAGATGGTGTCGTGGTGCGTGTAGGGCAAATGCGACGGGTCCATGACGTTCTCGAGGAGCATTGTCGCGTCCATCGGCAATTCTCGCGAGTAGTCGGCGATGGACGCGCCGCCCGCGTCGAAGACCTCGGCCTGCAGCGAGAGCGCGTCGAGCGCGCCGACGTCCGGCGCCGCGTTCGCGGCGCCGTCGTAGAGCGCGGAGGTCCAGACCCAGATCAGGCCGCCGCGGGCGACCGTCGGCAGCGCCGTCGCGCCCGCGCGCGCCGTCGGCGTCGAGCCCTGGGGAATGGCTTTGCAGGCGCCGGTCGCGCCGTCGAACGTCCAGCCGTGGTACGGGCATTCGATACACCCATCGTCAGCGACGCGGCCCTCGGAGAGGCGCGCGAAGCGGTGCGGGCACCGGTCGAGCGCCGCGCGCCAGTCGTCGCCGTCGCGCCAGAGCACGACGGGCGCGCCGAGCACCTCGACGTGCTGCGGCTTCTCGTCGAAGGCGTGCGACTCGAAGGCCAGCGGCCACCAGCGGTCGAACCAGTAGGGCGAGCCCAGCGTTTTCGTTGTCGCCTTGCTGTCTGTTGTCTCGCCCAGCGTCGTGCCGTCCCGCGTTTTCGTCGTCGCGCTGCTGTCTGTCGTTGCGCTCCTGTCTGTCGTCGCGCTGCGCAGCGCGGGCGCTCGTCGCAGCGCGGGCGCTCGTTGCAGCGCAGGCGCTCGTCGCAGCGCGGGCGCTCGTCGCACGTGCGGCGTGGGTTGCAGCCATGCAGCGACGACCGCAGGCAGCAGCCAAAGAGCTCGACAATATCGAGCCATACGCTCGGACGTTTGTGCGGTCGCTGAAGGGTTGACCCACGGTTGCCGTGCAACATTAGCCTCTGCTCCCTCTCAGACCTCCTGGTCGTCGTCCCCCGGCGCGGCGTCCTCCGTCGCCGCGTCCTCCTCCTCCTCCTCGGCCGCGGGTGGCGGCGCCGCGACGGGCGTCGGCGCGGCCTTCCTCGACGCCGGGTCGACGTGCGCGCCGAACGAGTCCACGAGGCGCATCCACTTGCTCATCTCGTCGCCGGACGTCGCGGCGAGCACGTACCTGCGGTCGCAGAGGGGCCCCTCGACGGCGAAGCAGAAGGACTGGTGCTGCTGCGGGAGCGGCGTCGTCTTCGCGCCCGCGAGGTCGATGACGCCCTTGGCCTCGACCTCCATGGGATTCGGCGCGGACGCGGGGTCCTTCTCGTAGTACTTGAGCACGCCGTTCTCGTCGATGATGCAGAACCGCTTGCGGAAGCCCGAGCCGACGCCCATGACCGTCTTCTTCGCGTCGCCGGCCTTGAGCAGGAAGCCCCGCGTCGGCGCGGGCGGGTTGTGCTTGAAGGGCACGTTGTCGAGCTCGTGGCGGAAGTGCTCGAGCGTGTTCTTCACGTCGACGTCGAGGATCGCGTCGAGGGCCGCGGCGTGCTTGGCGCAGTTCGCCGGCAGGGAGAGCAGGCTCACGGCGTTCGACGCGAAGATCTTGCGGTACTGGAGCGGGCTCGGGAGCTCGTGGCTCGGCATCTTGCGCTTGACGGCGATCTTCTCCCACTCCATGGGGAGGGCGTCCAACGTGCGCTTCTCCCAGTCGGCCTTGCCCGCGACGAGCGGGCACGCGCCCTTGAGGTGCGCGACGATCTGCGCGTGGTGCGCCGCGTGCCGCGTCCGCCGGATGAACTCGTTGACGCGCCTTTGTTTTTTCCCCACCTTGAGGTCCGCGAGGTCCTTGAGGAGCAGGGCGCGCTCCTCCTCGAAGTGGGCCTTGAGCGGCGACTCGCGGAGCGGGTGCGTCTCGTCGGCGAACGACGACACGTACGTCCGCTTGACCTCCGGGGTTCTCAACGTCTTCGCCAGGTTCCAGGACGCGGCCTGCATGACGCGCAGGAGCTCCGGGTTCGACACCTGGTCCGCCTTGTTCAAGACGATGCGGATCTTGTCGTCGTAGACCTGGAGCGCTCGCAGCAGACCCATGAACTCGTCGCTCAGGTCGAGCTTCGACGTGTCCAGCAGCACCAGGATCAGATCCGCGCGCTCCGCGAACCACTGGGCGACGCGCTCGAAGTCGTACTTGCGGTCCATGGTCTGCTTCGCGCCCGCGAGCACGCCCGGCGAGTCGACGAGGTCGACGTCGTCCAGCACGTCCGACCCGCCCGTGACGTTGGAGCAGCAGAACCGCTGCGCGAAGCCGTCGCCGTGGGCGTCCAGGGACCCCCAGGGCCGCGACGTGTCCGCGATGGCCGACGACCCGGGCACGCTCGTGTCGACGCCGTTCGGAGACCGGCAGACGGCCGTGAACGCCTCCGTCGTCGGCTCGGGCCCGACGAGCATGCCGGGGAAGTCCTTGCCGAGCAGGTAGCGGATGAACGTCGTCTTCCCCACGGAGTACTGGCCCAGGAGGAAGACCATGGGCTTGGCCTTCATCTCCGCCGGCGTCTTGACGGCCGTCGCGAACTCGTCGAAGAGGACGGCCTTCTCCAGCGCGGCCACCTTCATGCTGTAGAGGCCCGCGAAGGCGTCCGTGACGTTCGCAAAGTCCGGCGCCGCGTACTGCTTGCCCTTGGGCCACTTGTCCATGGTCGGCGCGGCGGAACAGGGCTGCCCGCGCTCGCGGTGGTCGGCGGCTGCCCGCCCGCGAGAGCTGGCAAGGTGTGGTTCAATCGCTTTGAGTTGCACCAGCGAGCCCCCGCATCGAGTCCGGCCTCTGACCGCGTCGGAGCGCCCGTCGGTCGCGCGCGTCTCGAGCGCTGCGAACGGCCGCAGACGCACGCATAAACACCGCCGCGCGCTGCGCGACGACACCATGGTGCGCGGCGCGGCCAAGGCCGCGTCCCAGGAGAAGAACGCCAAGAAACAGGCGGCAGCGCAAAAGGCCGGCTCCCAGCTCGGCATGGGCGACGCGGCCATGTCGACGCAGTGCGCGATCTGCATGGTGAAGATGCCGACGCTCCAGAACCTCAAGGACCACTACGTGGGCAAGCACCCGAAGGAGTGCCTCCCCGCGGGCCTCGAGGACGGCATCAAGGCCGCCGAGGCGAAGAAGAAGGCGAACGAGGAGAAGAAGAAGGGCAAGGCGCCGCCGGGCGACGGGCCCGGCAAGAAGAAGAAGGGCGGCGGCGACGATCTGAGCCTGCTCATGGAGGGCCTCAACACCGGCAAGAAGAAGAAGTGAGAGGCGGCGGCGCGGAGCCGCGGGCGCCGCGACGGGCCGCTCGCGCTCGGCGCTGCGCTCTTCTCTGCGCTGCGTCTACTCTGCCGGACAGCGCCCGCGCCGCCGCCTCTTTCCGGAGGTCCCGCGCGCGCGCGCCATTTTAACGTTGTGTTGTTGTGATGATGAGTGCACGAGCGTATCTTCGCTTACTGCCCCGGCCTGGTTGTGTCGTGTGGCTAGTGGGCTGAGATCTTGAGTTCACGGGTCTCGATCGAGGCGCCCGACTGGGTGGGCGCGCGGCCGCGGCGCGGCCGGCCGCCTCGGGCTTCAAGTTGGGAATCTGACGACGACGAGAGGGCTGGCGCCGCGGGCGAGCCCTGCGTTTGACGCTGTTTGGATTGTCCTCGGGCGCAGGGCGGAAACTTCGGTCTTTGCGGCGGGGACCATCCCGGGCTGGGCGGCTCGCGCACGCCACGCGTTGCCCTTGAATCTCTGTCTCTTTGGCCGGGGCTGTCTTCCCCAAACGCCACCACGGATGCACTCAAAGGCTGGCCCTCGGCCAGCCGCTTCGCCGGCGTCCTCGGGGAACGGCGCCCCCCGCTCCCCGAGCCGCTCAGCCCCGGCTTCGGAAGTCTTCGGAGGCGGTCCGGGACCGTCCTAGACCCCGAAGATGGGCGTGGCGTCGTCCTCGGAACAGATTTCCGAGCGCCTGCGGTCGCTGGGCGATGGTACAGTTTCCGCGTCGAATACCGCCCCCGAGAGCGCCCGGACGTCGATGCCCCGCCCCTGGAACGCTTCGGACCGGTCGCCCCGCCCCCCGGACGCGCCCGGAGAGAAAAAATACGCTGTCGGGAAGAAAAAACGCCGAGATACGCGCGCCGCAGGCGGCGGCTACGCGACGGTGGCGGACGCGGCGGTCAAGTACGACCTCAGCGGCGCGTTCCTCGTCGAGGCGCCGACGGAGGAGCTCGAGGACTTCCTGCTCGCGCGCTGCGGCGGGCTGGAGAGCACGCAGCGGCGCCGCGTGCTCTCGGAGGTCGACGCGTTGAAGCGGCGGGAGCGGCTCGAGCCGCGCGGCGTGTCGCCCAGCGACGAGGACAGCGACAAGGACGAGCTCGTGACGTGCTCGAGCACCGAGGGCGACAAGGCGCCGCCGCCCAAGGCCGCCGCGCCGCGGCCCGGCCTGCTGTCGCGCATCTTCGGCGGCCGGCGCGCCGCGGCCGCGGAGTCGGAGGCGCCGTCCGCGGCGTCGAGCGGCGACGAGGCCGACGACGCGCCGCCGCCGCACCCCGACGACGACGACGACGACGCCGAGGGCCTGGACCACGGCGAGCGGCACCGCGTCGTCTACAGCGAGGACGAGGAGTCAAGCGACGACGACGACGACGCGTCGCTGGAAGTCGAGGCGAACGGCGAGGCCTGGAGCCGGCGGGGCCACGCCTGGCTCGGGCGCTACGTGAGCCGGTTGCTGTGGAACGCGGAAGGCGGGTGCCGCGAGCGCGCGACGGGCGTTTTGGTCGCGTGGTGCGAGCGGTCGGCGTGGGAGGTCGACGGCGAGGCGCGGCCGCTCTGGCGCGCGGCGTTCGAGGGTTGCGGCGACCTCGTGGAGCTGGACAAGGACGACGTCGAGGCGGGCTTCGTCGAGTTCCGGCGCACGCTCGAGGCGCGGCGGCGGTTGCGGCACCCGAAGCAGCGCGACTCGGCGTCGGTCCGGAGGGGCCGCGCGGAGGCGCGGCGGCGCGACGGCGAGGTCAGCGACGACGAATCGAAGAAGGCGTCGTCGGCGAGCCTCGAGGCGCTGGAGGAGCTCGAGCGCAAGGCCGACGCGGAGCGCGAGCGCAAGCGCGGGCGGCAGCCGAAGGCGAGGAAGGAGCCGCGGCCCCGGAAGAGCCGGTCCGGGCAGCGCAAGTCGAACGCGGCCGCCGTCGCGGCGCTGCCGCCCATGGGCCGCCGGTCCCAGGGCGAGGCGCCCGCCGTCGCCGCGCCGCCGCCGCGGCCCGCGAAGCCGCCGCCGCCGCGGACGGCCTCCGCGGCCGACGACGACGCGGGCACGCGCGAGGAGCGGAAGCGGCGCCGCGAGTGGGCCGAGACGGACGCGGAGACGCGCAAGCGCACGACGAGCGAGCAGACGCGCGCCGTCGTCGACGGGGCCCTGGCGGGGCTCAACGTCATCTCCATCGGCGACGCCGCGACGCTCGCGGGGCTGAACGTCTTGACGAAGCGCGGCCGCGCGCACGCGAAGCAGCAGCGCGAGCGGAGCCAGCTCTCGGGCTGCACCGTGCCGAGCCCGCGGGCGGCGGCGGCGCCGAGCCCGCGGCCGGCGGCGAGCCGGTCGAGCAGCCCCCGCGCGAAGACGCCGAAAGCGGGCGGCGGCGCCGCGCGGCCCGCGGCGGCGCGGCCGCCGCCGCCGCGGCTCAAGATCCCCGCGGCGCTCGGCCTCGCCTGCGCCGCGGTCGTCACGCCGGAGACGTCGTCGAGCGCGTCGGGCCGGCCCGTGCGGTCCCTGAGCGGCAAGCGGTCCTGCGGCGGCTGCGCGCGGAACCCGTGCGAGCACACGTCCGCGGGCTGCTTCCTCGGCGTCGAGCAGGCCAACGGCCGCTACCTCGCGCGCGGCGACGCGCCGAATCTCGCCGGCGCCGCGCCCGGCGCGCCGGAGCGCTTCACGACGGCCCTCGAGGCCGCGCGGCGCTTCGACATGGTCCACAAGGCCCGGGCGAAGGCGCGCGCCGCCGAGGACGGCGACGACGTCGTCGACGACCGCGACCGGCGCAACTTCGACTGGCGCGACGCGGCCCAGCTCGCCTGGGAGAAACAGTTCCTCTCGAAGCAGGCCGCGAAGCGCAAGGACCTGAAGCGCAAGCGCGACGCGGGCGACGACGGCGCCGGCGCCGCGCCGCGGCCCCGGAGCCCGCGCGCGGCCGCGAGCCCGCGCGCCGCCGACGGCGGCGGCATCGCGCCGCCGGACGACGAGGCCAACTGCGGCGACCGCCTGACGCGGGACGGCCGCGAGTGGTACGTGGCCTACGACGAGGAGACGCTCGAGGACGTCGCGGCCGAGCACGGCCTCGAGCCGGCGAAACTCCTCGCGGCGAACCGCAAGTGCTCCCACTTCCGCAGCGGCCCGCCGCTCCAGCTCACGTCCAAGCTCAAGCACCACACGCGCGTCCTCCTGCCGAACTAGGCGCGCCGCCGACGGCCGACGACCGCGGGCGGGGGCTTCGGACCCGCCGCGCCGCGAGAACCACAAAAAAAATGACAAACACAAGGCGCCTCCGCTTCCCGACGAAGCCGAGCGCCGCACCACGCGAAGGCGACAAGACGAACGCCGACCGCCGGGCGCCCCGCGGACCGCCGCCGCGCGCGAGCGCGGCCGCGAGCCGCCGCGCGCCCGTCGAAGACCCCCCAAGAACTTCCCACGCCCCCTAACTCATCAAGAATGAAGCGAGAATGGCGCTCGTCTCCCCTCGCGGCGTCGCTGGCGACGTCGCGCGAGCGGACGCGTGCGTTCCAGCCGGGTCCAGCCGGGGAGCCGGCTCGCGCCGAGGCGCGCCGAAGGGCGCGCCCGGGCGCGGCTTCTCGCGCTGCGTACGTCGAACGGAAGTTACGCGGCGGCGCCTCAGTACATGAAGACGGGGTTCGCCTCGGTGATGACGCGCGTTTCCGCGGCGATGCCGTCGCGGACGGTCTTGATGAGGTTGAACATGCAGAGGTGGCTCTGGCCGTCGTAGTGCTGGAGGTCGCCGGAGACCTTGGCCGCGATGGCCGCGTCGAGGTCCTCGACCTTGCGCTCGCGGACGGCCTTCGCGTCCGTCGCGAGCGTCGTCGCGACGTTGAAGCCCCAGTCGGAGCCGAAGGACGGGATGGTCACGGAGTAGGGCACGACGCAGGGGAAGGCCATCTTCAGCGTCTGGTGGATGGCGCCGAAGCACTCCGTGTGGTTGATGAGGCCCGCGGGGCCCGACTGCGTCACAAGAACGCCGCCGGGGTTGAGCTTCTTCGCGACGAGCTCGTAGAACTCCTGCGTGTAGAGGTGCACCGCCGGGCCGGCCTCGATGGGGTCCGAGATGTCGAGGACGACGACGTCGAAGGTGCCCGACGATTCTTCCAGGAGGTAGCTCCGCGCGTCGCCGATGCGGAGGTCGAGCCGCGGGTCCTCGGTGCTCCCCGCGTTCCAGCTCGGCAGCTCCTTCTTGCAGACGTCGACGACCATGCCGTCGAGGTCCACCATGACGACCTCCGCGACGCTCGTGTGCTTGAGGCACTCGCGCGCCGTCGCGAGCTCGCCGCCGCCGCCGATGTAGACGCGCTTCGGGTTGCCGTGCAGCAGCATGGCCGGGTGCACGAGGCACTCGTGGTAGACGTACTCGTCGACCTTGGCCGACTGCGTCTTGCCGTCGAGCACCAGCGTCGTGCCGAACTCCGCCGTCTCGATGACCTGCACGCGCTGGAAGTCGCTCTGCTCGTCGAAGGTGAGCGTTTTGAGCCGCATGCGCATGGACAGGTCCGGCGTCACCTCCTCGTCGAACCAGAACGACGAGGTCATCGTCGGCTGCTGCTGGTCCTCCGGCATGGCTGCGTGTGGCTGCTGCTGGCTGGCTGCCAACGACGACACAGACCGGCGATGATGGCCGGAGAGCGTCGATGCCTCCAGGCGCAACGAGCCGGCGCAATCGACCCCACACCCAAGCCGTCCGAGTCAGTGCCACGGCTATGAAGCTGCTGATCGGCCTCCTCGCAGCCGCGCAGGCGCTCAGCCCGCAGCCGTCGAAGACGGACGCGACGCGCCGGGTGTTTAACAACGGCGCTTTGGCGACTTTCGCGGCGCCTTTCATCGCCGCGGCGCCGCCCGCGGGCGCGGTTGTCTACCTCGACCCCGCGCGCTACGGCGACCAGGAGCTGAAGAACGCGGCCATCGCCAAGTGCCGGACGCGCGTGCGCGACGCCATCGTCAAGGACCCGTCCATCGCGCCGAGCTTCTTCCTCCTCGCGCGCGCGCGGCGTCCCGGCTTTCGGCGCGCGCGTTCAAGTCGGGATCCGCGCGACCCGCGTAGGCGATCCTCGACGGCCTGAGCTACAACGAGAAGACGCGCCGGGGCGGGCCCGACGGCACGGTCGCGGCGTCGATCCAGCTCCCCGGCGCCGCCTACGGCGAGCTCCGCGACGCCGTCGACGTCCTCCAGGAGTCGCAAAAGGCGCTCAAGCGCACGAACTCGCTGACGCTCGCGGACCTGATCGCCCTGAGCGGCGCCGAGGCCATCGCCGCCGTCGGCGGGCCCGAGATCTCCGTGCAGCTCGGCCGCACGGACAACCCGAACCTCAACGAGATGATCAAGGCCGTGTCCAAGGGCGGTCTGAAGGAGGCGCAGGCCATGGGCATCGCGCCGGCCTTCGACGTCGGCGAGCCCGACGCGGCGGACATCAGCGGCGCCTTCAAGAAGGCGGGCTTCACGGACCGCGAGGCGACGGCGCTCCTCGGGACTTTGGCCACGCTCCAGAGCGACGACGTCGTCAACGCCGCGCCCGTCGAGAAGGAGGACCGGGGCGCGTCGAAGACGCGGGGCAAGATGGGCCGCGTCGCCGCCGGCGGCAAGGCCAAGTCGACGAACGTCGCCGTCGACGTCTTCGGCACGAACGAGGGCACGGAGGACGCGTCCGTCGACCGCATGGAGGGCGACGTCGACGACTTCTACATCGCCGACGCCTTCGGATCCCGCAAGGAGGCCTACGGCCGCCGCGTCGGGTCCTCGGCGTCGTCCGAGGCGAACTTCAACGCCGTCTTCCAGAAGCTCGAGAAGGCCGACAAGGTCGGCAAGAAGCCGTCCAGCGCCGTCGAGGCCGCGCTCCTCGCGAACTCGAACACGAAGATCTGGGTCCAGAAGTACTCCGCGGAGCGGCTCACCTACCTCAAGGACCTCGACAAGACGCTCTACCGCGTCACCTGCACCGGCGCGCAGTACACGGGCGGCAAGTACGCCGCGCTCCTCGACAACAAGGGGCCCACGAAGCTCGACTAGGCGCGGGCGGATAACACTCCGGACGCGACGAGGCGGGGGGTTGCCGGGGCGGCGGGACGACAGCCGCAGTTTGGGTTTACTCGTCGACGGCGTCCCGGGCCGCCTCGGACGGCAGGACGACGTCGTCGCCGTCGTCGCGTATTTGCGCGTCGGGCGCGACGGCGACCTTGGCCCCGAGGGCGATGAGGCCGACGCCGGCGAAGCCCGTGATGCCCGTGAGGAGCGTGCCCGCGCCGAGGACGACCGTGCGCATGATCATGGAGATGCGCATGATGGGGTAGAACTCCGACTCCAAGGGCTTCGCGTCGAACGCGTCGCTCGTGAAGCCGACGCCGAGCCAGAAGACGTAGGCCGCGCCGAGGGCGGCGACGCCGCTGAGCACGGCGCGCACGGGGCTCACGTCGGACACGTCCACGTCCTCGCGCTCCTCGACCTGCGGCGCCTCGACGCGGAACTGCGACTTCGACTTCTCGATGTCCGCGAGGAGCTTGGCGTTGACCGTGTTCATGCGCGCGGCGCCCGTCGGGGCCGCCGGCGACTCGTCGGCCGCGGCGGCGGCGCCGTCGCGCCGGAACCGCGGGAAGAACTCGTCGATGACGTCGGGCTTCGCGTCGTCGCTGCCGCCGGCGCGGACGTGCGTCGGACGTCGCGCGCGTGGGTGGAGGCGCGTATGTGGTGGTGCGAACGCGGCGGCGCGGAGGACCGCGAAGAAAGCGAGAGCAGTGGTCGCCGTGGAGGGCATCGTGTGCGCCGCTTGAAGGTGCTGTCTGAGGCAACAAGATGGCAACAGGGGCATGTTGACCAGCTGTTGCCGTATCCCTAACTCCCGCGGCCGAATCATCTCCCAGCCAGCGCGGGCTGCCTATGTGAATCGCGTGGTTGCGGGCTCATGTCGCCGAGCAGCGCCGCGTCCCTCGGGAGCGGCAGCGTGCGGGAGATGCCGTCGACGACGTCCCACGCGAACAGCATCTGGACGGACCTCCACAGCGTCGCGTCCCTGACGGCGGGCGCGTCGAGCCGCGTCGAGCTGCTGGACTCGCTGCGCGACGACGAGATGAGCTGCGTGTCCATGCAGCGCGCCTACAAGGACAAGATCTCGAAGCGGAAGCGCCACGTGAACCACGTGGACATGCGGAAGATGACGGGCCGGAGCAGCGCGCCCAAGGCGATCACGTGGCAGCTCGACTACGAGCCGCTCTGGAGCAAGACGCGGCCGCGGACGGCCTCCGTCGTCCACACGGAGTACAAGCGCACGGCGTCGCGGCGCATCGGGGCCGTGTCCCTCGACACGCCGGAGCGCCACAGCATCAACGTGAGCCCGTGGCTCGACACGCTCCGCGCGGACGGCCAGCCGCCGCCGGGGAGCAAGAGCCGCCTCTTCGCGAGCCGCCCGAACACGGCGCCCGACGGCCGCCCGCGGACGGCGCCCGTCGGCTATTCTTCCGACGCCACGCGCGCGGACCTGAGCGCGCTGAGCACGAAGCGGCGGAACCAGAATTTCGTGAAGATGAAGCGGCAGACGCAGCGGCCCGACATCAACCCCAAGTACGCCTACGGCCACATCGCCCACAACCCGACCTTCACCCTCACGGAGCGGTCCACGCTCCACACGTCCCACGTCCACGCCAAGGCCGCGCCGCGCTTTGCGGGCTCCGCGACGGGCACGACGAACGCGTACTGGCTGTCCAACGCGGGCGTCGCGACGATCAACCAGGCGCGCAACGGCGTCCAGCCGGCCATCATCCGCCCGAACTACACACCCATCCGGCGCCGGCGCTAGGGGGACGAGGGGGGAATTACCAACGCCGATATTCGGATTTCGCCCGCCAAGGCGCGCGCGCGCGGCGTCTTGGGTCGGCGCGCCGCGGGGTGTCCGGCGCGCGTCGCTTGGTGCGGCGCCCGTCCTTGAGTTCGTATCTGCGTGGCCGGGGGCAGCGTGGGGAGGCGAAGCGTACGCGCTGTGTTGACTTCACTTGAACTGCTCCATGCTAACGATGCATTGTGAACCTCGCAGGGCGCGTTGGAGCGCATGCCCGAAGGGCCGACAGCTCTCGAGATCGGACGCAATCGACGCCCATCAACTACAGCATAATGCGTCCCGTCTTGCTTGCAATTGCGCTGGCGCAAGCCGTCGTCGGCCTGCAGGTGCCGCCGAAGGCGCCGAAGACGGTCACGCGCTCGACGATCTTCAAGTCTTTCGTGCCGGCGACGGCGATTGGAAGCTTCGCTGCGCTGAACCCGTCGCCGGCCAACGCGGCGCTGCAGAAGCGCACCAAGAAGACGGAAGAAGCTGCGCCCGCGCCGGCGCCCGCGCCGGAGCCGACGCCCGAGCCGGCGCCTGCCGAAGCTCCGGCCGCGGAGGCCGCGCCCGAGCCGGCGCCCGAGCCGACGCCCGAGCCCGAGCCCGCGCCCGCGCCCGCGCCCGCGCCCGCTCCCAAGGCGAAGCCGGCCAACGACAAGCCCATCGGTTCCTACCGCCTGAAGCGCGTGACGCCGCCGGGCTACGTCTATGGCCGCGACCCGCTGCCCTAGGAGCGCCGCGCGCGCGCCGCAAGTACTCGCAAGCTTAGACTCGATGCCCCGGGTGCTTGTTCATGCGGAAGGTGATGCTCACGCGCCGGTCGGCGTGGAAGTCCGCGTTGGTGATGCCGTGGCGGTAGTCGAAGCGCACGGAGCCCGACTGGATCTGCAGCGCGCGCCGCGGGAGGCGCGCGCGGACCGTCTCGCCCGCGCTCCCGCGGCCGGCCTGGTCGCGCGTGTAGGTCATCGTCGCGTCGCCCGCGAGGCAGAGGTTCACGAGGATGGGCCCGGAGAGCTGGCGGTCGTCGCAGTGCGCGCCGAGGTAGTGGCCCTCGCTCCGCCGGTAGTCGAGCGCGTTCGCCTCGTTCGGGCGGAACGACCGGAGCTCCGGGATCGTCCGCATGCGGCGCACGAGCGGCGCGAAGATGTCCGGCATGGCGCGCGCCGGCTCGGCGAAGGTCCGCCGCTTCAGGTCCGTGCGCACGCCCCAGGCCTTGCCGCGCGCGGGCCCGTTGAAGTCGCGGCGGACGAACGGGTGGCCCGGCTCGCCGTCGAGGAACGCGAGCAGCGACGCCTCCTCCGCCTCCGAGAGGAAGTTCGCCACCGTGTACTGGCCGGCGAGCGCCTCGTGGCGCGCCGCGCGCAGCGCCGCGAGCGGCCGCGGGTGCGCCTCCGCGTCTCCGTCCGCGCGGAGGTGGACGACGCGGACGCCGCGCGCGACGAGCGCCGTCGCCAGCCCCTCGCGGTGGCAGTTCGTGTACCGCTTCTCGCAGCACATCAGGCAGAGCGCCTCGCGCCGCGCCGCGCGGCTCGCGACGTCGTCGAGCGCCGCGGCCTCGGCCGCCGCGTCGCGGCCGCCGCGGCCGCCCAGGGCGTCGCCGCGCCACTCGTAGGCGAGCGGCGCCGCCTTCTCCAGCGCGCTCCGCCGCCAGTGCGAGTTGTCGACTCCGTCCGTGACCGTGACGCTGTTGGGCGACGACCGCACGTCGACGAGCGTGCCGACGCCCGCGCTGCTCAGCGCGCCGAAGACCGCCGCCGCGTCGAACGTCGCGTGGCCGATGGTGTAGACCACCGGCGCGTCCGGCGACGACGACGCGCGCGCCTTCTTCTTCGCCGGGCCGCAGAACTCGACGCAGTTCGAGTCGATGTGGTGGCCCATGAGCCCGACGTCGACCGTCGCCGCGCAGATGGGACAGGGCGCGGTGCGGATCGCGGCGGCGGCGCGCGGCGTCGCGCTGCTGCTGGCGCTGCTGCTGGCGGCGCCGCTGCTGCCAGCGGCGCGCTTCTTTATGACGAACTTGTCCATGCTAAATGCTCCAGCGCAGCCTTCATACGCTGGCTCAAAACTGCATTTTTGCTGCAAGGCGGCTGCAAGCTACCTTCAGGTGCAACTCTGGTAGGCGCCACAGACATGTCGGACCGGCCGCACCTCGCCTCGGTGCTGCTGGGCGCCGACGCGCCGGCCGAAGATGTTTAATTACGTGTAGTAGTCGCGGGGCGCGAGGGGCTTGTCCCCGCCGCCCGGCCCCTCGTTCTTGTCGTAGCCCGTCACGTCCACGCGCCCGCCCTTGGAGAGGTTCAAGTCGAGGAATCCGGTCAAGATGGTGCGGCCTCTGACGGGCGGGCTTTCCAGGGGCCTCCCGGGACGGGCTTCGAGGAAGGGCGGCCCCTGGAATTCCAGGGGTCTCATCGCGAATCCGTTCGCGACCTGGCGGCCTTTGACGGGCGGCGAAAGAGGACGCCCGAGCGGGCTCCCTGGACGGGGGCTCATCCCCGCGGGCTCCCTGTGGCGATCGTCGCAGGCGCAGGTGAAGAAGGCCGCGCGCGCGAGGAGGCCCGGCTCCTGCGGCGCCTCGAGCTCGAGGCTCGTATCCGCGTAGAGCGGCGGCGACGGCGGCGGCGACGCCGCCTCGTAGAGCGGCGGCGGCGGCGGCCCCCTGGATAAGCGAGGCCCCGCGTTCGGCGCGGGGTCCTCGTCCTTCGCCTCGTCGGCGCTGGCGTCGCCGATCTTGGGGTCCGCGGCCGCGGCCGCCGCCGCGCGGTAGGCGCGGCGGACGACGTAGATGACGACGAAGATGGGCGCGAGCGCGGCGCCGATGAGCAGCGCCGTCGCGTACCACGCGCTGGGGCTCAGCACGCCGACGCGCAGCATGCACGACAGCAGCAGCGTCACGAGGATGGACCAGCAGGCCGTCAGCGCGATCGCGTCGTCCTCGTCGAAGACGAAGGGCTCGAATTGGTGGAGCATCGCCTCGTAGAGGATCGAGGCGCACAGCGCGACGAAGATCTGCAGCTTCGAGCCGTACTGGACGATGGAGAGGAACGCGCAGAAGAAGACCCGTTTCGTCACTTCGACGAGCTCCCACCAGAAGCAGCGCGGCTCGTAGTCGATCCAGAGGAACTTGAAGGCGAGGATGCCGTCGGGGTCGTCGTTCTCGAAGGCCTCCATGCGCAGGGTCGAGCACTGCCGCTGGAAGCTCGACGACAGGCGCAGCATCTGGCGCTTGTCCATGTCGAGGTCCGTGTCGAAGGTCGAGTCGAGCTCCTCCTCGGCCTTGGTCGTCGGGTTCAGCGCCTCGCGCGCCGGCAGCAGCAGGCTCGCGTACATGAGCGGCACGCCGAGGGGGTAGACGAAGATCATGAGGATGCCGTAGGGGCGGATGACGGCGCGCCAGAGGGAGCCCTCGCAGGAGATCGTCGGCGCGACGCGCAGGAAGTAGACGTCGCCGTCGTCGCCCGCGTCGAAGTCGTCGCAGACGAGGGTCTGGACCGCCGTGAAGGCGCAGCTGGGCAGGGCGAGGTGGATCATGATCAGGAAGGCCGAGAAGAAGAAGTGGCCCCGCTTCTTGCGCTGCTCCTCGCTCCAGCCCTTGACGTACGCGCAGGCGACGATGACGAGCGCCAGGAACACGGGGAAGAGCGTCGCCCCGAGCATGCCGTGGACGTAGTGGGCCGCCGGCGACGAGTCGTAGAAGCAGCGCGTGGGGAGGTAGGCGAAGAAGCCCAGCGTCGCGAAGCTGAAGGCGTTCTGCATGGACGCGTACGTCTTCGGGAACTGGAGCCCGCTGCCGAAGGCCTCCTGGAACGACGCGATGAGCTGGAAGAAGGACGACAGCGCCTTGGCCTTGACGACGAGCGCCGCGAACTTCTGCTTCTTCCGGTCGTGCTCGTTCGCCGGCGCGGGCGTGTTCTTGTCCAGGTGGAGCATGCCCGTGACGTCGTCGGCCGCGCCGCCGCGCGTGTCGAAGAAGAGGAGGAGCAGCTCCTCGCCGCGCGGCGAGAGGAGGAGCCAGAGGAGCGCGCCGAGGAAGGCGAGGAACGCGCCGCCGAACAACGCGACGGCGACCTCCCAGGACACGTCCAGGCGGCAGCCGGCGCACGCGAGGCGCGCGCGCGAGTCCACCGACGCGACGTGCCTGCGCTCGCAGGCGCCGCAGACGGCGCCGACGTAGCCGTCCGCGCAGAGCGCCTCGTCGCCCGTGCCGTTGCGGACGCCCGCGCAGCCGTCGTGCCCGCTCGCGCAGCGGTAGGCGACCTCGGCGCTCGCCTCGAAGCGGAACCAGCCGCTCTCGACGCGCAGATCGCCGAGCGCGAGGCCCTCCGCCTCGCAATAGAACCCCCTCGGGCATTCGTGGCAGGCGCCGCCCGCGTCCCAGGCGCCGAGGCTCGCGCCGCGCCAGTAGGTCCCGGCCGCGCACGGCTCGCAGTGCTGGCTCGCCTCGACGAGCGTCTCGCCCGGGAAGCAGGGGTCGAGGGCGACGACGACGTCCGCCGTCAGCGTCGTCGTCGTGGAGTCGTAGGCGTCGCCGGCGTCGTCGACGATGAGCTCGCCGCGGAGCGCGACGCTCGGCGACCCGTACTCCGCGATGACGGCCATCTGGTCGCCCTGCGACGGGGACCAGGACACCGAGGGCGCGTCGCCGAGGACGCGCTTGTTCGACTGCACGAACGTCGCGTTGCCGACCGTCGTGAAGCCCGCGTAGGCCTGGACGCCTAAAATGGGCTCGCCGAAGAGGTCGACGAAGGATAACGTCAAGGAGGCTCCGAAGGGCCAGCCCGGCTTCTCCGAGGTTCCCCCGTAGGTCGCCGCGACGGACGCGACGCCCGTGGCGAGGGCGCGCGTGGCGTTGCCGCCGGGCCAGGCGCGCAACACGTCGACGCTCCCGACGGTCGTGGCGTCGACCCACGCGAAGTCGCCGCCGCGGCCGGCCGAGTTGCGCGACCGGCCCTTGGACGGCGCCGGCGCCTCGGCGACGGCGTCGTGGCGGGCCTTGACCTCCGAGGCTTCGGCGAGGTAGAAGGCGCCGCCGCGGCCGCCGGCGTCGTTGCCCCAGAAGCCGTTGGCCCCGCGGCTCACGATCTTCGACGCGCCGAAGAGCGCGGCCGCGCCGCCGTGGACGGTGGCGGCGTTGTCCTCGAAGGTGCAGCCGCGCAGGGTCACGCGGGTCCGGTCCGCGAGGTAGAGGGCGGCGCCCGTGTCCCCCTGGGCGTCCGCGACGACGACGTTGTCGAGGTCGACGACGGCCGCGGCCGCGCGGAACGCGGGGCCGCCTCTGCTCTCGGACACGGACACGTCGCGGAGGCTCACGTCGCCCGCGTCGAAGACGTCGAAGACGGCGCCGTAGATAGCGCCTGCCGTCGTCGTGAGGCCCCGGTCGGAGCGCGTGCAGCGCGCGAAGGTCGCGTTCCGCACGGCGACGCGCTCCGCCTCGTCGACGACGACCGCGCCGGAGCCCGTCGTCGCGTCCGACACGCGCAGGTCGTCGGCGTCGAGGACGCTCGCGCGCTCGACGTAGACGACGCCCGCGACGTCGGCGACGTCGTTTCGAGAGACGACGCCGGCCAGGGCGACCGCGGACCGCGCGGAGACGTAGACGAGCGCGCCGTCGCGCGCGCCGTTGCCGTCGGACGTCACGTTCGCGAGGGAGACGCCGGAGTCGTCGTTGACGAAGACGGCGCCGCCCTTGGCGCCGGCGCTCGAGCCGGAGATGGCCACGTTGGCGATGGTCCCGTCGTGGACCGCGCCGCCGAGCACGCAGAACGCGCCGCCGTCGCCGTCGGAGCCGTTGTCGACGAAGGCCGCGCCGCCGCCGTCGAAGACGGTGCCCGCGAGGCGCTGGATGACCATGGCGGCGCCGCCGCAGAGGCTGGCCCGGTTATTTCGCACGCGCGTGTCGTTGTCGAGCCGCACGGTGACGACGGGCTCCGCGGCGGCCTCGTAGAGCGCGAACGCGGCCCCGAACGCGGCGGCGTTGCCGTCGAACGTCGACGCCGCCGCCGCGAAGGTGCCCGACACGGCCACGGCCACGGCGCCGCCGTAGTAGGCGAAGTTGTCCGCGAAGGCGCAGTTCGCGGCGACCGTGTCGATGGGCGTCCGGTCGAGGGACACCGCGCCGCCGAGCATCGCGGCGTTCGACTCGAAGACGGTCGCGTCGACCGCCACGGCCCCCGCGAGCGACGTCGCGAGCGCGCCGCCCGCGGACGCGGCGGAGTTGTTGGAGAAGCGGGAGCCCGAGATGGCCGCGGACGCGCCGCCGGCGAGCGCGACGGCGCCGCCGAGGTTCGCGGCGCACCGCGCGAAGGAGCAGTTCGCGACGACGACGGCGCCGCCGTCGGCGAAGACCGCGCCGCCCCAGCCGTCCGCGGCGACGTCGCGGAAGGCGCAGTCGGCGAACGTCGCCGTGGAGTTGCCTCCCAGGGCCGCGGCGCCGCCGCTCGCGGCGCGCGCGCGCTCGAGCGCGGCGCCGGACACGGCGAGGTGCCCGCCGTCGACCGCGAAGAGCTGGGCCGCGCCGCCCCCGTCGAGCGCGGCGCCGCCGGACCCGAAGACCCGCAGCGCTTGCGCCGAGACGGCGAGCGCCTCGGGGAAGACGATGCGGGAGCTCACGTACCAGTCGACGTCGCCGCCGGCGTCCAGGAGCGCCCGGACGTCGTCGAAGGAGCCGGACGTCTCCGTGGCCGCCCCGCAGCCCGCGGCGAGGGCCGCCGCCGCGATGGCAACGCGCGCCCACGTCATCTCGCGGTCGGGTCGGGGTGGCTCGCCAGCGCGCTCATGCTGCCCGAAATCCCGCTGATTTTTATCTCGTCATCATCTCGCCCGAGCATGAGACGCCTGCGGGCAAGTAAACCAAGGGGATCTTCAAGTATCTACTTGAAGATCCCCTTGAGTAAACTTTCCGTTTGTGTATTGTTTGTATTGTCAAAGTGAAGCCAAACTTTACGAGACGAGGCCGTCGAGCTTGCCCGCGCGGTCCCGCACGTGGGCCCGCGCGCCGTCGATGGCCTGCCGGCGCATGGCGGCGTAGTGGGCGGCGTCCTCGAGGAGGGGCGCGAGCTTGTCGAGGAAGGGCCGCGCCTCGTCTTCCGTCGCGACCGCGAAGAGGCGCGACACGTCGGCGACGCCCCGGTCGTAGGCGGCGCGGAAGGACCCGTCGAGGAACGCCGCGAGCTGCGTCTCGAAGGCCTTCTCGCCGGCCTGGAGCGTGCCGAGGGTCCGTTTTAGCTCCGCGACGCGGAGGAACTTCTCCGCCGCGGCCGCCGTCGGGCCCGAGAACGTCCCGAAGGCGAGGGCGGCCTGGAGCGCGTCGTGGACGTCGTAGTCGTGGCCCGCGCCGCGCCGTTTGGCGTTCGCCTTCCACGCCCAGCGGGCCGGGGGCCGCTGCGGGTCCACGTCGTTGACGTCGGGCCAGTCGGTCGCCGCGGCCGCCCAGTCGTCCTCCTCGTCGCCGAGCGACGTGCCGTGGCGGATCTCGGAGCGGAGCATGTCGTGGACGATTCTCGTCTTCGCGGCCAGGGAGGGCACGGGGTTCGCCTCGGGCAGGCCGCCGGAGTCCGACGACACGCACGGCAGGCCGTAGAGGCCGGCCTCCGTCGCGACGATGCCGTAGGCCTCGGGCCAGAGCGACGGCGCCAGGAGGACCCGGGCCAGGGCGTAGAGCCCCGCGCGGTTCGGCGTCGCGGCGACGACGGCGACGTTGGGCTCCGCGCGGAGGCAGAACCGCGTCGACGGGTCCATCCATTTCGTCGCCACGCAGGCAAAGGTGTATTTCGGCAGCGCCCGGAAGATGGGCAGCAGGACCGCAAGGCCCTTGGGCCCGCAGGCGGAGACGACGAGGACGTCGAAGCGCGGTTTGGGCGGGACGTCGTCGGGGGGTTTGGGAGGTGTGGGAGCGTAGTAATCGTAGTCCGCGTAATATACGCAAGAGGCCCGCAGCGCGCCGCGGCCGTGGCGCCGGCAGTAGTTCGCCAGCGCCGCGCTCGGGCAGAGGAGCTCGAGCTTTTCGAGGTATTCGCGGCGCTTGGTGGTTTGCTTCTCCGCGAAGAAGGGGCCGTAGGGCAGCTCGCTGTACGTGTTGACCATCGCGTAGGCCCGCGGGCAGCCCGCGAGGAGCGCCGGGCCCGTCGTGTCCGCGCAGATGTCACTCGCGAAGACGGCGTCGAAGCACCCGCGCCAGTGGTCCACGGCGGCCCGGACCGCGTCCTGCCCGCCGCGGAGCGCGCGGAGCTTCGCGGGCGTCGCGCTCGACGGCGCGTAGGCGTCGCTGTCCGCGTGGAGCACGGAGGGTTCCCGGTCGTCGACGTCGTGGCCCCGCCGGTCGCCGTCCGTCGCGACGATGGTCAACTCGAAGCGGTGGCTCAGGTAGAGGATGAGCGCCCAGGACACGAAGAGCGCGCCCGTGGGCACGTCGCCGAAATCCGCCGTCGTCGCCCGCTCCGCGCCGGACGCGCAGACGGCGTCCTTGAAGTAGACCTCGTGGCAGACGAGGAGCACGCGCGGCCGTTTCGACGGATCCGCCTCCGACGCCGTCGTGCTCGCCATCGGCAGATCGGACACGTGGCACTCGCGCGCGTGGCCGCAGCGCGCGCATTTCCGCGCCCACCAGTGCGTGCCCGGCGTCGGACCGCAGTCGAAGGCGTCGCAGCGGCAGCCGGAGTGCAGGCACCGCCAGCGCTTTGCCCTCGCGTCGCGCGCGGCGGCGGCGGCCTCGGCGAAGAAGCACGACTCGCCGGTTCTCGGCGCGGTCCGCTTCTGGGTTCGCGGCGCCGCGTCGACGACGACGGCCGGCTCGAAGGCCGCCGGCGTCCACTGCAGGAGCGCCTTGCCGCGCTCGCTCGCCTCCGCGAGCGTCCGCTGCCCCGGCGTCAGCTGGGCTGCCCCGGATCCCGCATCGCTCGGTGGACGCTTCGGCGCCGGTGGCGGCGGCGGCGCGGCGGGGCTGCTCGCGATGGCGTGCTTCGGGTTGCCGGCGCCAGCTCGCCGCTGCTTGACAAAATCCTTAAAGCTGGCCATAGCCGGCCTTCATAGGCGACTCCAAGGTGTTGAATGCAAATTGAGGCGTAACATGTTGGAAGCCAGTTTTGGAGCAGTGTAATGGGGCAGCCTATGGCAACAGTTTTAGAGCAGTGTAATGGGGTAACAGTTTTAGAGCCGTGAGAGGCCGCTAGGCCATGGGCGTGCCGAAGCTCGAGGTCACGAGCCGTCCCGACCGGGAGCTGCCCTTGAGCTTGAGCGTCGTCGACGCCGCCTCCGTGACCTGCTCGACGCTGTCCCTGCTCGCGTCCGTGCGGGTCGTCGTCTACATCCTCTGCAGCCCGAAGAAGGAGCGCTCGAAGCCCCGGAACGTGCTCCTGTTCCATACGTTCCTCACGGACTTCTTCTCCAGCGTCTCGGACCTCTCGAACCTCGCGTCGCCCGCGATCGGCTGCGTCGTGCCGAGCGTGGGCACGAACCTGTTCTACCTCGCGTCCGCGGCCATCTCGGCCGTGTCCATGGTCTACGCCTGGGCGCTGGTGTCCGGCCGGCGGTCGCCGCGGCGCCGCGGGGAGCCCTCGATCGGCATCCGCCGCGCGCTGCGGCTCGAGGGGGTGATCCCGGACGCGCGCGGCCTCGACGCGGCCATCGCCGGCGCCTACGTCGTCTGCGTGGCCTTCAGCGTCGCGCCGCCGCTCATCGCGACGCGCGAGATCATCGGCACCGACGGCCACTGGTGCTGGCTCAAGGGCTGGGCGCTGCGGACGCACTGGCCCTACACGACGTTCTACACGCCGCTCTGGGTCTGCATCATCGTCATCTGCGTCTTTTACGTTTCGACGAAGCGCCACCTCGACGCGCACCAGCGGACCATCGAGCGCAACGTGACCCTGGCGCCCTGGCGCGACGGCACGCCGCGGACGCCGAGGCTGAACCGGCGCTTCAGCCGCTTCAGCTTCAGCGGCGCCGCGGCGGCGAGCCCGCGGAGCCACTCCGAGCAGGCGCGCGTGAACCTCGTGACGACGCTCAGCTACTACTCCATCGCCATGGTCCTCATCTGGATCTTCCCGACGGCGCGGCGCCTGAGCCAGGTCATCGCGCCGTCCTACGCGTCGCCGCTCTGGCTCACGATGTGCCACGCGATCTGCTACCGCCTCCAGGGCCTCGTCAACTCGCTCATCTTCCTCCAGTCCAAGGGCATGCTCGCCCGCGACGACGAGCGGGTCTCGCGGGAGATCAGCGGCGAACCGCGCCGCGGCTCCTTCGTGCTGCGCCAGCTCCTGAAGGTCCAGGCGACGGGCCTCGAGATGCTCCAGGCCGTGGGCCGCGCCGCGACGGCGTCGTCGGCGTCCGAGACGGACATCGACGCGGACGCGGACCGGGACCGCGCGGCGGCGGCGGCGGCCGGCGGCGCCGCGCCGCCGCGGGACGACGACGGCGCCGCGCCGCGGCCGCCGTCCATCGGCGTCGACCTCGACGACGTCTTCCCGCGCGAGGAGTCCGAATTCTCCTCCGGCCGCCTCGAGGCCGTCGGCGAGGGGGACGAGGCGGCACCAGCGGAGGACGACGAGGCCCCACCGCCGGAGACAGCGCCGCCGGAGGACGAGGGCGACGCGCGACGGCGACCGATCCCGCCGGCCTGGGCGCGGACGGCGTCGACGAGGGACGTCGTCGGGAGGCCCGGCGGCGGCGGCGGCGCGCCCGTCGTCAAGAGTCCCCTCTTCGACGCGTAATGTTCTTTTTAAAACAAGGACGACAGCACGGCCGCGCCGATCCCGGCGGCGAGCATGGTCTCCATGCCGACGCCCGCGCCGCGGCCGCGGCGGCGGCTCTTCTTCCGGCGCATGCCCGGCCGGCGGCCGATGGTCTGGTTCGAGTTCGGGATGAAGCCCTCCGTGAGCGAGAAGACGCGCTGGTTCAGGTCGAAGCGCTGCGACGAGCTCAGCTGCGGCTTCTGCTTGAAGCCCTTGCGCCGCAGCTCCCGGTGGAGCGCGGTGAGGAAGTCCGGGTAGAGCGGCATGGGGTTCTCCGCGAGCGCCTTGAGGAAGGCGTTCGTCATCGCGCCGCCGGCCGCCGCGTTCGCGTACGTGTCCGCGGAGCACTGGTCGTCCTCGCAGCCCGAGAACAGCTGCACGTCGCCGCGGGAGAAGCACGGCACGTCGTCGGTCTGCCAGCCCCGGCCCGGCGTGAAGCAGTAGGGCAGGTCGAGGCCCGTGCCGCTGTGGCAGCAGTCCATGATCGACGTGAGCCGCGCGCCGTCCGGTAAGGGCCGCACGAGGATCGCGTGGAGCTCGTCGTCCGTGATCTGGCCCGCGGACTTGTAGTCGCAGGGCACGATGGTCTCGTCGTAGCCGTCGGCCTCGTCGCCCGTGCGGTCCCGCTCCTGGGACCCGTGGCCGCTGAAGTGGAAGAAGAGGCTGTCGCCGCGGCCCGCGCCGGCCGCGAGCCAGCGCAGGCCCTCGGTGATCGCGCGCCGCGTCGGCCGCTGCTGGCCGCCGCGGTCGTCGCGGAGGATCACGATCTGCTGCTCGGGGAAGCCCTGGCCCAGGAGGAGCGCGCGCATGCGCAGCACGTCGTTGACGCAGCCGCGGAGCTCCGCGGAGCTCCCGGGGTAGTTGCAGCCGACGAGCAGGGCCTACCAGGCATGTCGGTCACGATTTCTCCTCCGGTCAAAATCTCTCGAAAATCGTCACGGCCACAGGACGCTGAGCGGGGCCTTGCGCGTGCCCGACGGCATGATCGGCGCGGCCGCGGCCGGCGCGGCCCAGGACTGGACGACCATGGGCTGGCCCGGCGGCGCGGGCAGGGCCTGCGCGGCCGCCGGGTTCGGCTGCGCGGCCCACGACTGGACGACCATCGGCTGCTGCGGCGCCGCCGCCGGCCGCGGCGGCGCCTGGGGCCGCGTCCACGACGTCGTGTGCGTGTTGTGGTCCACAAAGTAGCTCTTGCCGGTGGGGTCGCGCTTCTCCTCCCAGCCGGGCGGCAGCGGCGCCGCTTGCACGGGCTGCGCGTAGGCGGGGCGCGCCGGCGGCTGCGGCGGCGCGGCGGCGGCGGGCCGCGTCCAGGACGTCGTGTGCGTGTTGTGGTCCACAAAGTAGCTCTTGCCGGTGGGGTCGCGCTTCTCCTCCCAGCCCGGCGGGAGCGGCATCATGGCGTAGCTCATCGGAGCAGCGCACGCGTGGAGCTCGGCAGGGTTGCTTGCTGCGGAGATGCGATTTTCACAGACAGCAACATCTCAGCAACAACGCGCACCTTGAGGTAAGCGCAAGCGCGTGGAGCATGGAATGATGTGCGCATCCAGCGGGAACATCACGGACGCGAGCTAGGTCGTGCGCGGCTGCGCCGAGCGCTGTTTACAACGAGGCGCTACGAGGCGAGTTGACTTTGTGTAAATTTTGTGGCAGCAGTGGCGAATGCGGCCGTGCTTGCGCGCTGCGTCGTCGCGTTGGTGCTGCCGTCCATCGCGGCAGATGCGACGCGGCTCGCAACAGCGAACCGCGCGAAACTCGCGCGCATTTTACAGTCCTTGCGCTCCGGCGGCGAGGCCGCTCTCTGCTCGCCGCGGATCCCGTTCCGGAGTCGCGCCGCGCCGTGCGCCGGTTGCGCGCGAAGTCAGGAGGACACGGGTGATTCAACGTCGCTTCAACGTGAGTGTTCCACGCGCGCGCGTGCTGGGAAAAGCATTCACGCTTCGAGACCGTTCCGAGACATGATCGCTCGTCCAAAAATCAGCCGAAACGAGCGGAAAATGGCCGAGAGAGGAGCCTTTGAAGTTGGGAATTTCGCACTCTTGTCCTGCCCAGGCCCAAGTGCGGGAGCGCCTTTGGCAACACGGTGCTGCACCACGGCTGCCGCTCCCTCGACGGCGACCTCTACCTCGGCGGGCCGTCGCGGGGCACCGCGGCCGAGCACGTCGCGGACCGCGAAACCGTGAACCCAGCACTTGACATGCCCGTGCTCGCGCGCGTCGCCCAGCGCCGCTGCAAGCGGGCCCACAACTTCTCGCTCGCCGACGCGCGCAACGTCTACCTCGCGCTCGCGGCCTGGGGCTCGGCGCCGGCGTCTCGCGCTCGACGCGACCCTCTGTTTAGGTCGGCGAAAACACCCGCTTTAGGTCGCCACGCGCCGCTCTACGCGCGGACCGACGACGCCGCCGCTCGCCGCCGGAGTCCTCCTGCGACCACGACCGATGGTCATCGTCGCGCGCGGTAGGTCGCCGCGGTCTTCCGCGCGCCGTCCCAGCGGAGCCTCTCGGCGTTCCACTTCGACCGCCACCTGTGGGGCGGCGAGCAGAAGACGGCGACGACGGGCAACAGGCGCGACGGCGAGTGGCGGCGGGCCGTGCGGCGCGCGGCCGACGCCGCGGCCTTCGCGTCGGCGCCCGGCGTGGGCGCGCGCTACGCGAAGACGCTCTCCGGCCGCGCCTGCGCGACGCGGGCCAACGGCACGCGCGTCGCCTGCGGCGACCGCTGGGCGCGCGTCGACGCCGGCTTCGTCGCGCGCGCGGGCGACCGCGTCGGCGCGCTCGGCTTCGTCGGGCTGCTGGAGGCGTACAACGCGTCGCGGTGCCTCTTCCACCGGCGCTTCGGCGGGGCGCCGCGCGCCTTCCCCGTCGACCGGTCCCACGCCCAGCGCGACTCGCCCTGGCCCGAGGCGGAGCTCCGGGGCTGGGTCGACGACGCGGACGAGCGCGTCTGGGCGCGCGTGCTCGCGCGCTTCGAGGCCGACGTCGCGCGCGAGCTGGCGCGGGACGCGCGCGTCTAAGGCCGACGCGCCGCGCGCGCTCGGCGCGGCGGCGCGAGACGCAAGCGCCTAAGGCCGACGCGCCGCGCGCGCTCGAAGGACGAGGTACACAGGAGCGAATTTACGTGGGGACGAAGTCGGGGTCGAAGCCGGCCTTCAAAAGCGTGTCCTTGGGCATCATCTTCACCCAGCGCCCCTTCTCCTCGACAAAGTCCTCGCAGGCCGTCACGTCGAGCTCGACCTCGCGCGTCTGCGGGAAGACGTTGACGTCGACCGTCGGCGAGTCGGGCCGCGGCGAGAAGTCCGGGTCGTCGGCGAGGTGCGGCTGCTCGTGCTTCGCCTCGATGACGTGGTACGCCGTGCAGCGGTCGACGAACTTGCAGTTGACGCAGATGCAGCCCAGGCGCGTCCTCCTCCGCGCCCGCGCGCGCGGCGGCGCGAGGGCGCCGCCGCCGACGCCCCAGAGCACGAAGAAGGTGATGGCGGCGCGCCGCATCGTCCGGGGCGCCGCGGCGGCGGCGCCCCGCGTGCGTGCGGCGGTCGGCTGCGGCCGGGCGCGGCCCGCAGAGGTGTGCGAGGTGTGGGTGGCGGTCGCGGGCGCGAGGAGCCGCGCGCAGCTGGGCCGCACGAGGCGTCTATCCTCGGGCTCGAGCGCGGCCAGCGAAGCACGTTGCTTGGGTGTTTCCTTCTGCAAGTTAGCAAGTTTGACTGCTCGACGCATCGGTCGGGCTGCCTCTCTCGGCCTCCTAAACAGCCGCGATGCCGGCGCCGCTGACGGAGGAGGAGCAGTACGAGATCAACCACGATCTCATCGAGGAGAAGATCAAAATTCACGACCAAGAGAAAAAGCAGCACGCGAGGCACCGACGACGAAGCCTCAAAGAACGCGTCAGAATCCAAAAAAACAAGCACGGACACGACGAGGAAATCGATATGCCCCCGGAGCCCGTGCTGAGCTTCTTGGGCATGTTTTGCTGCGGCGCCAAGGAGGAGTTCGAGACCGAGGACTGAGACGCGCGCGCGCGTAACATCCCGCGCCGCGCGGGGGCCGGGGAGGGGGGCTCCGAGCCGTCGTCGCGTGTTAGCCTCGCGGGACGCTCGCCGCGTCGGCCCTGGGCGGGGGCGGCAGCGGCGCGATCGCGTCGCCGTCCGCGACGAAGGCGAGGTACTCGCCGAAGGTCACGCGGGCGGCGTCGTCGCCGCCGCGGCGGAGGCCCGTGGACGCGGCGAGGTCCGCGAGGGCGGCCCTGCCGTCGTCGCCGCGGACGCGCTCGAAGCCCGCGGCGAGGGACTCCTCGGCGCGCGGCGACAGCGGCGGCGGCGGCGGCGGCGGCGGGCCCGGGCCCTCGACGTCGTGCTCGTGGACGACGGCGAGCGCCGCGGGCCGGGCCTTGGGCGCCTTGGGCTTGGGCTTGAGCGCGGGGGGCTTCGGCGGCTTGTGGCGCGGCGCGTGGAGCGGCGGCCGGACCTTGGCGGGCCGGCCGTCGCCGCGGAGGTTCGCCGCGGCCCGGCCGTGGTCGCGCGGCAGTTTCCGCGCGTCGCGCGGCGGCGGCGGCGACCGCGACGGCCGCGGCGGCGACTTCGACGGCGGCGCGGCTGGCTCCGGCGCGACGCGGGGCGCCGCGAGCGTCGCCTCGACGCGCGGCGCGCTCTCGTGGAAGACGAGCGGCGGGCAGTCGCCGAGCGCGAAGTCGTCGTCGTCCGCGAAGGTGGCGTCGCCCCGAAAAACGTCAAAAGTCCGGAACGTCGGCTGCTTCTGCGGCTGCGGCGCCGCGGCCGCCGCGGGCTCCGGCGCGTGCGCGCGCCGCGGCGGCGACAGCAGCGGCGACGGCAGCGCCGCGGCCGGCGGCGGCTCGACGACGGCGCGCGGCACCGCGCACCGCTTCGCGGCCGCGTCCTTCACCTCAAAGGGCCCGAAGAGCGCGCGCGGCACGAGGTCCAACGGCGCGTCGTCCCGCAGCCGCCGCGCGAGGGCCGCCGCGGCCGCGTCGTCGCCGCCGAAGCGACAACGCGCGTCGACGACGAGCGACCCGCTCCGCCAGCTCAGGAGCTCGACCTGGCCGTCGCCGACGCGCGCGGCCCGCGCGACGGCCGCCGCCAGCGCCGCGCGCCGCGCGGCGTCGAAGGCGCCGACGGACGACTCGGGCATCTTGAGCGTCATGTCGCAGCACGCGCACGAGCCCTCGGCGTCCGCCGCGGGCGACGGCACGTCGACGAAGCCGAACGCGGACCGGCGCAGGGGCGACGGCGGCGACACGGGCGACGTCGACTTGGCCCCCCGCGACGACGCCGTCGACGGCGACGCCAACGCCGCGTCGAGCGCCGCGAGCGCGCCGGAGTGGCGCGTCGACCGCGGCCAGCCGTCGGGCCGCGGCGGCGGGCTCTTCGACCCGCGGACCTCGAGGGACCGCCGGCCCACGGGCACGTCGACAGAAAGCCGCGCGGCCGCCGGGCCGTCGGTCACCGTGCCCCGGGGCCCGCCCAGAGCGACCTTGAGCGACGCGTCGAGCGACGCGAGCGCGACCGACGCCGTCGCGACGAGGACGGTCCTGCCGTAGGCGTCGGCGACGAGCACGCGGCACTCGACGCGGCCCCAGGTCCGCACGGCGCCCAGGGGCTCGTTGCCGCAGGCGCCGTCGGCGAAGCCCGCCAGCGCGACCGTCGCGGACCCGAACTGCTTCCGCCGTTTCCTGTCGATTCCGGCCTCGATCGCGTGCACGAGCAGCGCGCTCTCGGAGCGCGCCTTGAGCTTCTTCCCCAGGGCCACCTCCTCGCACTCGAAGACGCAGCGCTTCCCGGACCCGTACCACGCCGACCCGTCGCGCGACGCGCCGACGCCCTCGCTCCCCGGCTCGACGATGACCGGCGCGTAGTCGAGGAAGCGCACGGCCAAAGCCGGCGGGCTCGACCGCAGCCGCTTCGCGAGCTTTTCGACCTTGTGCACGTAGACCTCGAGGCAGAAGAGCGACGAGGCCATTGGGGTGTTTTCAGGGTTCAGGGCAGCCTCGATGGGCACCCATCTCTCAAACTGACCGCCGGACACGCTGAATTGAAGCGGGAGGAGCACTGCGCATCGGCTGGGTGAACAGGCTGTGGAGCTTTGCGCGCGTCGCGGCGCTCGAGACGAGCGCGTCGAGCGCGTCGAGTGAGTCGCGCGCCGCCCACTCGCGCGCCGCCCACCCGTGCGCCGTCGCGCGCGCCGTCGCGTCGAGCATGTTCAGTCTCCTGGAGGCGCTCAAGGAGACGTGCTTCAAGCAGCCCGAGCTGAACATCTGCATCGTCGGCGTCGACGGGTCCGGCAAGACGAGCGTGCTCGAGCGCGCCAAGGGCGCCTTCGGGTCGCGGCTGCCGCCGCTGCCGCTGAGCAAGATCACGCCGACGACGGGCATGAACCTCGCGCAGGTGGAGCTCGCGCGGGCCAAGGTCACGTTCTGGGACCTCGGCGGCGGCGCGTCCGCGCGGTCGCTCTGGGCGCGCTACTACGCGGAGACGCACGGCGTCGTCTTCGTCGTCGACGCGGCGGACGCGGACCGCCTCCGCGAGGCGCGCGACGCCTTCCGCGGCGCGCTCGACCACCCAGATCTGGCCGACGCGCCGTTCCTCGTCCTCGCGAACAAGCAGGACGCCGTCGGCGCGTGCGGCGCGGACGAGCTCGCGACGCTCTTCGAGGTGCGCGAGCTCCAGCGCGCGGGCCGGCGGAGCGTGGACCTGCGGGCCTGCTCCTGCGCCGACGCGGCGAACGTCGAGGAGAGCCTCCTCTGGCTCGTCCACGAGGCCAAGGCCCTCGCGCCGCGCGCCGCGCCTAACGAGTAGCCTTCGGGGATGAGCGGCCGTACTTAGAAGCTGCCCGGGAACGGGCTCTGGAGGTTCGACTGCTGGCGCGGCGACGGCGGCGCGACGCGGTCCGGCGACTGCCAGAGGGCCGGCGGCGGCGGCGGCGACTGCGGCCAGGTCGCCTGAGGCGGCTGCGCGTAGTACCCCGGCCGCGGCGCGCCGCCCATCATCGAGATCGCGGAGCCCGCGTGCGGTTGCGCGAACATGGCCATGATGCTGTCGTTCGAGCTCCGCGGCGCCGGCGGCGACGCGAAGCCGGCGTGCTGCGCCGGCGGCGACGCGAAGCCCGCCTGCGGCGGCGGCGGCGCGCCGAAGAGGTCGACCGGTCCCGGAGGCGCGCCGCCGAAGAGGTCCGGCGCCGGCGCCGCGGGAGGCGCGCCGCCGAAGAGGTCCGGCGCCGGCGCCGCGGCCGGCGCCGGCGCGTCGAAGGAGAGGAGGTCCTCGGCGCTCTTCGGTTTCGCGTCGAAGAGCGAGCGGCGCATGGCCTCCTTGACCGCCTCCCCCTCGGGCATGCCGTTCTCGAGCGGCGGCGCGGGCGCCTGGCCCGGGACCCCGCCGTTCCGCGGATCCGCGGGATCCGTCGCGCCGCTTCGCGTCGGCCCGACGAAATTGCACTTTTCATATTTGTCGCGGAGGAACCGCGTCCGCCGCTGGTTCGTCGTCGTGCCCGCGGCCGATAAGCGCGCGTCGTAGGGCACGGAGGCTTCGAAGTACGCGTTCGCCGCGGCGTTGCCCCACCGCTCCATCTTGTCGACCTGCGCCGTCGTCCACTCGTCGAGGCCCACGGAGCGGACGCGCGAGACGTGCGACCCGAGGCCCCGATGGATCGTCGCGCAGTCCCGGCAGAGGAAGACGCCCAGGGACACCGAGGCCCAGTTCGGGCGCCCCGGGGTCGAGCAGTCGGCGCAGGTCGAATTGCCGGGGAGCTTCAACAGTTTCTTGAGGCGCTCGCGCGCGGCGCGCGTCTGCTGGACGGTGGAGGACATCGAGAGATGGGAGCACCGATCGCACTGTTCCGGCTCGTGAGATGCTCGATCAAGGTGATCGCGAACGGCCCAAAAAAGCCACTGGCGAAAAACCCTGAATCCCGCCCGCCTGAGCCATGGGTGTGCCCCAGTCCAAAGAGATCGCCCACGGCGAGGAGTACGCGAAGAATGTCATGTTTCTGTGTAATCACAATTCGTGCCGCTCCCAAATGGCCGACGGCTGGATGCGCCACCTTCGCGGCGACGCGTCCGTCGGCTGCGCGTCCGCGGGCATCGTCGGCGGCACGGCGGTGAAGCCGGGCGCCATCACCGCGCGTGCGCGGCGTCGCGAGCCGTTTTTCTCGCGAAACGGGCCGTCGGCTCGACGCGCGAACGAGATACGCGAGACGACAGAAAACGAGAGATTCGGCGCGGCGCGCGCGCGGAGAGTAGCGAACGGCTCAAGTAGATTTCGAAGCGGCGCCACGCGCGCGCGAACGAGAACACGAACGAAAAGCCTTTACGCGAATCTCCCAGGTCATGAAGGAGGTCGGCGTCGACATCTCGGACTTTACGTCGGACGCCGTCGCCGACTACGACCCGGCGGACTTCGACATCGTCATCTCGTGCTGCGGCTGCGGGAAGAAGCTCGACCCCGAGGACAAGATCGCGTGGAAGAAGCGCGAGGCGTTCTACGACTGGGCCCTCGACGACCCGCCGGCCATCGACCCCGGGGACCTGTCCGAGTACCGCCGCGTGCGCGACGAGGTCAAGGCCAAGTGCATCGAGCTCCTCGAGAAGATCGAGAGCGACGAGCTCGGCAACCGCGAGAACGAGGGCGGCTGCTACGGCTGCCTCGCCTGAAGCGACAAGACGCCGCCCGAGTAAGCGCCGTACTACGAAAACAGGCCCTTAAAGGACGCCTTGGGCTCGGCCTTGCGCTTCGCGCGCCGCTTCTCGCGCGTGCGGCGGAGCGCCTTCGCGATGAGGGGGTCGCCGGGCGCGAGCGCCGCCGCGGCCCCGAGGCGCTCCTCCGCGTCCTTGAGCCGGCCGAGCTGCTCGAGCGCCGCCGCGGCGCGGAAGTGGGCCTTGACGGCCTGCGCCGGTTCGAGCGGGAGGTCCTGCACGGCCGCCGCGGCGTCGCAGGCGCGCAGCGCGCCCGCGGCGTCGCCCGTCGCCAGTCTCGCGGCGGCGATGTTGAGCCGGCAGTCGCGCGCGAGCGCCTTCGACTCCTTCGCCGCCAGCGCGAGGGGCGACGTGCCCTCGCGGTCGTGGGCGATGAGGCGCCGGCCTAGCAGCACCGTCCGCGCGCGCTCGGCGACGCCGTCGACGGCCGCGATCGCGGCCTCGTACGCCGCGGTCGCGGCGCCGGCGTCGCCCGCCGCGAGCAGGCCGTTGCCGCGCGCCTTTTCCGCGCGCGCCGTCGCGACGGCGGCCTCCAGCGGGTCCGGCGCGCCGTCGTCCTTCGGCTGGCCTCGGAACTCGGCGACGGCCTCGCGCGTCGGCGCGTAGACCGTGTCCGTTTCAGCGTCGTACTTGACCTCGCCGTCGCTGATCGCCGGCTCGTCGAGCCCCAAGCTCTCGCAGGCCGCGAGGAACGACGCATTCGGCTTCCATTCGACGTCCGCGGCCGACGACGACGCCTGAGCGGCCATATGCGCGGCGGCTCTTCAGAGCGGCTCCGTGCCCTCCAGAGGGCTCTCTGGCAAAACGCTCTCCGGAGCGATGGCTCTCCGAAACGCGGCCATGCTTCGGCGCCTCGCACCGCGGCCGGCGACGCAGCGATGGACGCAGCGCTCGACGCGCTGCTACGCGAGGATTCCGGGACTTGCGACGCAGCGATGGACGCGGCGCTCGACGCGCTGCTACGCGATGATCCCCGAGTGCGAGGAAACGGGTCTACCGCTGCTCGGCGCCGCGGCGCGCGCGCGCGAGGTCGCGCCGCAGCTCTGGTCCGCGCTCTTCGAGCGCGACGAGCCCTACGTCGTCATCGACGACTTTTTGGGGGCCGACGCCGTCGCCGCGATGCGCGAGGACGCGGCGCGGCTCCGCGACGTCGGCCGCTTCGGCCCCAGCCGGTCCGTGGGCCGCGACGGCGTCGCGTTCGACAAGGAGGCGGTGCTGAGCTGCGAGCCGGAGCCGTCGGACTTTGACGACGCGCCGCACGTGCTGGTGTATACGCGGGACATGCTCCTGACGCTGCCCGAGGCTCTCAACGGCTTCCTCGAGGCCGCGGGCGCCGCGCAGCGCGTGTCGACGTCGGCCTACGGGACGAAGCTCGCGGTCACGCTGCCGAGCGGCGCCTACCCGCGCCACGTGGACAACGCCTGCGCCGACGGCTCCGGGCCCGCGGACAAGCGCTGGCTCACGGTCATCTTCTACCTCCAGGACGACCGATGGCGCGGCGGCGGCGCGCTCCGGCTCTGGGTGCCGGACGGCGACGGCCCGGGCGAGCCCGTGGACGTCGAGCCCGTCGGCGACCGGCTCGTGTGCTTCTTCTCCGATCGCATCGTCCACGAGGTCCTGCCCACGGAGGACCCGGACGCGCTCCGCTACGCGCACACGCTCTGGCTCGTCAACGAGGGCGTCTGCGACGCGTCGCGGCCGGGCCAGGCGACCGTCGCCGCCCACTTTCCGCCCTAAACTGAACTTACTTCATCGCCTTGCTGACGAGGCCCCGGGGCGTCAGCGTGATCTGCGCCGCGCCGTTGCCGACGTTGTAGAACGCGGAGCCCACGAGGTCGTCCGGCCCGCGCGTCGCCGCGACGCCGTCGCCGTCGAGGCGCGCGGACACCGTGAGCGCGAGGTTCGTCGTGTCGGCCGGCAGCACGGCGTCGGCGAAGAGGTCCTTCTTCGTGACCTTGAACGAGTACGGGAACGACACGCCCTTGAGCGGCACGCGGACCGCGCCGAGCGCCGGGTCCGGCGCGCCCTTCATGAGGCCGATGACCTGCTGCGGCGCCGCGCCGCGCTTGATCGTCACGTACAAGGCGGCCGTCTCGCTGTCGAAGGTCGGCGCCGCGCCCTCGGCGAGGCTGGCGACGCCCGTGACGAGCACCTCGTCGTCGGCGGCGAGCGCCGGCGCCGCGAAGGCCGTCGCGACGGTCGACGCGATGCCGACGCCCATCTGGCGGCGCGTGGCCGTGAGCGCGCCAGCCGTCGTGGCGACCAGCGCGATCACTGCTAGGCTGAGGCGCCCCATCGTGGCCTCTGCGTCACGCTGTTGCTGCGGCAGTCCGACGCGGGCCCGGGCCGGTCGTCGCCCGCGGCCGCGGAGGCCTCCGCGGCGCCGTCCGACGCCGTCAAGCACTGTCGCCGCAACAACCTATACTCCCAAAGTTATTACGGCGCGCAGTCCGGTCGCAGCGCGAACGCGCCCGTCGCGACGTCGACCGTCGCGTCGCCGAGGCGGACGCGGAACGTCCCCACGACGACGCACGCGCCGTCGGGTCGGCCGCACTCGAGCTCGCCGGCGAAGCGGACCGCGTCGCCCGCGTCGATGACCGCCTCGCCGCCGCGGCCGAGGCCGAGGCCGCGGACGACGTCGAGCGGCTCGCCCGACGGCGACGCGACCTTCCACTCGTGCGCGACGACGCGCACGGGCCCGTTGCGCGCGTTGTTGATCTGGACGTCGTAGCCGTACAGACCGTCGCCGCCCTTGGGCGACGCCGTCACGCCGACGATGACGCGCCGCGTCGCGTTGACCGCCGTGCAGGGCAGCCGCCCGTCCGGCGCGGGGCACGCGGCCTCCCAGGGCGCCGCGAAGGCCGACGCCGACGCCGTCAGCGCGAGCCGGTCCACGGGCGCGACGAAGGTGTCGCCCGCGCGCAGCGGCGCGTCGTCCCAGTAGAAGTCGTCGCGGCCGCCGGGGAGCTCGAGGATCTCGAAGGAGAAGGACCCGTAGAAGCTGCCCGTCGCCGTCGGCAGCGTCGTGCCGGACTCGTAGCTCCAGGACTCGCCCCCGCGCAGCACGGGCGTGTCGCCGCGGACGCCGGGGCCCGACACCTCCGTGACGCCGCCGAACGCGTCCGCGAAGCGCCACGCCCGCGTCAGTAGTTGGACCGTCGCGGAGCCCTGGTTCACGAAGGTCACCCTGTAGCTCCACTGGTAGCTCGACCCGCGCATGCCGCGGAACGTCGAGACGACGTCCGTCTTCACGGCCGCCGCGCTGCCGTAGTGCGCGGCGCGCGAGCTCTTGCTCTCGAGCGCCTCGGCGCCGCAGCGGAGCGCCGGCGCGGCCGCGAGGTTCCGCGGCTCGAAGTCGCCGGCCTCGCGCGCGAGGGACCGCGCGACGAGGGGCGCCGCGTCGCCGTTCTGGAACGTCGCGTAGTGCGCCTCCATGAACTCCTTCGTCGCCGCGCCGATGGCGGCGTAGTCGAGGGTCACGATGAGCTGGAGGAGCACGCCGCAGACGAGCCTGCGGGCGCGCGCGGGTTCGGGGGAGAGGGCGGAGGCGGCGCGCACATGATGAACCAGTCGTAGTTGAGCCATTGGCGCCGCGGCGGGGGGGCATTCTCCCGCATCATCGTCGTGGCGGGCTGCTGCCTTGCGGCACGATCGGCGGCAACATCACCGGGACTCATCGGCGGGAGAGCGAGGCGACAAGGTGGGTGCGAAACAAGTCCATGGCAGCCATCGCGCGCGCCGCTCGCGTGGTCCTGCCGAGGCGAACGGCGGCGCGGACCCTCGCCCTCGCGCGTAACACCGAGGACGCGGAGCACATCGCCTTCCCGCGCGAGGGCCCCGGCCTCGACTACGCCCTGAACTGGTCCCTGAACGGCGACGGGGTGACGCCGTCGGCCCAGGCCTTCCGCCTCACCAAGGCGTCGGCCGCCGCGAAGCTCCTCGGGAAGAAGCCCGCGAAGCCCTCGGGCAAGGGCGCCGCCGCGCGTCGCCGCGTCCCCGCCGCGCCGCCGAGGCCGCCGGAACCCTCGTCCCCCCGCAGGCCCCGGAGATCGACGACGAGGACGCCTTCGACGACGCCTTCGACGACGTCGCCGAGGCCCTCGAGGCCGCGCCGGCGCTCTACGTCTCCGAGGGCGACGCGCCGGCGACGCGGACGCCGTGCCGCGTGATCACCGACGACCTCAAGCTCGGCGCGACGGCCATGGCCCACTGCCTCGAGCGCATGCCCCTGCGCCCGCCCGTCGAGCTGCCCATCACGGCCTACGTCGCGCCCGCCGCCGCCGACTTCGCGGGCTACGTCACCGAGGACGACCGCGTCAAGATCGTGTTGGGGGGCAAGTCCGCGACGGCCGCGGCGCTCAAGGCGTCCCTCGAGGCCTGCGCGGGCCTCGACCTCTCCGGCGAGGCGCCGCCGGAGCTCGACGAGGCGTAAGCCCCGACCCGCGCGCCGTCGGCGGCGGCGGGGCCCCGCCCGCGCCGTCCCCGCGGCGCGCGCTTTAATTTCAAAAGACCTCGCTGGACGCGTCGCGCAGAGACGCGGACATACACGGGACCCTTACCCTGACACGTCTCGCTCGGCGGGCATCGTACGTTACCGGTCCGCGTGGCTCTGCTCGCAGAACCACCGGCGGTAGTCGCGCGCGGCGAGGTTCGTGCGGCGCGTCGCGATGCAGAAGGAGAAGACGTTGCGCTTCGTCTTCGTCGACTCAGGGTAGTCGACGGCGACGGGCGGCTCGGGCAGGAAGCCGTCGTCGGCGAGCTTCATGCGCTTGCGGTCGCCGCCCTGCTTCTTCGCCGCCCGCGGCGCGTCCTCGAGCGACGCGGAGCCCGCGGGGCACTGGAGGATCTCGTCGGGGACCTGGTACTTGGAGAAGATCCAGGCCGTGTCGGCGTAGGGGGGCTTGTCGACGTGCTCGTAGCGCTGGCAGTAGTGGAGGAAGTGGGGCAGCTTGAGCGAGTCGTCGGTCAAAATCGCCGGGTCGCACGTGCGCGCCTTCGGGATCGCGTCGACCCAGGGCCAGGCCTCGTCGCCGGCGCCCGTGTTGCTGACCATCATGCTGTTGATCATGGCCGGCCGGATGCCCAGGTCGGCGACGGCGACGACCATCGCGTACATCTCCGCCAGATTCCCGAAATTCCGCGCGACGGCCATGGGCATGAGGTGCGTCCAGTTCGTCGCGATGGGCCGCCAGTCCGCCGCGAGGGCGATGTAGGGCGCGCCGATGCTGTAGAAGGTCGAGGCCCGGCTCTCCGTGAGGTCCGCGGCCGCCGCGGGCGACGCCGGCCGGCCGACGGACGCGAGGTACTCGGCGAGCTTCCAGTCCTTCTGGCCGTTGCGGCCCGGCGCCCGCGTCCAGGGCTTGCCGCCGATGCCGTAGCGCTGGGCGATCATGGTCCCGGCGACGAGGGGCGCGGGGAAGGGCGTCGACTTCGCGCCGCCCGTCGCGAAATAAGCCGCGGGGTCGTCGAAGGAGTCGTGCCAGAGGGGCCGCAGGAAGTAAAAGTCGGGGTCGATGAGCGCGATGGTCGCGTCGCCGGGGATGGGCGTCTCGTCGAGCCAGTGCATCATGCCCAGGGGCTTGTTCGCGTACTTGTAGTAGTGGCCCGCGTGGTCCTTGAGGGTCGTGTCCGGCGCGTAGAAGACGCGGCACCGCGGCGGCAGGTGCGACATGGCGTGGGAGATGCTGACCTTTTGGGCGTCGCTGCAGCCGCTCGCGATGCGCGTGATGACGCCGCGCTGGTCGACGGCCTCGGCGCTCGAGAAGACGCCGATCGACTGCCAGTCCTGGAACTCGCTGCAGCCCGTCGAGAAGACGACGTGGTACGACTCGTCGATGGCGGTGCTTTGTGTGAGTGGTGGCGGTGGTCGTGGCTGCGGCGCCTTCGGCGGCGGCGGCGGCGGCGGTGGTGGTGGTGGTGGTGGTGGCTGCGGCGCCTTCGGCGGCGCGCGCGGTTCCGGCTCGACGTGCGTCACGCGGCGCACGGGCGCGACCCAGGCCGCCGGCGCCCCGGCCGCCGCGTGCGCCGCCGCTGGCGGCTGCGCCGCCGCCGCCGCGCGCGCCTTGGCCACGACCTTGTGCACCTCGCGCGCCTGCTGCCGCAGCTCCCGCACGGGCACGGTCCGCGGCCGCGGCACGGAGTGCGGCACGGCCTCCTGGTGCAGCTCCAGGCCCTGGTGCATGTTGATCAGCGCGTACACGCCCGCGGCGCCCACCAAAGCGGCGCAGAGCTGGCGCAGCCGCACGCCCGCGGACGCTTGCGGGCGACGCATAGCTGCTTGCTGTGGCAGTGGGGCAACGTCTCGGCGACGAAGTACATGTTGATGGTGCTTCCCTTAACGATCTTCCGATCTGCGTTCTAGCCCCGCATCGCCGCCACGCAGCCCCATCGCCCTCCAACCACAGTTGCAATGATGCGCGTGCTCGCAGTGACCGTCGCGCTGTCGAGCCTCGCCAACGCGCAGAAGAGCAACCTGCGCGGCGCGCGCCAGCTCGAAGACTTCGTGGCGACCTACGAGCCCACGGCCACTCCCACGGCTGCTCCCAACGACAGCCCGACCTTCATGCCCACCTACAGTCCGACGTCAGTCCCTTCGTCGGCGCCCGTGCCAAGCCCGACCATGATCCCGACCTATGCCCCGACGACGTCGCCCGTCGACTCGCCCACCTTCAGCCCGGAGCCGACGTACGCGCCTACCGCCTCGCCCAACGACAGCCCTACCGTCTCGACGATGCCGACCTACTCGCCCACGCCCGTCCCCACCTCGATGCCCTTCCCCTACCCGTCGACCGAGCCCACGTACACGCCCACGAATACGCCGACGACCGCGCCGAACGATTCACCCACGGCCATGCCCACGTACTCGCCCACCGGCGTGCCCGTCCCGCGGCCGACGTTTAGCCAGGAACCGACCTACAGTCCGACCACAAGCCCCGTCGACTCGCCCACGTTCTCGCCCATGCCGACGTACGTCCCCACGTCTTCTCCGACCGTCTCGCCGACGTTCTCGACGATGCCGACCTACGCGCCCACGCTCGTCCCGACGCCGCAGCCGTTCCCCGCACCGTCCGCCGAGCCCACGTACGAGCCCACGGATCACCCGGCGTACGTCAACTACACGTACTCGGCTTAGCCGAGTTGTTCGACCGAGAATTAATCATTCGAACGTTGAAGTGCAACGCGCCGAAGGTGCCGCAGCCTTTTCATGCGCCCGCCCGAGGCATGGCTGCTCCTCGCAAGTGATCATGGAGGCCTGAGCTCTCGAAAAGACAAGCTTCTACACGGCAAACCATGAGCGATGAAGACAGCGACGACGTGCTCAGCGACGTGCACCTGCAGCTCGCGCAGCGCGACGGCGTGACGACGCTCTGCTGGGAGGACGAACAAACAACACAGCACTCGTGCGTCGTCGACGCCGACGGCGACCTCGAGCCGCCGCGGAAGCGTTCTAAGAAAGCGGCCGTCGCGCTCGCGCACCGCCTCGCGACGCCCGTCGCCGACGTCGGCCTGCAGGTCTGGCGCGGCGCGTTGCTGCTCGGCGACTACTTTTTCGAGCATCCGCCCGTCGCCGTGAAGCTCGCGGAGCTGGGCGCCGGCGTCGGCGCGGCGGGCCTGCTCGCGGCGACGCTCGGCGCCGACGTCCTGGCGACGGACGGCCACGCGGGCGCCGTCGCGCTCGCGGCGGCGAACGGCGACAGGAACGCGGCCGCGATAGCGCGCGGCGGCGGCCGCTTCGCCGCCGCGGTCCTCGAGTGGCGCGCCTACGCCGACGCCGACGCGGACGACGACGACGCGCTCGGCGACGCGTCGCTCCTCGTCGCGGCCGACTGCGTCTACGACGACGTCGCGACGGACGCGCTCTTCGACGCGGTAGCCACGGCGCTCGACCGGCGGCCGGGCCGCGAGCTCGTGCTCGCGCTCGAGAAGCGCTTCAACTTCGAGGCCGAGAGCCTGAGCGTCCGCGCCCACGGCTACCGGCGCTTCGCCGCGCGCCTCGGCGGCCTCGACGCGGAGCGGCTGCCGCTGCCGCCGCGGCGCCTCGCGTACGACCGCGGCGACGAGGCCGCGCTCGAGCTCTGGCGCTGCCGCCGCCGCCAGACTAACACACCGCCGGACTAGCACCATCGCCTCTACGTTGTAATGTGTCCCCCGAAGTAGCCAAGAACGCCTCCTCGGCCGCGCTCGAGCTCTGGCGCCGCCGCCGCCGCCAGACTAACACACCGCCGGACTAAAACAACCATGCTGAGTGCCTCGTGACGCGCGCCTTCTATCTAGAGGCCGACGGGGCGGATCAGGGAGATGGCCAGCGGCCGCGCGGCGTTCTTGAGGAGGTGGAGCGCCTTCTCGAAGTCGACGGAGTCGGCCTGGGCGTCGTAGTCGCGGCGGGCCTGCTCGTCGGAGAGGACGTCGTGGGCCTTCTTGACCTTCTGGAAGATGGACGTGCGGCCGCCGCGGTCCGGGTGCGCCTTGAGCGACGTCTTCTTGTAGGCCCTGCGGATCGCGGCGTCGTCGGCGTCCTTGTCGATGCCCAGGATGCCGTAGACGTCGATCGTCGACGCGCGGCGGCCCGTCTTGACGGACGCGCCGGCGACGGCGACGAGGCGCGACCGCCGGAGCATGCCCGCGCGGTCCGCCTGCCCCCCCGGGTTCACGGTGTCGACGACGATGGCGCTGCCGCCGCCGGGGCTGCGGTCGAGCACGATCTTGAAGCCCATGGGCCCCGGGTGCGAGATGACGACCTCGTACTCGCCCTGTACGGGCGGCCCGCCGAACGCGCCCGTCTCGGGCGTTCGATAGGCCGGGTGGCTCCCGGGCCCGACGGTCGCCGCGCGGTGGAGCTTCGGCCGCGGGTCCTCGCTCTCCTCGAATTCGGCGGCGCGCTCGGCCTCGGCGTCGGCGATCTCCTTGGCCCGCGCGGCCTCGCCCTCGGCCTCCCTCTCCGCGGCCGAGGCCGCCTCGAACTCCTCCGCGGCCGCGCGCGCCTCCTCCCGCGCCTGGGCCGCGGCGATGGACGACCGGCGCCGCTTGAGCTCTCTGGGCGGCAACGCTCGCAACGACGCGGCCCAGGCGTCGAGCTCGTCGCCGAGGACCTTGACCCACGCGTCGCGGTCGACGACCGTCGACGCGCGGAGCGCGTCCGTCTTTCTGCCGCCGCGCGACACCTCGAAGCCGACCTTGTTGTCCTTGCGCGGGGCGACGTCGCAGCCGTCGAGGGGCGACGTGCCGAGGAGCGCGCCCGTCTTCGCGTCCGCGAACACGAGCGCGGGGCCGATGTTGACGCCCCGGTCGCGGCGGTTGCGGACGACCGCGCACCGCTGCTTCCTGTAGGAGCTCATGACGTAGCCCGCCTTCTTGCGCGAGAGCACGCCGGAGAGGACGACGGCCTCGGCCTTGGGGTCCGCGGGGGGCTCGGGCGGCGGCGCCTTCTTGAAGAAGCCCGTCTTCGGCGACCCGGGCGACGTCGGCGGGCTCGAGGGCGGCGTCGACGCCGCGGGCGACGGCGGCGCGGGCTTCGGCGTCGCGCCGAAGAGGGCGCCCGCGGCGGACGCGGGCGGCGGCGACGGCGGCGGCGACGCCGGCGCGGGCGGCGCCGCGGCGTCCGCGCCGCCCGCGCCGCCGTCGTCGCCCGCGGCCGCCGCGGCCGCGAGGCGCTCCGCGGCGCGCGCCGCCTCGGCGGCGTCGGCCTCGGCGCGCTCCCGCGTCGACCGCGCGTCGTCGGCGGCCGCCTCCTCCTCGGCCTGGAGCCGCCGCGACGCCTCGGCGCGCGCCTCGGCGTCGGCCTCCGCGGCCGCGCGCGCGGCCGCGCGCGCGGCCATGCGCTCCATGGCCGTCATCTCCTCGGGCTCCTCGCGCGCGGGCGCGTAGGGCTCGGCGTTGTCGCTTTCGAGGGGCACGGGCTCGACGCGCTCCGCCGGCGCGTCGTCGTCGTCGTCCTCCTCCTCCTCCTCCTTCTCACCCGGGGCGTTGGTCTGCATGTCCATGTCCTTCTCGTTGCTGCTGCAGCACATGAACCAGCCGAGGTCGATCGTCGCCATCGGCTTCTCGCCCTTGACCTTCCAGGTCACCCCGCCGTCGCCCATGCTTGGCACGGTTTCTATGCGAGCTCTGTCTGGCCCAGCAGAGGAGTTATTTTTCAAGAGATACATGGGGTCACTTGACGTTCAGTTGCCCCTCGCTTAAGCATGGATCCGTCGATGGGCAGCCCATCTCGCAAGCGCTGAGAGCGCCGCGCTTGTCCAGACAGCATGGGCGGCCACCGGCACCCGAGCGACGCGGACGCGCGGCGCCTGCGGAGCTACGAGTCGATCCAGTACCTGCCGCCGAACAGCGCGGCCTATCGCAAGGGCGCGCGGTCCCTCCGGCCCGCGGCGCTGTCGCCGGGCTCGCAGCGCTGGTGCATGGCCGCGCTGATCGGGTTGACGACGGGCTGCGTCGGCTTCGGGCTGAAGACGGCGCTCTTCGCGCTCGAGGGCGGCCGCCTCGCGGTCCTCGAACGCCTCGCGACGGACAAAACCATGTGGCTCGCGGCGCTCTGGGCCGGGTCGAGCGCCTTCGCGCTCGCGGGCGTGGCCGCGGCCATCACGGCCTACGGCGCGCCCGCGGCGTCGAGCAGCGGCGTGCCCGAGGTCATCGCGTACCTCAACGGCATCACGATCCGCGAGGCGTTCAACCTGCGGACGGCGCTGGCCAAGTTCGCGTCCTGCGCCTGCGCCGTCCAGCGTCCTGTGGCCGTGACGGCTTTCGAGAGATTTGAAAACAATGAGACATCATCACAGTCGTGCTCGGTAGGCGCCGTCGCGTCGGGCCTCGCGGCGGGGCCCGAGGGGCCCATGATCCACCTCGGCGCGATCATCGGGCGGGGTTTGAGCCAGGCGGAGTCGGCCGCGCTCGGGCTCAACTTCCCGCGCGCGTTTCCCGCGCTCCGCAACTCGCGGGACCTGCGGGACCACGTGTCCCTGGGCGCGGCCTGCGGCGTGTCCGCGGCCTTTGGGGCGCCCATCGGCGGGCTGCTCTTCGCCGCGGAGGAGGTCGCGAGCTTCTGGTCCACGGAGCTGAGCTGGCGCGTCTTCTTCGCGTGCGCCGTCGCGACGACGACGCGCGACGTGCTCCTCGCCGTCGGCGCCGGCGGCTTCGGCCCGATCCGCAGCCGCGCGCTCGTGCTCTTCCACATCACGTCCGCGGCGCGCCGGTCGCACGTGCTCCACTTCGCGGCGGCCGCGTGCTGCGGCGTGCCCGGCGGCGCGCTCGGCGCGCTCTTCATCCGCGCGCAGGCCGCGCAGGCCGCGCTCCGCGCGCGGTGGCGCACGAACGACACGCGGCCGAAGAAGGTGCTCGAGGCCGCTTCCGTCGCGCTCGCGACGGCGCTCGTCTTTCTGGGCGCGTCGTTCGCGCTCGGCTGCGACACGGCGTGCGGCGACGGCGACTGCCACGCGCAGCAGCTCGAGGAGGCCTACATGCGCTACTGGTGCGACGACCGGCGCGTCGCGCGCGGCGCCGCGCTGCTGTTGACGGGCGGCGAGGAGACGGTGACGCGGCTGTTTAGTCGGCAGACGCACCGCGCGTTCGAGCCGACGGCGCGAGCCGGCGTCCCGCGGCCGAGACGACGTCCGAGAGACGCGGACCGGGATAGAAAGACGACGACCGACGCGCGTCGCAGGCGCTCGCGCTCTGCTTCGGCGTCTATTTCTGGGCCGCGGTGAGCGCCATGGGCCTGAGCCCGGCGACGGGCAACGTGATTCCTTTGCTGATCATGGGCGCGCTCCTCGGCCGCCTCTTGGGCGCGTCCGTCGCCGCGGTCCTCGACGTCGACCCGGACGGGAGCGACCTCTGGGGCGACCCGGGCGTCCTTGATGCGGCGTCCGACGACGAGCGTTCGCGTGTTCCCGACCCGTTCTTCCTAGGTCTGGGCCGTGCTCGGCGCCGCGTCCGTCTTCTCGGGCGTGACGCGCCTGACGATCTCGCTGACGGTGATCCTCTACGAGATCACGGACGACGTCGCGCTGCTGCTGCCGGTCATGTTCGCCGTGCTCGTCTCGCGGACCGTGGCCATCAAGCTCCAGGCCGAGAGCCTCTACCACGTGCTGCTGGAGACCAAGTCCGTGCCCGTGCTCCTCGAGTCGAGCGACAAGCACTACGACGTCGGGCCGGGGGGATTGGACGTGCTGCCCGTGACCGACGCCATGTCCCCGGACCCGAAATGCGCCTACACGACGACGACGGCGACGGACGCGGCCGCGCTCCTCGCGGCCGCGCGGCACCACACCTTCCCCGTGCTTCGGCCGAGCGACGGCCGCTGCTGCGGCACGATCACGCGCGACCACCTCCTCGCCGTGCTCCGGCGCCACGCGGCCGAGCGCGTCGAGCCCGCCGGCGTCCGGGCGCCCGGCGACGGCGGCCTCGAGGGCGTCCAGATGCCGTCGACGCGCGAGCGGGGCGCCCGGATGCCGTCGAGGAGCGGCGACGACGACGGCCCCGCCGACGACGGCGCCGACGACGACGACGGCGGCGAAGACCCGCTCCGCCTCTCGCAGCTCCAGCACCTGTCGTCGCCCGCGACGCGGCCGATCTTGGACGCGCGAGAGGAGTCGCGGCTCCTCGCGCTCGTCAAGGGCGACGGGACGCCCGTGGAGCTCGGCAGCTACGTCCACGCCTCGGCCATCAAGGTCCAGGCCGACTTCTCCCTCGCGCGGGCCCTCATCCTCTACCGCACGCTCGGGCTCCGCGCGATCGTCGTCGTCGACGTCGACAACCGCGCCGTCGGCATGCTCACGCGCCAGGACCTGCTGCCCTTCCACGTCAACGACTACCGGTCGAGGCGCGCCGACAGCGAGGCCGCGACGGTCTGCGACGGCGACGACCCCACGGAGCTCGAGGCGACCGCCGCGGAGCTCGCGGACCTCGTCTAAAAACACAAAGAAATTTTAACCGCCCCGCATGGACGCGGGCGTGACGGGGAAGGGCGCGCCGGCGCCCTTGCCCGGGCCGGGGAAGAGGCGCGGCGGCCGCGGGAGTTGCGGCAGTCTGAGGCGGTCGAGGAGCGAGCCCGCCTCTGCGCGCGCGCGCTTCGACGCGAGCACGAGCGGGTTCTGCTCGAGGCGGAAGGGCCAGTCGCTGCCCGGCGGCGCTTCGGCGGCCTCGCGGGCCGCGCGGGCCTCGCGCTTCTCGTCGATCTGGCCCTGGAGCATCTCGAGCGTGCGGTCCGCGTGGCAGAGGCCCCAGTTGAGGAGCACCGGCGGGCACCGGATGCCCGGGTCCGCGCCGAGGATGAGCTCGACCTCGGTCCTCGCCGGTTCGCCCTCGGCCACGGCCGCCGCGCCGAGGAGGTAGGTGACGCGGAAGGCCGGCAGGGTCACGCAGTTCTTCCGCGAGTGGAGCTCCGCCTCGAGCGTCGGCGACATGGGCGCCGCCGACGGCGGCCGCAGCCCCGCGAGGCCCTTGCGCAGGCCCGGCGGCGCGAGGGCCGTGGCGCGGTCGAGGCCCGCGACGCACCTCTCGGCGAGCGCGGCGCGGAGCGCGTCGGTCCCGCGCGCGATCTTGGAACGCTCGCTCGACGGCGCCCGCGGCGGCGCCGCGGCGCCGAAGCCCTCGGGCGTCCGCGGGAGCGGCGCGCCGTCGCCGGCGCCCGGCGGCGGCGGCAGCGCCGAGTCCGGCAGGCTCACGCGCCGCAGCTCGACGCGCGCGCGGCCCTCGCCGAGGCGGTCGCAGAAGAGCGCCGCCGAGACCTGGCGGTCCCACGCCGGGAACGGCAGCGCGAAGCGGTAGTAGACGAGCTCCTCGACGGGCGCGTCGGCGACGGTGGACGTCCGCGGCGCGACGACGACCGATTCCTCGAGGCGGCTCACCCAGTGCCGGTGGCTCTCGCCGTCGAGGAGCGCCTCGAGCACCTCCTCGAGGTCACCGTCGAGCGTCGTGCGGCACATGCAGGTCGGCTTCGGGTAGCCGTCGATGGACGTCAGGGTCGCCTTCTTGGCGAAGGCGTCGTCGACGCCGCGGGCCACGTGGATCAGCGCAAAGGCGGCGACCAGGCCGCGCCGGCACGCCATGCTTGCACCAGAAGCCGGACGAAGGACGCCGCGGCGCGCCATGCTTGCACCAGAAGCCGGACGATCGTCGTCGCTTGTTTTATAAATGCTGTCGCGAACCCAGAACGGGAATCGAGCTCCAGGGACGAGATCGGCGAGTTCGGACCCCATTCCTGGCTCGCGGCGGCCCGACACCGACGACGACAGGCGCGTCCGCACAGGTACGGCCGGCGTCGCGACACACTGCCGTTGCGGGATCTAGATGCGCTGCGGCCGTATCGGCCTCGCGAGGCGCCACTACCAGTCGGATCGTGCCGGCGAGCGCGGAGTGGTAATCGGTATAGACGCGGCGTGGTAGCTGAATTTTCTGCGACGGGGGGCGGGGCGGGCCCGACGCACGACCCACTCCCCCAGCCCGGACCCGCGCTGCGCCCCGCTTCCTCGGCGGGGTCGACGGACGTCGACCGCGACCTCGCCGGAAAATCCCGCTTTCGGGCAGGGGCGCGGGGCCGGGCGGCGGGCGGGGCGGGGCGGCGCGGGCCGGGGCTCGCCGGGGCGGCGCGCGGCGCGGGAGTCGCGACGCGCCCCACGCGTAGGCCCGCCGGAACTTCGGGGACGCGCGACGCGGCGTCGGGCGGAGCGGAGCGGCGAAAAAGCAGGTCGGGCGGCGCGGGACGCGCGCGCCCCGTCGACGAGCCGCGCGGGAGGCCGCGCCCGGGCCCGCGCGCCATGGAGCTCCGCGTCGGGAAGAAGTACCGCCTCGGGCGGAAGATCGGCTCCGGGTCGTTCGGCGACATCTACCTCGGGACGAACCTCACGTCCGGCGAGGAGGTCGCGATCAAGCTCGAGTCCGTGAAATCCAAGCGCGCGCGCCGCGCCCTCTCTATTTCGCGCGCGGGCGCGCGACCGCGCGCGCCGCCGCCCGGTGTGCCCCGACGCGCGGCCGTCCCGCAGGCACCCGCAGCTGCTCTACGAGTCGAAGATCTACCGCATCCTCCACGGCGGCGTGGGCGTGTCGAACGTGCGGTGGTACGGCGTCGAGGGCGACTACAACGTCATGGTCATGGACCTGCTGGGCCCGTCCCTCGAGGACCTGTTCAACTACTGCGGCCGCAAGTTCAACCTGAAGACGGTGCTCATGCTCGCGGACCAGCTCGTGAGCCGCCTCGAGTACGTGCACACCAAGTCCTTCATCCACCGCGACGTCAAGCCGGACAACTTCCTCATCGGGCTGGGCAAGCGCCAGCACGTCATCCACGTCATCGACTTTGGGCTCGCGAAGAAGTACCGGGACCCGCGGAGCCACCAGCACATCCCCTACCGCGAGAACAAGAACCTGACGGGCACGGCGCGCTACGCGTCCATCAACACGCACATCGGCATCGAGCAGAGCCGGCGCGACGACCTGGAGAGCCTGGGCTACGTGCTCATGTACCTCATCCGCGGGTCGCTGCCGTGGCAGGGCCTCAAGGCGAACACGAAGAAGCTCAAGTACGAGCGCATCATGGACCGCAAGATGTCCACGTCGACGGAGAGCCTGTGCAAGGGCTTCCCCGCCGAGTTTCGCAGTTACTTCGAGTACTGCCGGAGCCTCCGCTTCGAGGACCGGCCCGACTACGCGTACCTCAAGCGCCTCTTCAAGGAGCTCTTCTACCGCAAGGGCTTCCAGTACGACAACATGTACGACTGGACGGTCCAGAACATGCAGCAGGAGCGGAGCCGCCTCGGGCCCGAGCGCGCGGGCCCGTCCGGCGGCGCGGACGCCGCGGGCGCGGCGCCGCCCGCGGGCGCGGCGCCGCCGCCCGCGGACGACAAGCGCTACAAGGAGGGCGAGGCCAAGGCCGACGACGGCGACCGCAAGGTGAGCGACGGCCGCGGCACGGCCGAGTACGCCGCCGCGTACCGCGCGCCGCCGCTCGACCTCGACGAGGCCAAGCGCGGCGACGCGACGGACCCGCGGTCCGCGCGCCGCGCGTCCACGGGCGCGTCGAACCCGAACTACGACCGCGCCCGCGCCGGCGCGCCGGGCGCCGCGCCGCCGTCGGGCTCCGGCGACCGCCGCGCGGCGAGCGGCGGCGGCGCCGCGCCCGCGTCCGGCGCCGCCGCGGGCCAGCGCCCCGCGGGCGCGCTCTCCAAGCGCGACGGCGGCGCGGCCGACGCCACCGTCGCCTCGCCCCGCGTCGTCACGACCTCCTCCTCCGCCATGCGGCCCGGCGGCCGCTAGCTCCCCCGCGCGGCCGCGGCCCCGCGACCGCCGCCGGCCCCTCTCTCTCTCTCTCGCGCCCCTTGACGACCGCGCGCGACCCCCTGACGCCGCCCGCGGGCGCCCCTCGCCCTCGGGCGCTATAATCACGTCCAGTCTCCTTATCTTTCGCCGTGGGTCTCATCGTCGGAACTCCGAAGCTTTTTTAGCGGTGCCGGTGGTCATCATCGTCGGAACTCCTCGCCGTGCGTGCCGAGGCCCTTCTCCCAGCGCCGGTCCATCTCCTTCCACTTGGCGCGGAGCTCGTCGGCCTCGTGCGCGTGGTACTTGGCGAGGAGCTCGTCCTCGCGCGGGTGGTGGCGCCAGTTGGGCAGGTTGCTGGGGTCCATGCGCGTCCGCTCGAGCTCCTCCGCGAGCTTGCCCGGCGCGGAGCCGACGTTCTCCCAGCCGGGCCCGTAGAGGCTCGCCGCGTAGAGCGGGTAGTTCGCGGGCTCCCGGATGTCGTGGGAGTGGAGCACGACGCAGCCCGCGCCGCCCTTGAGCGCGTAGGACACCTCGCCGTCGAGCTCGTGCGCGTCGAAGCCCGCGCACTTCAAGGGCACCGCCGCGGTGCCGTGCGTCTCGCCGCGCTTCCGGTCGTGGCCCCGGCAGTTGAGCGAGCTGTGGAGGTGGCGGCTTTTGGCGCCCGTCGCGTGGAGCGCCGCGCGGAAGGCCGGCTGGTCCATGAGGAAGCCCGACTGCTCCAATAGGTCGTCGTAGGCTTCGAGCCAGAGGGTCACGAGCGCGCGGCTCTTCGTCGTGTTCGCCCACGCGACGACGCCCGTGTTCGCCTCGCGCGCGGCCGCGGGCACGCGCCAGCGCGGCGACGCCGCGAGCACGGACTTGGCGTGCTCCTTGCCCTCGCGCACGGGCACGAACGCGACGTCGTAGCCGCCGCCGACGCCGCAGACCGCGCCGGTCAGGGGCTTGCAGACGTACGTGTCCGCGTCCATGAACAAGGCGCGGTCGTAGCGGTCGAGGGCGTGCGTGATGGATCGAATTTTTAGACGGCGCAGCCGCCGCAGGGCCACGTTCGCCGGGTCCGTCCGGTTCCGCCACCGCTTCGCCGTCGACTCCGCCGGGTCGGCGCCGACCGGCTTCGTCGCCTCGAACTCGAGCGCGAAGCTCCGGCCGTCGATGGACTCGACGACGTCGAAGGGCGTCGCCTCGCCCCACTCGAGGTCCAGCTGCTTGACCGTCGCGTCGTCGGTGACGAGCATGGTTTCCAGGGTTGCGGCGAGGTCGAGCTGGCCCCAGGTCTTCGCCGACCGCGCGCTCCGGCACGCCTTGCGTAGCGACTTCGGGCCCACGGCGAAGTAGACCACGACCATGGTCTTCGCGTAGGTGCAGGCGCGGGCCACCATGGGTGGCGCGGCGCGGCGGCAGTGGCGGCACGGCAGTGGCGACCTCTTTGCCGCAGCTTGTGGCAAGGGCGTCAACATTCAGGACAGTGCAGTGCAACGTTGAGAAGCCTCGGGCAGCACTGAGACATGCTAGTCCGCGCGCGCGCATGACCTTCTGACATGCCGGACGCCTGTCAGGACGCGTGCAGCGGCCTGACATGCGCGGACTACGCCCACGAGACGTGCGAGCTCGCGCGCCTCGTGGGCTGCCTCTGCGCCGGCTGCGACTGCGGCCGCCTGCTTCTCGGCAACGCGACGCGAGCGGCATCGCCGGCGCCGCCGCCGCTGCCGGAGTCCGCGGACGGCGGCGGCGGCGGCGGCCTCGCGCTCTGGAGCGCCGCCGCCGCGTCCGTCGTCGCCGTCGCCGGCGGCGCGGCCGTCGCCGGGCTCCGCGCGGCCAACGCCGACGACCGCGCGGCGGTGGCGTCGCTGTGCGCCGTCGCCGTCGTCGTCGTCGTGATCGTCGGGCAGGGGCTCATCGCGTTCGACGTGGAGTTCGACTACGCCGTGGCCGCGGATACCGTCTTCGACGGCTACGACTTCTGGGGCGGCGTCGAGGAGCTCTGGCGCCGCGACGCCTGGCTCCTCGCGGCCGTCGCCGGCGCGAGCTCGGGCATCTGGCCCTTCGCGAAGAACATGCTCACGGTCGCGACGTGCTGGGCCCCGGGCGACGCGGCCGAAAAGTCGCGGCGCTTCCGGCTCCTGGGCCTCGGCGGCAAGACGGCGATCTTAGACATCGCGTTCATCGCCCTGCTCGTGACAGCGTCCTGTGGCCGCGACGACTTTCGAGAGATTTGGGGTGGGGAAACAATGAGAAATCGTCACCGTCATGCTTGGTAGGCTCGTGACCTTCGTGCAGGTCGAGACGGCGCCGGATCCCGTCCTCGGCGTCGAGGGCTACGTGGCGACGGCGCCGCGCGCGGGCGCGCTCGTCATTTTGGTCGGGCTGCTGGCGTCGCGGACGCTCACGTCGACGCTCGCGCACTTTCCGCCGGGCCCGCCGTCGCCGCCGCGGCCGCTCCCGCCGCCGCGGGCGCCGCACGCGGGTCTGTGGGCGCTCGCGGTCGCCGCGCCGGTGCTGGTCGGCTGCGGCTGCTTCGCGACGCATTTCGTCGCGCGGAGCTACGAGATCAGCTACCACTTCGGCGGCGGCGTCCCGGCGCTCGTCGTCGACGAGGCCTACGACCGCTACACGGTCTGGGAGGCCGTCGACGGCTGCCGCACGGCGCCGCGGTCCGCGGCGCGGGCCATCCGCGCCGTCGTCGCGGCCGTCGTCCTCGGCTGCGGCGTCGTCGTCGCCCTCGCGCAGGCCTGCGCGCTCCCGGCGGCGGCGTGCGCGGCGGCGCTCGCGGCGAGCGACGGCGCGCGCGCGTGCTCGTCCTTCGGCAGGGCGCTCCATTTCTTGTCGGAGTGGGCGTCGCTCGACATGGTATGCGTGGCCGTCTTCATGATGGAGGACCAGTTCCCCGCCATCTCCGAGAGCTTCTCCAGAGATTTCGGCTACGACGCGCGCGACGAGCTCGGGCCGAAGCTCGTGCTCGAGCTCCACCCGAAGCCGGGGCTCTTCCTCTGCTTCGCGGGCGCTTTGGTCGCGACCGTCGCCTCGCAGCTCGTGCTCGCGCGCCACTTCCCCCACGCGTTCGCCGCGCCGGAGCGCGCGGCCCTCGCCTGGGAGAAGACCGTCGTCTTCGACCTCCGCCTCGGTGCGGAGGAGAAGGAGCCGTACCCGGAGGACGAGGACGACGCCTTCGAGGTCCACGACCTCATCTACGACGAGTGGCAGCCGCCGGATCTCGTCGACGGCGTGCCGGGCTTCGACGACGACGAGCTCCGAGACGCCGTCGCCGACCTCCGCGCGCGCGTCGACGACGACGACGAGCGCGACGTCGCCCGCGGCCTGGTGGTGCGCGTCGACGACCTGGTGGAGACGGACGACGAGGAAGAGGAGGACGCGGGGGGTCGGAGTCCGAGCCGGGATCCGCGAGACTACGACGTGTAATTTAGCTAGCAGAGATGTCGCTTGGCGAGGGCCGCGGCGGCGATGAGGCAGGAGGCGCCGACGCCGACCAGCAGCACCATGGTCGGGTCCGGGTCCCGCGCGCCGTGGACGACGAAGCTCGCGTCCTCGCTGGGCTTCGGGGGGAAGGTCGCGGACACGTCGGGCGGCCGCGGCGCCGGCGGCGCGCGTATCGCCTTGGGGACGACGCTGAACTCGCCAGTCGACGCCGGCTGCTGGCCGTAGCAGAGGGACACCTGGAGCGCCGTGACCTCGGAGCCGGCCGGGAGCGTCGCGGCCTCGGCGACGCAGGCGCCGGACCGCCAGGCGCAGCTGCCGGTCACGTTGGGCCCGGCGCCGACGGCCTTGCCGCGCGCCTTGCCGGCGCCCGGCGACCGCTTGCCCGCGCCGCCGCCGCGGCCGCGGCCGGCCTTCTGCAGGCGCCGCGCGGCCTTGGGCGGCTTCACGGGCTTGAGGGGCGAGAAGTTGGCGCTGACGCACTCCGCGCAGCTCGCCAACGGCGCGCAGGCGTCGGACTCGCAGAGGTCGCCCTTCCAGCCGCGGTGGCACCAGCACGCGTGGCCGCGAGGGCCCCCGAGGCACACGGCCGACCCGGGGCAGCCCGTCTCGAGGCACGACGCGCGCGGCGGCGCGGGCGGCCGCGGCGCGGGCGCGGGCGGCTCCACGGGCGCCGCGGGGGTCTCCAGGTCCGCCTGGCTCCAGCACTTGTGGGAGCCGCGGGGGCCGGGCAGGCAGACGTCGTCGCCGGGGCAGCCCCCGCAGGCGTCGGTCGCCGGCGACGCCGCGGCGCTCGTCGCAGCCGGCGACGCCGCGGCGCTCGTCGCCGCCGACGGCCGCGGCGTCGCCTTAGGCGCCTTGGTCGGCTTCGGCGTCTTCTTCGCCGTGGGCTGCTTCGTGGGTTTCGGCGTCGTCGGCTGCTTCGTGGGCTTGTGCGTCTTTTTCGGCTTCTTCGTCGGCTTGAGCGTCGGCGTCGGCCCGTCGGCGAGCGCGCCGACGAGCACGAGCGCAAGAAGGAGAATGGCGCGCATGACAAGGTCGCTCACCAGCCCATGCTTCCTTTGAAGGTTAGCATAAGGTTAGGCGGAGATGCCCTTCAAGTTGACGCCACGCTCTTAATGAGGGGAGAAGCAGGGAGAGCCTCTCTTTGGCATTTGCCGGCGCGCGCGCGGCCGGCTGTCCATGGTCATGGGCTGCGGATCGCGGCAGACGTGCCTCTGGTGTGCTCGGAACTGTGCTCCGTGACCATGGACACCCTGACCGTCATCCGGAATCGCTGCGCGAAGTTCGAGCATTTCGGCATGCTCTGCGAGCCGAAAAGCAGCCCATTTTGGGCTCTGGGCAGCGTGCTGGCTGGATCGGAGGCTCGGGGTACATGTCTGATACCCTCGGACTGCTCAGTTGCTGACTTGGCTCGAACGACGTGCGACACCGCGCGCGCGGGCGTGCGGGCGCGCGCGACGCGGTTTCAGCGCGAACACGTCAGATCGACTTCCTCGGGTCCGCGGGGCCAACCCTTGTGGCAGGGCGCTCTCGGGTCGACAGCGGACGATCCCTGCTGCTGCGCGGGGCTGCCCGGGCCGCTCACGGGCCGGGGGAGGGGCGTCGCGTCCGTCAAACCGGTCGCCCGAAGCCGCTTGTGTTCTCAGCGAGTCGCAATCCAAACGCTGCCGCTCCTTCGCGGATGGCAGCCCCGATGTGTGCGCTATGCGCAGTCCCAGCGATCTTGCACGCGGGGGGGCGCGCGCGGTGGTAGGCGCGCTCGACTAAATTTAATGCATCCATGCCGTCGATCTCTGAAATCAGCGGAACCAAATACATAGAGCGAGCCGATGAGCGGAACCAAACACATACAGCGAGCCGAGAGTAAACCAAAGCTCAACGGATCGCCGCCGCAGTGGTTGCTATTCCCCTCCTACGCTCTTATGGACGAGGCAGCCCGGTGATAGACGATGCCGCGCACGACGATGGACGAGGAGAATGACCGGTGGACGGGCCTGGCGGCGGCCAGCGTCCTGCGGCCGCGACGACGTTCGAGCGCTTTTGACCGGGAATTTGGTAGGCAGCGGCTTTGCTCATCATGTCGAGCGCCGGCACGGTCTACTCCTTCGGCAGCTACTCGTCGACGCTCAAGGCGAGGCTGGGCCTGAGCCAGGAGCAGCTGGCCTGGGCCGCGCTCTGCTCGAATCTGGGCACCTACAGCGGCGTCGCCGGCCTCGTCTTCGGCCGCTTCGGCGCGCGGCGCACCGTCGCGCTCGGCGCGGCGCTCGTCGGCGTCGGCTACGGCGGCGTCTGGCTGCTGCTCGTCGCGCCGCCGGCCGCGGGCGGCGCGGCCCTGAGCTGCGCCTGCTGCTTCCTCTGGGGGCACGGCGCGGGCTACCTCGACTGCGCGTGCATCGGCACGTGCGCCGCCGCGTTCCGATCGCACCGCGGCGCCGTCGTCGGCCTGATGAAGAGCCTCTACGGCCTGGCGTCGTCGCTGATCGTGCTCTTCGCGGCGTACTGGGCGTCGGGCGCGTCCTTCGTCGGGATCCTGGCCGTCGTCGCGCTCGCGCTGCCGCTCCTGGGCGCGCGCGCGCTCGCGGCCGCGCCCCTCGGCGGGACGCGCGCGGACGGCGACGAGGGCGACCGCCTGGACCGCGCGGCGCTGCGGGTCGTGGCGCTGGCGCTCGCGGTGCTGGGGCTGGCGATCTTGAGGGTGGAGCGGCCCTGGTCGTCCGCCGCGGCGAACGCCGCCGTCGCCGTCGCCGTCGTCGCGGGCCTCGGCTGGCAGACGCGCGTGGCCGCGGACGGGCGCGCGGCCGGCGACGGGCCCGAAGACGCGCCGCTCGTCTCGAAAGGTAGTGTGGCGCCGGCGGCGGGCGTCGCCTCCGACGCGGGCAAGATCGACTCGCGGCCGCGCGACACGGTCGCGCGCGTCGACTTTTGGTTATTTCTTCTCGCGATCCTGCCCGTGGCGGGGGCGGGCCTCATGGTCATCAACAACCTCGGCCAGATCGTCTCCGCGCGCGGCGGCGGGACGGCCGCGGCGGACGTCGCCGTGTCGCTCGTCTCCGTGGCCAACTGCCTCGCGCGCCTCGCCGCGGGCCGCGCGGCCGACGCGCTCGTGCGCGCGGGGCGGCCGCGGCCGGCGATCCTCGCGGCCGCGAATTTGGGCGCCGCGGCGTCCATGGTCGTGCTCTACGCGACGGGCGCGAGCCTCCCGGGCGCCTTCGCGGGCGCCGCGGCCGCGGGCGCGGCCTACGGCTGCATGTGGACGGCGATCCCCTCCGTCGCGTCGGACCTCTACGGCCTCGCGCACGTCGGCGCGAACTACTCGCTCTGCGTCCCGACGATCGTCGTCGCGTCGCTCCTCTTCTCCACGTGGCTCGCGCCGGCGGTCTACGACGGCCACGCGGACGACGACGGCGACTGCGTCGGCGCGGACTGCTTCGCGACGGCGTTCTTAGTGACCGCCGGCGCGACGCTCGCGGGCGCGGGCGCCGCCGTCGGCCTCTGCGCGCGGACGCTCGCGCTCTACGAGCTTAAGGGGCGCTAGGTTGTAACATATCCCGCCGGCGGGATATGTTAGTTGCACCACAACACGAGCGTTACATGAAGTCGGCGGCGCGCGTCCTCGCGCCGTCGTCCTTGCGCGCCTTCTTGGCCTCCTTGCGGGCCTTCTTCGCCTCCTTCTTCTCCTCCTTGCGGGCCTTCTTGGCCTCCCGCTTCTCCTCCTTGCGCTTGCGCTTGAGGTCGCCCGCGTCGGGCCGCGCGTCCGCCGCGGAGACGGCGGCGCCGCGCGTCGTCACGAAGCCGCCGCCGTCGTTCGTCGGCGCGGCCGCGGCGACGTCGCGGCAGGTCCGCCGCGCGGCGTCGGCGGCGAGCAGCTCGCGCTCGCGGCCCTCGCGCCGCATGCGGTCGTCCTCCGCGGCGACGGTCGCGGACCGCGACACGCCCTCGTGCCGCTGCGCGGGCGCCGCGCCGAGGCCCGCGACGCGCTCCGTGGACAGGAGCTGGTCGCGCTCCGTGGACCCGCGCTCGAGGAGCGACTTGAGCTCGGAGATCTCCAGGTCCACCTGGTCCGCGCGCCGCCGCGACTCGGCCGTCTCGCCGAGCGCGTCGGCGAGCGCCTCCGCGTCCGCGCGCTTCCGCTCGAGGACCTCGAGCCGCCGCCGCGCCTTCGCCTGCTCCGGCGTCTCGCTCAGGGACCGCCCGAGCGTGTCCGTCGACTTGTTGTACCAGAAGAAGTCGCGGTCCTTGTCGCGGCGCCCGTTGACGCTCGCCTTCATGCAGGCGCCGATGTAGAGGTCGCGGTCCTTCTGGATCTTCTTCACGTCGTCCCAGTTGAAGTGGCTCGCGCCGCCGCGCACGCCCGACATGCGGCCCTCGCCGCGGAAGCTCATGGTGCTCGAGTTCTGTCGTGGGGGGCGGCGAAGGCGGGCGCGACGCGGCTGTCGGAGACGGCGCCGGCGGAGCTCGACCGCAACACGACTGCAAGAAAGCATGAGGCTGCCCACGATGCGCATCGTCGCCATAGTCGGCTGCGCCGACGTCCCGCTCCTCGGCGCGATCCCACCGCTCGGCGAGCGCACGATCATGCGCTGGACTCTGCCGGCCGACGTGGCGCTGAAGACGGCCCACGAGACCGGCGTCGAGTCGTTTCAACTCTTCCTCCCCCGCGGCTGGACGCGGGAGCGGTCCTGGCCCATGCTCATATTTCTGCATGGCGCCGGCGACGGCATCTGGGACGTCATGAACAGCCAGAGCCTGCCGCGGCTGCTGAGCGACGACCAGTCGACGGGCTTCGACGCGGCGAAGACCTGGGCCTTCGTCTTCGGCGGCCGGCACTACGAGAACGCGACCTTCGCCGCCACGTTCCCCTTCGTCGTTCTCATGCCCCAGGGCTGGGACGGCACGACGCGCGGCGGCTGGTCGCGGCCGCGCCTCGACCGCGTCCACGCGCTCGCCGCGGCCGCGGCGGAGGCCTACGCCGTCGACGCGGACCGCATATCGCTCACGGGCCAGTCCGCCGGCGGCGTCGGCGCCTGGGGCTTCGGCGTGCGCTTCCCGACCTTTCTGTCCGCGCTCGTGCCCGTCTGCGGCGCGATCGCGGGGCGGCCGCGCGACGCCGCGGAAAGGCTGAAGGATCTACCCGTCTGGGTCTTCCACGCCGCCGACGACAGCGCCATGCCCGTGACCTACGCCGATTCGGCGGTCCACGCCCTCGACGCCGCGCGCGCGACGCCCGTGCGCTACACGCGCTACGATCACGCGCCGCCGCCGCCGGACCCGCGCTACAACGACATGGTCGGCCACGCGTCCTACGACCTCGCCTACCGCGACGCGGGGTTGTGGACGTGGCTCCTCGCGCAGCGGCGAAAAGCGGCGTAAAACTACGGCACCATTGGGTGCAACGAGCTTCACCATGCCGCGACGGGTGGGGTTTTGAGCAATCCCTCGAGCTGCTGCGCGCGCGCGCGCGTCTCCCGCCCCGCGCTGCCAAACGTCGTGCAGCAGCGCACACCGACGCGCCGTCGACGCCTTTGCACGCTGCGCACATGGCGCCATTCATGGCGCCCTCGACGTCGAGCGCGTACAGCGCGGCCACGGTGCCCCGCGAGACGCGGCCGGCGCCCTCGAACGACCGCGTCGTGGGCATGATGGACGCGGCCTACTTCGTCGGCCGGCGCGAGCTGCTCGACTGGATCAACACGACGCTCGAGCTCAACGTGCAGCGCATCGAGGACACCTGCTCCGGCGCCGTCGCCTGCCAGCTCATGGACTGCATCCAGCCCAACACCGTGCCCATGTCCAAGGTCAACTGGGGCGCCAAGGACGAGTACGCGATGATCTGCAACTACAAGCTGCTCCAGTCGGCCTTCGACCGCGCGCGCGTGTCCAAGCCCGTCGAGGTGAACCGCCTCATCCGCGGCAAGTACCAGGACAACCTCGAGTTCATGCAGTGGTTCAAGGCCTTCTACGACGGCCAGAGGCCCGTCGACGGCTACGACCCGGTCCTCGCGCGGCGCAAGTCGAAGAACGCGCGCGCGGCGCCCGAGGGCGCGCCCGCAGCGGCCGCGGCGCGCGGCCCGCCGCGCGCCGCGCCGCGCCGCGCGAAGCGCGCGCCGGCCAAGGCCGCGGCGCCGCCCGCGGACGAGAACCGGCCGCCCGCGCCGCCGCGCGGCGACGGCGGCAAGGCCGCCGCCGCGCGCGACGCGGAGCTCCTCGAGGCGCTCGAGGCCGTCGAGAACGAGCGCGACTTCTACTTCAAGAAGCTCCAGGCCGTCGAGGCCGCGCTCCGCTGCCGCCCCCCGGGCGATACGGCCGCCGCGCTCGCCAAGGACGTCTACCGCGTCCTCTACGAGGCGTCGGAGCCGGACCTCGCGGCCCTCGGCGAGGCGCCCGCGCCCGCGCTCGCGCCGGGCGCCGCTTGCTCGCCCATCCTCGAGGAGGCCGAGCCGCCGTCCCAGCTCCTCGCCTAACCCTTCCTTTTGCTTACGCTGCGTTCCGGTGGTCGCGCGTCCCGCGGTGCGCCCCACAGTCATCTCGCTTTCCGAGACGCAGGTGACAAGGGCGGCGGCCGCGCAGCGCATCCATCTGACGAAGCGTGGCCGGTCTTTTTTGGCTCATGTGGCTGGTTTAGACCTGCAGTACGGGCCGCAAGTCCCGGACGTCGAGGTCGTGGACGGCGCAGCTGCTCGTCGCAGTTCGCCGTCGAGGTCCGGCGGTCTAGCGGCTGATCTTCGCAAAGCCAGACGGCCTTACGAATGCACTTGCTGCCCCCCTCAACCCCCGAGCAACCTTCGGCAAAGCGCGGCGTGCGGATGGTCGCGGCCGAACTCGCGCTCGAATATCGCGAGCGCGCGCTCGAGGAGGTCGCGCTTCTTGGCGTCGTCGCCGAGGTCGCCGTACGCGTTCCCGAGGTTCACCAGCGTGCTGGCCACCTGGACGTGGTCGCGGCCGTACTCGCGCTCGAAAATCGCGAGCGCGCGCTCGAGGAGGAGCTCGCGCTTCTTGGCTTTGTTGCCGAGGCGGCCGTACGCGACCCCGAGGTTCACCAGCGTGCTGGCCACCTGCACGTGGTCGCGGCCGTACTCGCGCTCCTTGATCGCGAGCGCGCGCTCGAGGAAGTCGCACTTCTTCGCGTTGTTGCCGAGGTCGCCGTGCGCGTTCCCGAGGTTGTTCAGCGTCTTGGCCACCTCCACGTGGTCGCGGCCGTACTCGCGCTCCTTGATCGCGAGCGCGCGCTCGTAGAGCTCGCGCGACTTCGCCGCGTTGCCGAGGTCGCTGTACGCGTTCCCGAGGTTCCCCAGCGTGATGGCCACCTCCACGTGGTCGCGGCCGAACTCGCGCTCGTTGATCGCGAGCGCGCGCTCGAGGAGCTCGCGCTTCTTGGCGTTGTCGCCGAGGCGGCCGTGCGCGCACCCGAGGCACTCCAGCGTGACGACCACCTGCACGTGGTCGCGCCCGAACTCGCGCTCCTTGATCTCCAGAACCTTCTCCTGGACGCGCACCGCGCTCGCGTGCTCCGCGATCGACTCGAGCAGCTTCACCAGCTCCAAGAGCAGCGTCTTGTCCGACGCGCGGTCGGACCCGAGCACCCGATCCACGAGGTCGTCGACGTTCTCCGCATCGTCGACGGGCAGCGCGCAGAGCATCTTCAGGCGCTGCTCGACGGCGTCCGCGTTGCCGAGGAAGAATTCGCGGAAGAACTCGTAGGTCACGTGGCTCTTGTGCATGGGCTCCGACTCCTTGATCGGCGCGTGGTGGATCTGGAGTTCGCAGAGGTGCGAAGACCTCGCCCGCGTCGCCTTCGACGCGCACCGCCACGTTCATCAGAATGTCGCGATAGCCGTTGAAGCACGGCGGGTTGAACCGGTTCTTGGTCCGCACGACGTCGACGCGCGGGTCCTCGTCGAGCGCCGCGTACAACCGCACGATCTCGTCCTCGGTCGCGCACATGACCGAGCCGCGCACGACGTCGAAAAGCCACGACGTCGCCGGCGCCGTGTTCTTCGCGTACTCGTTCCGCGCCTTGGCCGCGGCGCGCGCGAGCCCCTTGAGCGGCGCGAGCTTCAGAACCGCGCCGCTCGGGCACGCGGCGGTCATGACCTCGCCGTACTTGAGCAACGCCTTCTCCGCGACCGCGTATAGCTCGTCGAGCGTCTCCGCGGGCGCGCCGTGCAGCGCGCACTGGCGCCAGTCGTCGCCGAGGTCCTCGCCGCGCCACGGGATGTCGCGCACCGCGCCCGAGAAGTGCTCGTCGTAGATGGCCTCGATCTGCTCGCGGGCGATCTTGAACTGCCTCAGGTTCTTGAACAGCACGGCCTTGGGATCGAGCAGGCCGTGCGCCTCGGCGTAGGCCTGGGCCTTTGGCCACGCGACGACGTCGCCCTTCTTGGCCGCGGCGAAGGCCTGCTGCGCCTCTTCGCCGTAGAGCACGCCGATCTCGTTCTTGATGTCCACCTCCGCCAGGGGCTGCTTCGCCGTCGTGGCGGCGGCGCCCATGTGGCTGTTGGGGGGGTGCTCAACGCTGCTGGCCCATGCTTCCCGGATGCTGTCCACGATGTTGAATGTTCAAAAACAACATGTTTACTCTCGCCCCTCTCAACCTAGGCGCGCCGGGCCTCGATGGCTGCCCGCGCCCACGCGCTGGGCGCGGCCGCAGCGGTCCTCTTGCTCTGCGTCATTTTGCGCACGACGCATCCGCGACGGCCGAGCAGCTTGTGGCATCGCGTGCGGCGCGGCGGCGCGTCGCGGCGTGTCGAGCCGCCGCGACGCGCCGTATTGGGGTTCTCCCGCAACCCACACACGGCGCACGTCAAGCTCGACAACGAGACGCTGGCGCGCGCGTTCAACCTCGCCGACGAGGTCGCGCACCGCCAGCCCTGCCGCCTGTTCACCACGCGGCGCCGCGCGTTCGCGCCGGCGGACGTCGTCGGCCTCGCGATCGCGCGCGCGGCGTCGGACGCCGTCGTCAAGGCGACGACGGGCACCGCGAAGCTCCACATGCACGAGTGTACGCTCGCGGACTGGGCGGCGGCGGGCGCGCGGCGCGTCGTCGTGTCGCTCCGCGACCCCGTGTCGCGGCTCGTCAGCGGCTTCCAGCGGCGCATGGAGGGGAACCACGTCCAGGGAGGCGCGCACGCGGCCGCGAACCGCGTCTTCGAGCGCGAGTTCCCGCGGCTCGACGCCTACGTCGACGCGCTCTTCGCGCCGGCGGACCCGCGGCACGCGCTCGCGCTCGAAGTCACGTACCCGGACAACTTCCAGAACTTCCTCGTGCCCGTCGAGGAGTTCTACCTCGCGTCGCTCGACCGCGGCGCGCCGCGCGACGAGCGCGAGGTCGCCGTCGACGTGCGCTACGCCTGCATCGAGTCGCTCGACGACGACGTGGCCGCGATCCTCGGCGCCTGGGGGCGCGCGCCGAACGCCAAGGGGCTCAAGAACGCGACGAAGCACCAGTCCCAGAACGCGTCGGACGCGCCGACGACGCGGAGGAGCTTCATCAGCGACCGCAACGCGGCGCGCGTCGAGGCGCTCTACGCCGCGGACGCCGCGCTCCACGCCCGGCACTGCGCCGCGGACCGCGGCCGCGAGCCCGGCGGCGAGACGTTCCGCTTTCGGCCGCGGTAATTAGGAGATAGCGAAGGCGGCGAAGTAGGAGAGGGCCGCGGGGCCGAGGTCCGCGCCGGCGACGGGCGCGACGCCGGCGACGACGCCCGCCGCGGTCCGCGGCCGGCCGACGGACAGGCGCACGGCCCCGTCCGCGTAGCGGAGCGCGAGCGCGTGCTCCGGCACAGCGCCGGCGCCGGCGACGAAGCGGTCCGCGCGGGCGCCGACGGCGAGCTGGCTCTCGTGGAGGCCGAACGCGGCGGCGCAGAGCTTCAGAGCGGCCGTCGCGAGCGCGCGGAACGCGTCGCGCGCGGCGGCGACGCGCTCGTCGGCGTCCTCGTCGAGGCTCCCGTTCGTTTGTGCCGCCGTCGCCGCGCGCTCAAAGACGTCGAGCGTCGCGGCGGGGATGCCCGCGAGCACGCAGCAGGCCCCGGCGGCGCAGCAGGCCTCCTTGAGCTGGCTGGCGGCGTGGCGCTGGCGCTCGGTGAGCGCGGCGGCGGCGCAGAGCGTGAGGTGGCGCGGATCGCAGGTGACTAGCCAGTCGGTGACGTCGAGCTCTATCATTTTCAAGGGCAGTAAGCGCTATGGCTGCCCATGCTGCCCATGCTGCCCATGCTGCCCAATACTGCCCATGCTGCCCAAGAATTGCGGCCCGCATGGCAATGTTGATGTGCGCATCCGATGCAACTTTAGCTCGAGTGGCAAAGAGATGGTGGCCCTCGTGACCCTCTAAGCAACGCGCGCTGCGAGCAAGCCCACGACCATCGACAAAAGAACATGGCATCCCTCGAGGAGCGCGTCGTCGCGCGGCTGCGCGAGGAGAAGGTCAAGCTCTGGCTCGCGCCCTACGACGACGACGGCGCCCTCACCGCCACAGCGAGCACCTACGCAGCCGCGCTCGACGAAGCAGACGTCGCGGCCGTCGCCGCGACGCTGCGCGACCTGCGGCGGCGCGCCGTCGAGAAGCTCGCGGCGAAGCGGCGGCGCACCGTGCGCGGCGCCGGCGCGGCGGGCGAGCCGTTCGAGGTCGCGCTCGACGGCGGCACGGCCGGCGCCGACGCGCGCGCCGTGCTCGCGGCGGCCGGCGGCTACGACGGCCGCGTCCGCGTCATCGCCGGCGGCCGCGCGCTCGTCGACGGCGCGACGCTCGCGGCGCAGGGCTGGCCGTCGGACGCCGAGCGGGCGGGCCGGCCGCTGCGCGCGATCCTGATCGCGGAGCCGGCGGCGCCCGCGGTCGACGAGCCGTCGGAGGTCGACCGGCTCCTGGACGCCTGCGACCGGCTCGCGCGCGACCGCGCGTTCGACATCTCCGACGGGCGGAGCGGCCGGCGCGTGCGGGTGCCGCCCGCCGCGCGGCCCGCGCTCGTCCAGGCCGTCGCGCTCCACGCGCGCGGCAAGCGGTGCGGCGACGCGGCCGCGGCCATCGACTTTTTTCTCGCCGCGGACGAGGCCTTCGACCGCGTCCGCGCGGCGGCGCCGGCGCTCGTGGACGAGGTCGACAATTTCGGGTTCTTGCAGCTCGATTTGTGCCGCGCCTACGCGCTCTTGGGCGACGGCGCGTGCCTCGACGACGCGGAGCGGCGCCTCGCCGCCGCGGAGCGGTCGTTGGCCAGGCGCTTCGACGACCGCTACGAGGGCCGCGGCGTCGCCGCGGCGCGCGCGGGCCGCAAGATCCCCGCGGCGTTCGTGCCCCTCGCGCGCTGCAAGGTGCTCCGCGCGCTCGCGGCGGCGTGCCGCGGCGCGGACGCGTCGGCGCTCGCCGCGGACGGCGCGTGCCTGCTGGCGGCGCTCCGCCACGACGCCGCGGCCCTCGCGCCGCTGGAGGCGCTGGGCGCGTCGCGCGCCGCGGCGCTCGCGGCGCTGCGGCGCGCCGAGGGCGACGCGGCCAAGGCCGCCGCGGCGATCCTCGACGCCGCGGACCGCCGCGGCGCGAAGCGCAAGGAGGCGCCCATCGTCGCCGGCGGCGGCGCGACGAGCGACGGGTCCTTCGTGGACGCGCGCGCCCTGGACCGGCTCGGCCGCGAGTGCCCCGGCGTCGCGTTCGAAGAGCGGCTCGCGGCGCTCAAGCGGTGCGACAACAACTGGAGCGCCGCGGCGGCGGACCTGCGGCGGGCCGCGGCGCCCGTCGACGCGGCGAAGCTCGCGGCGCTGCTCGAGCTCGGCGCGGACCGCGCCGTCGCCGAGGCCGCGCTCCGCGCCTGCGACGGCGACGTCGACCACGCGGCCATCCGCCTCGCGTCGGGCTGGAGGCCGCCGCCGGCCGCGACGCCGGCGCCGGCCGCGACGCCGGCGCCGGCGCCGGCGCCGGTTCCCGCGCCGTCCTTGCCGCCGCCGCGTGGCCCGCCGGCGCCGATGGACGCGGAGTTGGAGGCCGCGCATCGGCTCGTCGAGGCCGAGCTCGGCGGCGCGCTGGAGGACGAGGACGCCGACGCGATCGACGGCGCGGACCTCGCCTACGAGACCGCGCTCCTCGAGTCCCTAAGGTCCGAGTCCTGAGTTTCTTTACCTCAGCACGCGCATGGTCGCGACGGCGGGGAGGAGGAGCGACTCCCCGTTCCTCGAGTCCCTAAGGTCCTGAGTTTCTTACCTCAGCACCGCGCATGGTCGCGACGGGGGGAGGAGGAGCGACTCCCCGTCCCTCGGCAGCGGCGGGAGCGGCGTCCACGCGCCGCCGCGGAGCTCCATCGGCGCCCTCCGCGGCGGCGCGGTGACCGTGCCGCCGACGACGACGAGCTCGCCGCGGTGCACGACGGCGCGGCAGGAGCCCCGCGGCTCGGGCAGCGGCGGGCCCGAAGTCCACTGCTCGATGTCGGGGTCGTAGACGTAGACCTCGGCGCGCGGGCGGAAATTGTCGTCGCGGCCGCCGACGTAGTATATTTTCCCGCCGAGCGTCGCCGCGGCGCCGTCGAAGCGCGGCGCGGGCAGCGGTGGGCCGTTCGTGGGTATTGGTCCTGCCTCGAACAACGTGCGAACAAATTCGTCCGACGCCCGCCCCGCAATGTAGCCACCGATAACGCATGCAAAGGGGCCGAGTTGAGCGCATGCGGAAGAGAAACGTGCCGACGGCAGATAGCTCCAGTATTTCATAGGGTGATAATCTTCTGATGAAATGGTAAAGCAGCAGATGGTACGTTGCGGTTCCGTAGTTCCGAGCCCGCCAGCGATGTATAAAGTAGCTCCGCCAGATTTATGGATTGTCACGGAACCAGCGTCGCTTTTAATCGACCTTGCTGATGATGGTGGTTCCTCACACCGCCCATAGTCTAGGCGCGTCCATGCGTCGACGATTGCGTCGTAATAGAGCGTGGAACCGACGCGCTGGCCGTTTTGAAGCTCGCCGCCGTGGACGAGGAGCTTGTTGTCCGCGAGCGCGCCCGCGGCGGCGTGCGCGCGGGGCTCGGGCATGGAGGCCAAGCGCACCCATCGCACGCCGTCGACGAGGCCGAAGCAGTCGCTCACGTGGCCGTGCGAGCCGCGCCCGCCGCAGACGACGAGCATCTCCGAGCAGTCGTAGACGGCGCGTCGGTAGGCGCGCCCCACCGTCGACATGATGATCAGCTGTTTGCGCGGAAGCCAGGACAGCACCAGCGCGACGGTCGCCGGGTCGTCCATGCTTCGCAGCAGACGCGACTGGGTCGCGCTTCGCGTCCCAATTTATGGAGACACCATTGCGCCGAGGCGCTTCACAAAGCCCGAGTTGATTGAACTTCAACTCATACGCCACGAGTACTACGGGGACGATGGATTGCTCATGAGAAGGCTGCTGCTGCCGCTCTGCCTCTCACGCGCGGCCTCGTTCCTGCGCGCGCGCTGCGACGTGACGAACGTGACGGACGCGCGGTTCAAAAGGGTCGCACCGCAGCCGCTGCAGGGCTGGGCCGTCCCCGACAGCGATGTCGTCGTCGGCCCGCTGCCCTGCAAGACGGGCAGCACGACGCTGCGCGACTTCGTGATCGACCGGCGCGGCGGCGTCGAGATCAAGGGCCTCGACGCGTTCCGCGCGGCCGCGGCGCGCGGCGCGGCGCTCTACTCGTCCGCGCGGCACCCCGTCGAGCGCTTCGTGAGCGGGTACCGGCAGCTGGACGTTTTCTACAAGATGGGCTGGATCCAAAAGTCCTGGTTCACAGGCGCGTGCCGCCTGACCTGGCCCGAGGACTGGTGCGAGCCCAGCTACGCGCTGCGCGCCGGCGCGGAGCGGCCCGGGCTCGCCTCAGACGTCGCGACGCAGTACCGGCGCCTCGAGCGCTTCGTCGCCGACGTCGAGCGCTGCGGCTTCTTCAACAAGCACATCATGCCCATGGCGCTGAGCTTCAACCAGGGCCTCGACATGCGCGACTACGACTTCCTGCGCACGGACGACCTCGCCGCGGACCTCGCGGCCGCGCTGCCCGGCGCCGGCGCCGCCGGCGTCGCCATGCGGACGGGCGGCTCGCGCTGGGCGAAGCGCATGGCCGCCGACGCCGCCGACGCGCGCTCGCCGCACCGCGCGCTCGCGCGGAGCCTCCTCGCGCGCATCTGCGACCTCGTCCGCGTCGACCTCGACTGCTTCCCGGCCTTCGGCGGCGGCGACGACGACGTCTGCGCGGCGGCGGCGGGGACGGCGGCGGCGACGGACGAAGCCATCGCACCAACAGACGAAGCCATCGCACCAACAGACGCCTCCCCGACGACCTGCCGCGACGACGCGAGCCTCGACGCCTACCTCGAAGCCTACCGCTACGTCGAATCCGAGTGGCTGCTCGGCTGGCGCGACGCGGAGCTCTCCGAGTTCGGCTTCGTGCGCCGAAACTGCTACGACTGGCACACGAACGCCGACCAGGCCGGCTCAAGGGCCACGAACCAGTGGACGCTGCCGCCGGAGCACAAGCTCCGCCGCTTCCGCGACTTCCTCGTCGACGTCGAGCGCGCGGGCCGCTTCGACGCGCTGCTCCGCGGGGCCGCGCGGGCGAACGCGACGGCCTGCCACGCGAAGGTCGAGGCCTACTGCGCCGCGGCGAAGGTGCCCGTGCGCGAGCCGGTCGTCGGCTCCGTGCGGTGCGCGCGGGCCTACTTCCGCCGCGGCCTCGAGGAGCCGTGCGACGCCCACGCGCTCCTCGACTTCGTCTACGCCGGCGGGGCCCGGTCCCGCGTCGAGCCCTGGGCGCTGACGCGCGCGGACGTCGTCGCCGCGGCGGCCGACGCGAGCGGACCCGCGCGGGACGCCGTCGCCGCCGCGTGCCGCCTCGGCCCGCCGCGCGCGTCCTGAGTCGTAACGTTGGTCTTAGGTGGTTCTAGTGCTTGGCCGCGCTCGACGCGCGGCGGTTGCGCCGGGCCGCGCGGCGGTCCGTGCCCGAGGCCTGGGAGCCCGCGTCGCCGTCCGCGGACTTGAGGACCTCGCCCGTGGCGTCGTTGACCCAGGTCTCGCGGCCCGACTTGTTGTCGATGGCCGCGGTCCAGTCCGGCCCCGGGGGCACGACGATCTGCTGCGCGTGCGCGTCGAGGTCGTCCTCGGGCGGCTGGGTCCAGGACGCCTCGTGCGTGAGCACGTTGTACCAGTAGCGGCTCCCGGCGGACTCGTCCCAGTACTCGAGCCAGGGCGACTCGCCCTCCTGGAGCTTCACGGGCTCGTCGACGTCCTCGAAGAGCGGCGCGGCCGCGAGCTCGTCGCCGCGCTGCACGGAGACGCCCGGCGGCTCGGTCCAGGACGTGTCGCCCGTGACCGTGTTGTAGAAGTAGTCGGAGCCGCTCGCGTCGTCGTAGTACTGGACCCAGTGGTCCGCGGCGTAGGACGCGCCCGCGAGCGCGCCGCCGGCGGCGCCGCCGGCCGCGGGCGACCGCGCGCGGTCGCTCCGCGACGGCGTCCGGCTCCGCGACGGCGACGCGGGCGCCTGGTGCGGCACGAGCGCGAGGTCCGACGCGGCCTTCTCCGCGCGGTCCCGCGCCTCGCGCGCCGTGTCCTTGGCCTCGCGCGCGGTCTGGACGGCGGCCGTGGCCTCCATGGACGCGCCGTGGGCCTCCTCGCGGTAGCTGTCGAGGCGCTCCTCGATGGCGAGCGACCGCGCGCCCATCTCCTCGAGCCGCGCGCTGATCTGGTCCTCGACGACGGTCATGAGCTGCGTGTCGCGCGCGCTCAGCGACTCGGCGGCCTCGGCGTCGCGCGACGCGGCCGTCGCCTCGAAGCCGCTGAGCCGCGCCTCGACGGACGCCTCGAGGGACCGGAGCCGGTCCTCGCGGTGCTCGAGCTCGGCGAACTTGGCGTTGAGCGCCTCCATACGCTCCTCGATGAGCCGCTCGGCCTGGTCCTTGGCGATGCCCTCGATCTTCCGGAACGACAGGGGCGGCACGACGGGCTTCTCGCGCGCGGCCGCCGCGGCCTTGGCCCGCTTGCTCTGCTCGCGGCGCTCGCGCGCCGTCGGCTCCTTCGTCGGCGTCTCGGCCCGCGCGGGCTCCTCGGGCTCGTCGCGCGGCGTCGGCTCCGGCGGCGGCGCGGCCGCGGCCGCGGCCGCGGCGTCCGCGCGGGCCTTGGCCTCGGCGGCGGCGCGCGCCTCCGCGGCCGCGACGGCCTCCTCCTCGAGCTTCTGGAGCCGCGCGGCGCGCTCCTCGAGCATCGCCAGCATGGCCTCCTGCTTCTCGCGCGCCTCGGCGTCGGCCTTGGCCCGCGCGTCTTCGGCCGCGCGGCGCCGCTCCTGCTCCGCGGCCTCGAAGCGGGCCCGCGTCTCCTGCTCGGCCTTGAGCCGCGCGGCCATCTCCTTCTCGACGCGCGCGCGCGCCTCCGCCTCGATCTTGCGGATCTTCTCCTCCTCGGCGAGCCGCGCGTTCGCGGCCTCGATCTCGCGCCGCATCTCCGCCTGCGCGGCCGCGATGGCGTCGGCCTCGGCCTGCTGCTTCGCCGCGGCGGCCTCGGCCTCGGCGCGCGCCTTCTCGGCCTCCGCGGCGATCTTCGCCTCGGCCTCGGCGCGGACGCGCGCCTCGGCCTCGGCGACCTCGGCGTCCGCGGCGGCCCGGGCGTCGGCCGCGGCCTTGGCGTCGGCCGCGGCCTTGGCTTCGGCGGAGGCTTTCGCGTCCGCCGCTTCGGCGTCGGCGGCGGCCTTGGCGTCGGCGGCGGCTTTGGCGTCGGCGGCGGCCTTGGCGTCTGCCGGTTCGGCGTCGGCCGCGGCTTTCGCGTCCGCCGCGGCCTTCGCGTCGGCTGCTTCGGCATCGTCCTTCGCCGGCGAGAGGTCGGGCAGCTGCGAGTCGCGCCGCGCCTGCTCGACGCCGCCGAGCGCGAGCTCCTGCTCCGCCCGGCGCTTCGCCTCGTCCTTGGCCGGCTGGCTCGCCGCGGCCTCGGCGTCGGCCGCGGCCTTGGCGTCCGCGTCGGCCTGGAACTTCTTGAAGGCCTCGTCCTTGCGCTTCGCCGCCGCGGCCTCGGCCGGCGCGCCGTCCTCGGGCGTCGGCGGCGCGCTGAACTGGAGCAGCGACGCGGCGATGTCGTCCCGCGCCGCGGCCGTCTCCGCCTCGATGGCGCGCGCGCCCGCGGCGCCGCCCTCGACGATGGCCGCCTGGGCCTCGCGGTGGGCCCTGCGCCGCGCGGCGACCTTGGCCTTGGCCGCGACGCGGCGCGCCATGCCCTGGATCGCGCCGCACGCCGCGAGCTTCCGGGCCTCGAGCTCGCGCGCCGCGCGCGCGGCCTCCTCGCGCCGCGCCTCCTCGGCCTCGACGCGCGCGCGCTCCTCCGCGTCGAGCCGCGCGAGCTCCTCCTCGCGGGCCGCCGCGGCGCGCGCGCGCTCCTCGTCGGCGAGCCGTCGCTCCTCCGCCGCGGCGGCGGCGGCGAGGCGCTCGGCCTCGGCCGCGGCCTCGGCGGCGACGCGCCGCTC